TGACGGGAGCACGTGATTGTGGTCGGTCCCTTTTTAGCAACTTTTTGTGGATGGATGGATGGTCGTTTAGGGTTACGTTGTCTGCGTTGTTCCTACATATCCCGACTGCACTGTCAGCTGCCACAACGGATATGGCTTACATGATGGCTGCTTATTAGGCAGGTATTACTTGATCCCTGGTAAGGTGGTTGTTGGATGGGAAGTAGTTGTAACGTAGGACGGGACGCATCACGCAAGCGCGCGGGAGGGATGGACGGGTGATCATACATGAGGTCCATCCCGGTGACTAATATGTGGCCACAACGCGAGAGAGAAAAAACGTTGAGTTGATAGGTTTATAAAAGTTGCTGGTTACTGCAGGCCATGTTTGGGAGTTTAAGTCCCAATTTCCCTAGTATATAAGGAGGACGGTAGGATACACCGATGTTACTCGGGCTCCCGACACCGAGAGGCTTCGGGACAGGAGAAGATCACCATGCGCGATCGATCACATCATGCATTGGGGATCAGATAGGTGTGCCTGCGCCTGCGGCCGGCGTCGGCAGCAGCAGGTTTTCTCCCGAGCGATCACGGAAGGAGCTTTACATGCATATATGATGCATATATAGAGGATGCATGTTCGGATGGGGGATCGACCGGAGTGCTGCCGTTGTTGTTGAGCCGCTGAGTTGCCTGGCTGGGGTGGAGTTTGCAGTTCAGATGAACTGGTGGACATCTTGAGGAGAGGGGAAAGTGAGGGGTAGTTAGGGTTTGGATGAAGGTTGCAATCTGGACTAAGGGGATGTTCCCAATCACTATCATAGCTTATCCAACCAAAGTCATTTCTCTGTATTGTCACCAATAGATAGTATCCTACTTTTCATCTGCACGTCAGTAAAAGCCTGCAAGTCAGCACTTAAAAACTCAACACGACTGGCCGTACAATCTGTCATCTTGAAAATGATATAGCTTGTGGAAGGGAGCCGGCAGAATCATAGCGTAGTCGAACTCGCGTCCTATCCTGTCCATATGCACAACACAACTATCACAATTCCCATTGCCCTCCCTGTCTTATTCGCAGCACTACTATTCCACACAGAGACATCAATATTCCCAATGCCATGGCACTGGCACCATCAACCTGCAAGACAAAGCCGACCTAGACTCTGGCCGGCTCACTAATGCAAGCTTATTGCCTTTCCCTACCGCAAAAGCAAGGGAGTAAAAAAGGATAAGGCAAAGTCAAAAGACGAGGCGAGACCCATCCAAGAGACCCGGGAGAAGGTACGGTGGGACAGAATAGCGCAGCGCCTCATCGAGTCATCCAAACCATGGCGCTTGTATTTGCCGTCCTATATTCGCATTCACATTCTCATCATTCCGTTTCGCCTGGCTTGCCGACGCGACCTGGTCTGCCCGGGCCAGGCCCGTCGCGCAGACTTGACCGAACCCGACCAGGCTGCTGGCCTTGCCCAGACAGCGCAGCCTAGAACGCCCTCCGGCATGGGCGAGACCAGGGCCTAGTGCTTCTTCCTCATAAGCTGCATCAAAAGTCCCAGGACCGCAGCTCCGGGTCCTCGCGTCTGCACCGGGACGCATCGCCGGAGCGGGGGTCAAACCCCTGTCTTTGCAGCAAGCTTGCAGGGCGTGCTGCGGTTCCCAGAGAATCCCCAATCCCAGAAATTCCATTGGACCCACCGGGGAAGGTGAACCGTGCCAGGAGTTAGTGGGACCCGCCCGTGAACCGGCTGGATGGAAAGGCCTGGCCTGGTTGCGCAGCCTTGGGACACATTCGGCCGGGGCTTCTGGAAGTTGCCATTTTAAGGCTCATTGTCACCAATTTTGGTGCTCTCTGTAGTTGAGCAGGGGAGGAAATGTTTGGGAAGCCATTAGGATCATTGGGCGGAGGGAATTCCGGGCAGGGGCCGGGCCGATGAAGGTGGAGGGGGAAAAAGAAAGCTGAGCCATGAGGTTGGATTCATTTTCTTTTTTTTTCTTTTTTTCCTTTCTCTAAGGAGCGCCCCATACAGCCGTACGGGGTTTGAGAGGGCGTGTTAATAATTGCACAGTATCTGATCTGTAGCATACACTACAGTACCAGCAGTGTCAGAGTTGTGAACTGAGACCTTGATGTCGGGACAGCGGCAGATCTGTGCAGACGATGTTGATACAAATCGATGATGGCTGTTCAAAATCCAAGATCAGAGAGCCTGGAATGCGTGCTAGATCATTGGACGGACATGATCAGTCATCAATGCGTTTGGTGTCGCAAAGATCTCTGAGTGTAGCACAGCTCATCTCACCTCAGAGCCCAAGCACCGCCACGGACACAGCAGCCATCGGGTTCATGATAGCATTTGCCACAGTAGAGACTATCGCAATGAAATCTCCCACATCGTCTTCATCGCGGGCATCGCGAAAAGATGATAGAAACCCCAATTGCGTTCCGTTCCGTTTTGCCAGTGTGTGACGGCGTGGGGGTGCAATTACGGAAATTACCGTTGTGGTCCATCCTTCCGTTTTTCAACCAAAACGGAGTCTTAAAGTACCTTAACGGCCACCATCACACGCACCAGCCCTGGTCGCAACCGTTAAGTCCAGGAAAACCACTATCACAGCCACTAGCCCCATCAGTCCCCATCAAGATCGACCGTTCAATATGGTGATCTCTGTTTCCAAAGAAAGAAAGCGAGAAGAAGCACAAAGGAAGCATCGTGATCTCCCTCCCTTGCCATAGCGAGGAGAATCCAGAGGTTAAATTGCCGGGCCTCCATCGGAACCAGATCGCCAGCAGAATGAAGGGCCCAGGCAGGATACTCCACATTCACTAACCTGGGACATTGTTAGCGCTACCACTAGGCACAGGGCCCCAGCTCCAGTGAACCGGGGAGCGTTCCCGGTGGGTTGGTTCGCTTAGCATAAAAACCGCTCTGGACTGCTGAGCTGGCTGGCCCAGCGCGCTTGTTGATCTCCCATTGATGAATTGGTATTGCACATGACCTGCTTGTTGGGAGGGTCGAAACGCTTGGATGTTCCTTGTCTTAATTCGAGAGATGGTCCGTTTGTTTGGAAGAGAGGATGGCGAATAGACAAATGGTGATGGTGACGATACCGTTCGTTGGAGTACTGGCGGGGCGGTTAACGATGGCGATCAGCGTTTGATCTCGGCCTTTCTATATCGGCGTTTGGAGCCTTTCCGTTCTTCCCCGGAAGCGCAACAATAGGAGGATTTCTGATTTGAAGGATGATTAGATGGAATTTGGCCGATCCTTTTCTGCGCGTTTGGCTTCGCCCAGAAAATTGAGTAGTCCACTTGGACGAGAACAAGCGCGCGCTTTTTCGGCAATTTTTTCTTTCGTGTTTTTTTTTGATAAACGAGAAAGAGGTTCAGCTTCAACCTCTCATACGAAGTACGATGAAATGGCTCATAACATGGTTTCGAAGTACCTCAATACAGTATTGTAATCCGGTCCTTACTGTGCGTAACGTTGGTAAAATGTCTGCCAGTTCAGCTCAGGTTGACAGGTTCGCCGGCGTGGACCGTGGACTGTGCAGCAGTGCCCGAGCGCATGGAACTATCGCCGACTGGCTTCTCTTGGTCATGCGGGCGCCCGCAAGCCACCAGCCATGGCGTCAATAAGATCAACCAATATACTTGTCACATCCGGGGAACTCTGCGAAAGCAAAGATGGCTTTCTGTTTTGTGCCGGTGGAAAGAAAGCAAAAACAAGCACCGACGTTGTCTCGGTAAGCTGTGAAAAAGAAATGAAATGACTCCAGTCACCCACAGCGCAATCAATATACAAACAAGCCACAAGCCATCTGCGTGTGGGAGATACTTTGTGGCCAAGTTACTGACTAAACGGAGACCTTCATCTGCTGTTTTGTTGTCGTTGAAGAAAGCCGGCCTTGATATGTTACACCCCCAACTTCTTATCTCCATAGCATGCAAGCAAACGGCAAGGCCGCTGCTCGCTGGCCATTAACAGCCGCCGCTGCGAGATGGAAGATCCGACTTTGGTGAAGAACACAAGCCACGAAGTTGATCACTCTTGACTGGCCAGCTAAAGACAACAAACCACCCCACACGGGCACACAGGAGACAAACTTGAAACCGCACACACTTCATGGCGCGGGTTGCCTGTCAAGGAAGCTGGTCGACGTGGGGGCGACCAACAGCCAACCGCCGAAGCCACGTGGAAATGTATAACGGCGTCTAGCTGGTCGCGGGGAATGGCCTGTAATGGAAGGTCTTTTAGACGTCTTGCTTGTCACGGATGGTCCAGGATGGAAAAGCTTGTTTTGGACGGCTTTCGTGGCAGTTTCAGAGGGGAGACACTGGGGATTGCCTCAGAGGTGGATTGAAGTAACGAACTTAGAGAGGCAAGTTGGCAAAAGGTTAGACGGCGATGAGAATTGGGCATCGAGTCTTTGTTGGCGATGGTCTGATTTGAGGTCAATATGAAGTTTCACCAGTGAATCCCAGGGAGATCGGGGTTTTTTAATCATTGTAGAGCTGTCACCAAACATTCCGTCCCCGAAACAACCCTGATGACGGACTCTGAACATCCAGTTGCTCCGGGCCGCACGTGAACAAGCACCCGTACCGTCGCCGATCCTGCTCTGTTGTTTCTCCGAAAGGCCGATAAGACCCCATCATCACCATTTCTAGGGTTAGGGGTTTTATCGATAAGCCTGCAGCGGTTCTGACTTAGGAGCCGTAACATCCAGCAAACTGGTTGACCGTTCAATCACGCATTTGAACTCAACAACAGGCTGTCGGCGGCGTCGGCGGAGCAAAAGATGGATACCTCCAAATGATACCGTTGATAATACTTCGCTCATTTTTAAACCTAAGTACCAACTTTGGGATACTGGGACAAAAATCATAAAATATCAATCAACCCGCCCAACCGAGGCGATCGCTCACTCAACCACCACTCAACATCACCAGCACACTCCTCACAACCTTACTATCAAACAAATTATTGACTTTAGCACAACAACCAGCCAACAAAAAAATGCTAACAACACCTCCAACACTCTATATCCGCCGCCCTTCGCCAACAACAGCCGAATTCACCGTCACCACCTGCCCGCCATTAACTCTACCCCTTCGTCTCCTCCTCGCAGCACTCAACCTCCTGCGCGGCATCATCGCCTTAGCCGCCGCAGCACTTTTCTACAAACGGTTCCTCGAAGACAGCCCGTTTATATTCCCTTTCTCTTTGCCCTTCGGGTTCGGGCCTAGGAATGTCACGAGGGGGGCTCAACAGGCTGCCGGAGGAGGGACAGATGGAAGCGGGATTGGGTACCTAGTTCAACTGGTAACAACATCTCTATCGCAAGTGGCTAGCTTGCTAGGCAAGATCGCCGCCCCCTTCCCCAGCTGGGCCGTAGCATCGGTCTGCCTCCTCGTCCTGCACATCTCCCTCTTCACCCGCCTGCACACAACCGAATCCGTCCTCGTCCTCCGCGGCCTGGGCATGCAAATCTCCTCTTCCCCCGGTGCCGCCCGCAGCCCATACCTCGGTAGCAGCAGCGGGGGCGGCACCGTAGGCTTTTTTGGGTTCCGGCTTTTTGGGCCTTGGCCGTGGCGGACGGAGCAGAGGTTCATTCCGACGGAACAGATCCGAGATGTGCTGATTAATGAGGCGTTTCGGGGATTTGAGGTTAGGTATTGTTTGATTGTTGTTGTGGAGGGAGAAGAGGATGTTACAGTGCTGTTTCCGGGGCTGTTGCCGAGGAGGAAGATTGTTGAGAGGGTTTGGAGGGGTATTAGGGAGTGTTTGTGGGAGGGAGAGGAGGGACGGAGGATGACGGGGACGGGGAGTCTGAAGGAGAGATAGTTCGTTATCGGAGGGGATGTACACGGTGTTGGCATGGTGTTATTCTATCGTTGTCATGATTATGTATCTTTCCCCCCCTTTTCTCTATGCACAGTTTACTCCTCGCCGCTATCCATCGCACTGTTATCGCCTGTCTTCCTAGCCTTAATCGCCGCCCGCCAATTCTTCGTCTGCGCCAGCTCCGCCGAATTCTTAAACCCTTTACTTTGCGCCCACTTATCATTAATCTCCTCCGGCGAAGCCAACAACGGCCTCTTCAACACCGGCACATAGCTCCCCGACGGCCGTCCCGTATTGCCCCCCTCAAACACCCTCTGCCCCGGTCTCGGTCCCAACTCCCCTCCAATCAGCTTCCTCTCCAAATTCGGCCTCTTCGCCACTGCATCTAGCAATCTCCCTGCCAACAATTCATCCATCTTCCTTTCTCTCCAAGTCTCCCACAGTTGATCCACCAACCCGCCCGCGCCGTGCAAGCTCCCCGGGCCGTCTTCGCCAACCCACACCCAGTCAATCCCATCTTGCACAGGCTTGTCATACCCTTGTGCGGAAGGGTCATGCACATTGGCCATCTTGCGCGACATATCCTCATCTAGCTTGGGGAAGATGCAATCCCACAACACGAGGGGCACCTCATCCGCCATGGCATAGTTCGGTCTGCGCGGGTGCGAGTCTGCATCGAGCAGTTCTGTGACGAGAGAGGGCTTTTCTAGGCCCTGGCCGATGGCGAACAGTACGGAGACCATGTGCCGGATTTGGTGCCAGAGGAAAGCGGAGCCGCGGACGTGGAAGTAGTAGACCTTGGGGTAACGGTCAGAACGGTCAAATCCTGATGGGAGAAGGTCAGGACGTTGGGTCAAGAAGGGCAAGGAAGATGTGGCGTCGTCAACCTCGACGATGTCAGCTTCAAAGACGCGCCGCGTGAAGTTGCTGATCTGTTTGGCGCCGTCGACCTTGCAGAAATTGCGGAAGTCGTGGACGCCTTCGAAGAGTTTGGCTGCCATACGCATCGCGTCGATGTCGAGCCAACCTTCGCGCGGTTTGTTGGGGTCATTGCCGTCGCTGCTGGCAAGGCCGGGGTCGAGAGAGGGCGGGAGTGGGGAGAAGGCCGGGTTGGTGAAGAAGTAACGGTATTGGCGCTCGTAGCAGGAGTAGCGCGCAGAGAAGTTCGGCGGGAGGGTCGGTGCCCAGGCAAGGATGCGAATGTCGGGGGGCAGGAGACGGTTCAGGACACGCGGGTAGTTGATCTCGTCGGCGATGGGGTCCCATTCGGACTTGATGACCTTTTGTTTCTTGTCGTCCCCTTTTTTCTTCCCCTTCGTCTGCTCTCCTTCCGCAGGCACATCCGTCATCTCAACATCCTCCTTAACCTCCTCTTCTTTCTTCGAAACTGGCCTATTACTCCTAACCTTAATCGTAATAACCTGCCCAAAGGCGCTGACACCCTTGTCCGTGCGCCCACACTTTGAGTATTCCCATGGCGTGAAGTCAACCTTGTCGGGGTTCTCTGGCCAAATCAGGCATGCTCTGCACAGGGCCTTCCAGAGCTCTTCCTCGATCGTCGGCACATTGGCGCTGCCTTGGTACTCGAAGCCGCCGTAGTTCTTGCCCAGGTAGGCCAGCTTGAGGGCAATCACACGTGTGGAGTACTTAGAAGGGTCGAGCTTGCGGTTCTTCTTTTGCTTCTTTTTTGGGGGGGCGGCGGCTTGTTGCTGCTGGTATTGAGGGTGTTGGGATTGTTTGGCGGCGGGCTGTGTCTCATGTGATTGTTGTTGACGTTTGAGCTGCTCCTCAAGATCTTTGAGGCGCTGGACAAGCTGATCTTTCGACCAGTCCTCGTAATTAGGAGTCGTCGATCCTGCTTCAGCCATCCTAGTAGGAGTTGTGCTCAGGCCGCGACGGCACGGACACAGGCGTGAATAGTGAGACTGAAGGTGAGGGTAAGAGTGAGAATGAGAGTGAATCTTCACGCGACAATGAAAATGAAAATGGCGATGAGGGTCGACGAGAAAACCAATGAGGGGACTGTGTGGGGCTGAAGTCGTTGAATGCGGCCGCAATGACAGCGCAGAGCCGTGGTGGCGTAAGAGTGTCCTCCGTGTGCTGTTGGTGATGGTGCTCATTGCCCGGATACAACCCTTCAAAAATTCATCAGCATCGTTTCCATCCCCTGATTGATGGCCCTGCGTCCCGTCCCAACTTGTGACTTCTGTGCAAACTCCCGTCACTTGGCTGCCAGATGAAATCGTACGGACAGAAAAAATGTGGGTCTACATCTGGCTTGGCATCACTCAGCGTTATCGATAGCCTTTTCTAACGGTCGCGATAAGAAGTTGGGGGTCTAGCGTTGGGGGATTGATAAGGGAGACATGAAGCCCACAGCAACATGATCAAGTTCATGTTTGGCCATTTCACTGAATCGGTTGCTATGTCCTAGCAATCACACCATGGAGGGGCCAGAACACGCGATCAAAATTCTGCTTCTGGGGGATGAGCAATGTGGCAAGTCTACATTTTTATCGTGGGTGCTCTATTCACTTGATATCCTACGCCATCCTGCTGACCCATTGCAGAAGAATTAGCCAGGGGCGACACACCCTCCGCGGCCCCGTTCCCATCCAGATGCTCCGTGACATGGACCAGCCATTCATCTTCGAAGTCCGCTCCAAGAAAGGCCGGTACCGCTTCGAGTTTTATGACACCGCTAGTCCGGAAAGCTGGCGGCTCCTCCACCCCGACGTGGTCATCCTCTGCTACGACATCAGCCAGCGGTCAACCCTCGTCAACCTCCAGAGGGTGGTATGTTTTGCCCATAACCTTCTTTCCTCCGAAGCTCTGGCTGACAATAATAGTGGGTTAAAGAGGTGAAGTTGACTTTCTCCACCAGCGACACGCTCCCAGTGTTGGTTTTGGGGCTCAAGAGAGACCTCCGTCGAGAAGATGACCCCAACGGCGTGCTCTTACCGCAAGAAGGACTCTGCGTAGCGCAAGAGATGCGCGCTGACAGATATATGGAGTGCTCTGCCGTAACGGGCGAGCTGTTGACCGAGGTATTCGACGACATCTGCCTGACCGCCGTCAAGACGACAGAGGGGGGCGGTCAATCCGAAGGAGGATGCGTCATCCTCTAGGTAGCGGTAGCCTGCCATGAGCGCATAAGTTTCGGCGGCCGCCTCAGCAAGCGGCCTGCTCAACGTCAAACCAACTCAATGGCCGTTCTCAATCGATGGCACAACATCCTCCTCCATAGCCTCGCCCTCGCCGTCTGCTCCCTCCTCCTGGCCCTCGGGATCATCACGGCCCAGCACCTCAACGATGATATCGACGATGCGGTTTTGCTCGTCCTCGGTGAAACGCTCCTCCATGTCCTCGATAGCAGTGCTCAACACGGCGCTGTTGGTCGGACGCAGGTTCAATATCGACAGCACCTCGCCCTTGGTCAGCTCGCTCGGCAGGTTGGCCTCGCGCAGCCGCTCTAGCAGCCGCGAGATGGCCTCGGCCGAGTACGCCTGCGTCTCGTCCTGCTTCGCCAGCGGGCTGGGCTGCGTGCGGAGGTAACTGATGACCTATTTGTCGAGTCGAGGTGTTAGTAGCTGGAGGTATGGAGGGGCAGAGTCTTGGCTCGATCAGGAACTGTGGGGGAGGGGTAGCTCAGAGCTTCGCGTGGCTGACTAGGGCGGGAGGAGGGGAATGGATGGTAGACCAACCTCGGTCATGATGTGGTGGGCATTGCCTGGGACCCGACGGTTCTGGGTCTTGTTACGCTTGCGCAGGTCGACTATGTGCTGATAGACCTCATAGTTGGAGAGAAGGGCATTCTGTGACTCGAGGATCTTCATTTTGGGCCACCGATTGTGTTACTTGGATCTGGATAGCAGCTGTTCTGGGGATTGGACGATGGTGGGACGAGACGACTCCTGGAACGCCTGATATTGCAAGATTTTTTTGTTATTGATAATCCTGGCCTGGCTCGTCTTCGAGCGCCGTTATCCCTCCAAGACCCTGTGTTTGTTTGGGTCGACTCCACGAGACTTTCTTGTGGTTTGTTTCACGTGGCAGAGGCTTGCAGGCTAGAAGCGCTGGAGGCAAAACCTTGTGTCCCTGCTCGAGGAAAAGCCGGAAGCCGGAGAAGCTCGTGCTGGAAGAGGCGCATTGAAGAAACAGCGACCAGCTACAGCGAAAAGACACTGCACGCGAGCCAAGAGAGGGGCCTGGCCCAGGCACTGGACCCCGCGGTCCGGCTGCACGGCTCATGGATCGCCCACGGAAGCAGGCGACTGGCCAATCAGGGAGCGCGTAACTTTGCCCCTCTATTGCAAAGTTCGACTCTTATTGGACAAAAGCCCCGAAAACCCCCACACATCTGCAACCTCTGCGGGGCAGAGAGCGGTACGTACCCAGCAGGCAAAAAGGCAGTGTGGGTGGTCGCTAGCCGACGTCAAAAGCACTCGGCAACAAAAAGTTTGATGGTTGCAACTCCGCCCGTAACCCCGTCGCCCGCCGCCGTTGCTGCGCTGTTGCATGTTGCAGCAAGCCAGGCGCAGACCGGTAGGCGCGAAGTGGGCGAGACGCAAGTCGCAATTGGACTGGCGAAGAATTTTTTTGTCGCAAATGCGCCGGTCCCCGGATTTGCTCGATTGCTTGATGCGTCTTGATTCAGCTCGGGCCCCATGCCTGTGATCGATGTGCAATCTGCCCAGTCCTACTGTTTTCCCTAGTTGCCGTGCTCATCAGTGTCTTGATTCTTCACCGGCTGCCCGGGTGCCGTTCTGTGCCCTGTGACCAGGCTTTATCCACTCACCTCCCCATCTTCGCTCTCAACCTTGTCCAGCGTGCAGGGACCGAGTCTGCAAGCAAGACACAAGAAACTGGACGCAGAGGCCATCCATCCTCCACAGTCCACGCTCAGCATCCAAGCACGCCGACAGAGCATTGTTCCGATCTGGGCTCTGGGCTCTGGCTTTTCTGATTTCTCTCACAAGTCTGCCACTCCCTGTCCCTTGACTCGGAACGGTCCTCTTCCACACCCACAGTTTCCACCCTTGTAGCCGCAAGATGCTCTAGGTTCCTCACTGAGACCGTTGCCGTCTTGTTTTCGTCTGTTTCCTCCCAGACTCAGGGCTTGCCAGATCTTTTTTTTTTTTTTTCCATCGTCTCGTCCCAATCCAGTGGCTGCCTTTCTGTCCTCATCAGCGTCAATACCTAGCAGCTGCATCGGCTTGCTCTGTCTCGGGGCACAAGACACAAAAGACATCTTTAATCCATAGATCAATCCGATCGGCGCAGGTCAGGCCCCTCTCTGCTACCATCCGCACCCGCTGCGCATTCGCATACAGGATCCAGGGCTACCCTCGGCACTTTATAATTTTTTCTAGTGCCCCAGTTTCCCAGTCCCTCCGGCCGGTCGACGGCTGCGCAACGTCGCCCGTCGTCACGAACTTCATCTCTGCTGTCGCCGACCCGCAGCCAGCCGTTGGCCCGTCTCTGCGAGAACAAAAGCGCTCCGCTTCTTCCCAAAAAACGCGTGGTTTTCTGGTACTTTACACACCTTGGCCGTTGGTCCATCCATCAGCAGTCTTCAGTCCCGGCTCCTCCCTTGCCGTCCTGGGCCTGCTTCGTCCCGTACCCACACAAAGCCACAGCAACCACAACGGCCAGATCTCTAGCCTGGGGAGAAAAAGCAGTTGGCGGCAAACCGTTCATCTCTTTGATCTCATCCCGTCGCTGAGTGGCCGATCAAACCAGTTGAATTGACTCTGCACCATTGCCATCAATATGGTCCGCAACATCGTCGTGCTTGGTGGCAACTCGCACCCGGAGCTGACCAAGAGCGTCTGCGAGATCCTCGGCATCCCGCCGTGCAACCGCATCTTGACCAAATTCTCTTCAGGCGAAAGTCGCTGCGAGATCCAAGACTCGGTCCGTGGCAAGGATGTCTACATTATCCAGACCGGCTTCGGCGGCAACGGCAGCCGTCTCAACGATCATTTCATGGACCTGTGCATCATGATCTCGGCCTGTAAGACCGGCTCGGCCCGCCGCGTCACTGCCGTGCTTCCTCTCTTCCCCTACTCGCGCCAGCCCGACCTCCCCTACAAGAAGACCGGTGCCCCGCTCTACAAGGCTCAGTCCGAGTCCGACAAGAAAAACTACACCTTTGACAGCGTGCCGGTGACCCCCGGCCCGGGCACGGCCCAGAGTACCGGCCTCAGCAACGGAGCTGATCTGCTCAAATCAGCCTTGACCAACGGCAACGGCCATGCCAACGGCGATGCCTACTTTGGTGGCCAGAGCATTTACACAACACACGACTACGAGAATGCCTCTCATGTGGGCGCCTTCCAGGCCAAGCCCGGTTACAAGCAATGGGTTGCCCAGGCCGGCACGTTGGTTGCCAACCTGCTAACCTGCGCCGGTGCTGATCATGGTATGTTTTTTGTACCCGATCCGAGAATTAGATTTACCCGGGTCTTGAGAGTTGTGCTGCTGTGGTATCGGCACTGACATGTCGTGGGACTCGGGAAATTTTGATATCCCACATGCTAAGACATGTAACTAACACGTCACCCGGTTACAGTAATCACCATGGACTTGCATGATCCTCAAGGTATGTGTAACGGCTTTTGATAAGCGCTGTCTTATCGTGTGGTGCACGCCAAGGAGGCTCTGCCGTCTTTGCACACCACCATCCTGTTGAAGCAAGTATTGACTCTCCCCTTAGTCCAGGGCTTCTTCGACGTCCCCGTCGACAACCTGTACGGCCGGCCGCTGCTTAAGCGGTACATTCAGACACACATCCCCAACTACAAGGATGCCGTCATCATCAGCCCCGACGCGGGCGGCGCCAAGCGCGCGACGGCCATCGCCGACAGCATGGGCATCGACTTTGCTCTGATCCACAAGGTGCGCTCTCCCCCTCTGGCCCCCATACAGGCTTACCAACACCCATTGTTCTTCACACAGGAGCGCCGCCCGACCAAGATCACAGACCGGCAGAATGCCAGCATGATGCTGGTCGGCAACGTCACGGGCCGCGTGTGCATCCTGATCGACGACCTGGTCGACACGGGCAACACTATCACGCGTGCGGCCAAGCTGCTCAAGAAGGAGGGCGCGACCACCATTTATGCGCTCATCACGCACGGCGTGTTTAGCGGCGATGCCATCAACCGTATCAAAGCTTCTGCCATCGACAAGATTGTCGTCACCAATTCGGTTCCTCAAGACGAGCACAAGGATCTGCTGGGTAATAAGCTGGACGTGCTTGATATCTCACACATTTTTGCCGAGGCGATCCGCCGTGTCCACCATGGCGAGAGTATCAGCGTGCTGTTTAACCATGATTAGACCAGGAACCGGCTCGGAGCGAACATGTACTATCCATGAGCAAATATCATCGACATGATTATCAATCAGCATCACCAAACCACATCGACATCAACCAAACAAACAACTAAGCATCTGGGTGGAAAAGGGGGTATCTAAAAAAAAGTAAAGCATGCGAAAGGGAATCATTATATATCTGGCGTTTTTCTCTTCCTCTCTTAGCTCTCTATCTACTATTGGAGTGGGTTGTTCTCGTTTCCTTTTCGCTTTTTTTTTTCTCTCTGTCTTGGATGGACACATGCAGTATACAGAAAAGACAATTGCATTGGGTGGTTACCTGGATTGATGTTTCGGTCTGTCTACTCACTTTCGCCCTCTATAACTATGGAGTGGGAGGGGTGAAGAGACAGAGCTGATTTTGAACCTAGGGCGTTTGGGTATTTGCATTCCCTTTTTGCTTCGATTCCGCTCTCGCTGTTGGGTTACCCCTCTCCAGTTCCCACACTCTCTCCTTCAACAAGGTGAGAGAAGGAAAGGGGGGGGGGAATAATATCATGGGGCCGTTTGGGTAGACAGGCAGAGAGCGTAAGCTGTTCCAAGGACTTGTTCTCGGTGGGTGTTGTTTATATCAAAGATCAAGCCGCTTACTTACCCATCTGCTCAACAGTGGGACGCTATTGGGGGTTGCCATGCTTAACTCCGTAGGGACGCCCAGTTTACGTTTCGTAGCTGACAGCTACAAGTCTTGTTGTTTGTCATGCATTTTGCTGCCATTTATGTGCGAGTTTCACGGGACCTTGTTGTGAAGAGAATACCTACTACCTATCTACGTGCTGCGTACTTAGGCAGATCTTGTTCATTTTAGGGTCATCCGTGACAGGTTGACATCAGGTTCTAATGGCCGATAGATGGCTGAGTACTGTACACGTGGGATAGTTGGCGAGAGAAAAAAAAACTTGATAAGAAACGTTGATAGAGTAGTTGCGTTGTCCGATCGACGGGCTTTATTGTGTCTTTGTGGTTCCCCATGTTCAACACCCACAGACCTAGGCCGGAATCTCTCATCTTTCTTCCCCAGCCACGTGGTGGACTCTCACTCACTGCGATGCAATGCCATGCGACGCCACTCTCGAACCATTTATTCATCAGTCCATCCAGTTTGGTTTCGGAGCCGCTCTGTTGTGGTCACTCACAACCGCATTCTCCTTCCCTCTCGACTGATTCCAGGCCGTTCTGCTTGTTGGGAGCTTGGAGGGGACGACAAAGAGACTGCCCAGGGTTCTTGGCGCCATGGGGCCTGGGTCGACCCTCGGAACCGCCCATCACGGCAAGCCCGGTTCCCGGGAGCGTTCTAGAAGCTTGGGCTCTTTTTTGGCTGGACGAACGGTGCAGGTTGCTAGATACAGCGGCTTACATAATCCCATGACAACTGAGCGCCAAGATTTCACAAGACAGGAGCTTAGTTATATGATATCATGGAGTCGTTATTGGCCTTCGTGATCTAAGTATCTCAAGTGAAGCCCAAAATCCGCTCAGCCTCCTGCAACTGCAGCAGAGCAAGGCTGGGAAGATGCACGACTGTCAACTGGTTGGAAGGCGGGCTCGCACAACACCATTATGGGTCCCCACATCCAGACAAAGTTTCATCCTCAAATTATGATAAAACAAAATAAAGAAAAAATGCTGTCCGGTCTGTGAAACTTCGGTTGCCTAACGGAGGGCCTGATGGCAAGCTACAGACAGAGTAATATAAATACCTACCTAGAGAATAGCATGATGCCTGAAATGATATCTAGAAATTACACAATCCTTTCGATGCCTCTTTGACCAGTGCCTAAAGTCCCTCAAAAAGATTCGCCTGCTCAAGTTTCATTTTCGTGTCCCGGAGGAAGCATCAGACAGTACCCAAAGTGCAACCAACGATGCTGATACCTTGAAAAATCTCAGTCACGGTAATTATCGTCGCTGTGGTTGCTCCTCTGGAAACATCACTGTCAAACTTCCTCCCCTCTTAAGCTATGAAGCTGATCACGATGAGACTTTTACACTTTCCCACTGGCGATTGTCTCACTGCTCGATCATCCAGAGTATGCAGCTCTGTCTTACACTTGGCGTGACACCATCGAAGAAGAATGGACCTCAGTTTGAAAGTCACGGAGAAGCGGAGCAGCTACTTAGGTTTCTTGACCCCCGGGCCCAGGCACTGGTTAAGTTCCGCGCCCAGCAAATGGGCAAAGAAGATCGATATATCCTCCTTCGTTGAAGTCGTTTTGGCGTTCGCCTAAGCCTATACAACTTCCTCTGCCATTTCAGAAGAGTTTCTGGATAAATGATAAGAGCTCCAAGCTAGTCATTGCTCAGGGAAGCAAAATCTCATCAAATTTGTTTTAGCAGCCGACTGGCCGTGGGAAGTGTGCTGGCAAATCCACGGCAGGTCCGGCATAGTAGCTGAGACCGCATTACGGATTGATGCTGTGTGCATAAACCAAGAGAACGTACTCGGGCGTAGTTAACAGGTGATGCTAATAGGAGAAGTCTATCGCCGTGCATCTTCCGTCACGTCGTGGCTGAGCGCAGATTGGTCCCTCGTTCGTGGAATATAGCTCGCTTACGCTCTCTCTGAGAAATGGAAAGCAAATATGCGCGTTCTCACCCAGTTTCAAGAGCAGAATACTTTGCAAAGATTAAATATGAAAGAAATGCATGAGTGTGAGCAATATACCGGCAGGTGTAACGGTCCTAATGCAAGAAGCGAACAAGACTAACACCATAGACACCAACAGGGTGGCCAGATTCTTCTTCATATTCTTCTGGCGCCCCCGAGCAGCACGATAGCACCAAGTTGTCGCTGCTGGCTATTGAAACGATGAGACAGACGCGGCCTATGTGGCATAGGATGGGCGAGCTCATCGCTCTCCAAGGCACCTTTGCTGCAAACTACTTCAAGTGGGTGTGGACTCTACAAGAGCAGATTCTGGCAAATCCGGCAGGACACATCTTTATGTGTGGGCCGATGATGGTCCCTGTGCAGGTCATGGATCAAGTAGCTGACTTCTTTTGGCACTTGATTTCGGCAGACGCAGATCTGCTGCTATCTCGGAATTCCTCTCGAGAAGGCTTCTTATCAGAGGGGTCTAGCATAGACAGTGTAGTGTGGCTTTCCATGCGCCGCTCTCTCAGGCGAATTTTCTCGTGGTGGCATTTGTCAAGTGTTGTTCAACAGGGGAAAAGCTTTGAGCCTCATGTCTGCGTTGCAAGCTGCTAGCCTTTGTCGCAGGGCAACAGATCCCCAAGACCTTGTTTACGGGTTGATAAATATCATACCGCCTAGCCATGGTATCGAACCAGACTATCTCAAGTCTGTTCGTGATGTATACATAAACTGAGCTATCGGCGCGATGAGGGAATGCGGCAACCTGGATCTGCTCATCAATGCAGGTACAGCATACGAGGGGATGACAAATCTCGATCTTATATTCTGGGTTCCAAATCTCTCAGAGATTTTTCAATAACCCAGTGATACTCTACAAGACTCAAGACGACGCCCAGACCGAAAACCCTGCTTGGGCTTTTTACCTGAGACCTTCAAACATGGCTACATCTGAGACCAGCTCGGGCACGGTCCTCTTATCTATCGATGTCACCCCAACGGGCACACTAAAGGTTTGGGCATGCCGTAGGGCAACGATAGAGGATATTGCTCAGCTTCCTCCGCAAAAGGGGTTCCTGGAATGGGCGTATCCTGGCCGTCATGAAACCATTGTCAGCTTCTGTTTGAACTTCTTGCTACTTGTCCAAGAATGCCAGCAAGAAAATGAAGGGAAAACACAGGCAAAATGTCCATATTGGAACACTGCCTCTCCTCCGTGCGCTGTTGCAGCTTTTCCTTTCGAGTTCTGATAGAACGAACCTTATGGCACCTACTAGGCCGGAAGCGGACACGTTGGTCGCAATGTTCATGGTTTGGCTTCTCGATCACATCTGGGCCTTTTTGAGTCGAGAGATTGAAGCTCGGTGGGACGGAGCCAGAAAGAAAGCTTGTGAAGAAAAAGTAGGCATGTGAACTATGATTAGACTGGTCCCGCTCCTTGCCACAGCATATGTAACCAAGGCGATCCTCGGGTTAAGCTTCGGAGATGGTTTCACTGGTTCTTTTTGCAAAGTTGCCTTTTCAGAGGCAAACTCAAACATGGAGATAGCACTTGATTGGCACAACTTCCTTGATCACTTGGACTCTTTAAGACAAGACCGACTATTTTGTTTTTTACGACAAAATGTGCATATTATACAGATGCCATCTGCGGTTGATGGTGACAAATGATGGTCATCGGCCTTCTGGGGCCGAAACTATCGAATCTGGAGACGAAAACTACAAAGTTGAGCACTATTTTGAGCCGCTGGCCTTCCGAAAGTTGGAGGACTCAACATCAGGGGTTTCAAACATGGCAGTCACCCTCAGGACACTGCGAAATTGTAGGAATTGATCCTGGGAGCGACCGGAGCTCGATTGAGGAGCTTAAGGAGATATTATTGTTTAAAAAAGCATAGCGGCTGAGCAAAGCGGCCCAGAGCAAAGCCAGTCGAAGTGAAGGCACTTGTAGGCAGATTTAAACGAACAAAGACGAATGGAATCATTGTTGAGCGCTGCTTGGAGGAACCGTCTACATAGAGAGGCGATTAATATCTTAGGCATGATTAGTCTATGGGCTGCCGAATACAGCTTGTTAATCAATCATGGAGCCGAACCCGACTACTAGTACTGCCTGCTCGACGCGTAGATTGATTGGGCTGTCCATTCCAGGGTACGCCGGCTGGTACTGGTTAGACTTGATAGCTCAAGCAGGCGCAGTCAACAAGGTCCAAGATTCCTATAATATCAGGTCTTGCTTCAGGGGTTACAGCGCGTATATAGAGATATATATGGTATTGGAGGGCCTAATAGGAGAGATGCGAGCTCCTTCTTTGTTGTTTGCCGAACAAACCATCCACCACCACTGAGTTGAAAAGCCTATTCCAACCCGGGTGTAGTCAGCCTATATGCCATTGTACGCTCTATATTGCAAGGTGGTTGCCGATACGAATGCCAGTAGATCATGAGGATCAATATATCGGTACTTTCTCTAGCCATCGAATGGTTACAACACGTACCTCACCTACTTGCTGAGAGAAGCACAAGGATGATTAACTTGTTTTGTCGGATACAGCTTATGGGTTGGTGGTAATGATCAGGTCTAGGGCTTGGTCATTGCTGTCGACTGCGACAAGATTTATATAACAAGAATATGACGAATCGATCTTGAACCAATTCTAGAAAGTTGAATAATCAGTAGATTGGCTTGCGAAGATAAACCGAATTTGTCGATGTAACGTTTAACTGTTATTAGTATTAGGTACTCATTGATGACAGCCACATGCAATACTTTGCTCGCCTCTAGTGTAAGCATAAGGCAGGGAGTTGTCGCCCCTTGGTCTGGTACCAGATATCGAGTCTACCCACTAATACTAGGGTGATTGAACCCTTCAGTATGTTACTATTCGGGGACAACTTGTATTTGACTGAGGAATGGTCAAAGGAAAAATAGTACGTACACTGAAAACACTCAACACCAAGATTTATTCCTATCGGCAGCTCCATCGATGCTCAGTCAAGCTTTCTGCCAGGAAGCGACGAGCTCAAATGGTCACTAACTGTTTTCGGTATCTGCCCGAAAGACAGAATTATAGCATCCTTTAGGATTGGTTATTGGAGCCGAAATATCAGATCCGTGACTGGCATACCTAGCCACGAGGTCAAGGCATTGTATGCAGCTTATTCGCAGCTTGCGCCTCGCTCTTTCGAGCTGAGAGGGATGTAGGGCAAACTGGCGTTGACGCCCCTTGATTATTCATTAAGTCTCAAATGCCAAGTTGCGCTGTTGATGAGCCCCCAAATTTATGGATGTCTGGGTATTCGGGGAGTTCGCTGCTACTTCGCAGAGGATGATGGAAAAGGGACTCTTTAAGCTTTAAACCAAAAATCAGCCAGTATTATCAAACTTGGATGTATGGTAATTGTCACTATCACTCATCGTCTACAACTAAGAGTGAAAAACTACCTTACCAAAGGAAGAGTTTCTCATGGGTATCTTCACCGTTCTTAAACATTCTAAAAACGGAACTGACAATCTATTTTACTCGAACTTTGAGCTACTGGATTGACGCAATCTTACCAAAACTGCAAACCCAAGCCTTCGAGCCCTCTAATGCCTCATCCTCTTCCCAATCTCACTCTCCCAGTCCTTGGCCCTTTCAAATCCATTTGAATGTGTTTGATAATCCATAAACGCCTGATATACCGCCTCCTGGTTGGTGACCACAAACGGGCCGTATTGCACAATCTTCTGGTCGAGCGGCGTCCCGGCCACAATCACCAACCGCGCATTCTTCTCAGCCCCTTCCTCAACACTCACATACACCGCATCTCCCTCCTTCTCAAACACTACCATGTTATACTGCCCGACCTTCTTCTTATCACCTTCTGGATCCCCCAACACAACGCCTCCCTCCAACACATACACAAACGCATTCCAGCCCTCCGGTACCCGCTGGGCGATCTTTCCGCCCGGTTTGACCTCCAAATCCAACAACCACACCGGCGTATACGCCAAATCCTTCACACTCTCGACCCCCTCCGACACCCCCGAAATAACCTTGACCGTGACCTTGCCTCCATCCGCCTGCACAACTGGCACCTCCTCCCTCCTCAAATCCCTATACCTCGGCTCACACCCCTTCAACTTCTCTGGCAAATCTACCCAAAGCTGTAATCCCACACTCTTCTCCCCATCCTTGAGGTCAGGAGCTGGCATCTCCGCATGCACAATGCCTCTCCCCGCTGTCATGAACTGCAGGTCACCTGGCCTAAGCAGACCCCTATTCCCTGCAAAATCCTCGTGCTCCATGCCGCCGCCCAGGAGGTATGTGATGGTCTCTTGGCCGCGGTGCGGGTGGTCGGGGAAGCCGGCGCCGGGGGAGACGAAGAAGTGGTCGAGCATGAGGAAGGGGGTGAAGTTGCGGAGCTGGGGGACACCGATGGCGCGACGGACGCGGGCGCCGGCGCCTTCGGCGGTTTCACGGGCCGTGAAGGCCAGGCGGATGAGGCGAGGGAGGAGCTTGGAGGTTGTTTGGGCGGTCATGTTGGTCGAGGGTAATGTTGATGCTGATGGTACTGTGGTTACTGTTGTGGTTACGACTTGGATGCTTGGCTCTAGTACAGAAGTTCTAACATTGCTCTCTTGAGGCTCCGAAACAATGTTTTGAACTTGAGTTGTTGCTCTCTTTGCTGAGGGTAGTGACAGTGCGAGTGATAGTGATGCTATCGATAAGGAGGGCAGATCGGTTCTTGCCAAGAGAAGAATGACAACCGAGAGAACTCCCACGACGGCAGACGCAATGATGGTGATTCGAGAAAAAGCCGTCATGGAGAGAGTAGACTCGATCGAGGTATTATATACTAGAAGCGCGCATGCACATCTTCCAAAATCTTCTTCATGCCTCTCTGACAAACGTGGTTGTCAAAGCTTTATAAGACGCTGGTAAGCTGGTGGTTGCCCCTCCTGCGCGAAGCGACGCAACGTCCCCGCCCAGCTGTAAAAGTGGGGTGCCAAGCATGGACCATCCCCAATCTGACATTCTTACTTGCTTACGTCATGGGCTGCTAATCTGATGCTCAGTGAGTTGGGCTGCTGCATAATCATTTGAAACGCAGCTAGGATTGGAATATGAGTCTTGAAATCCAGCATCGTTGGAGACGATAATTCTCATGAAGTAATCCGTAACACAGCCTCACATTCTACGAAGTCGATCGTCATCGTAAACCCCCTTTTCTTTTTTATTACAACTAAGTCTTTGACCAACATGCCGAAGTCCAACCGAACCCGTCTTAATTCTCCCTTGATGAGTATCCGATAACAAAAATTCAATCCCAACCCTTTTCCCAAGTATAAAAAAAGACAAAAGAAACCGCCAACCCTGAACCTCCTCTTCTATCCCGAGGCCCGTCTGTTCAAGGTATCTGCACACTTCCGGCAGCCAAGGAGGGGAGGAAATCATCTCTCGAGCTTTCACAAGGCGAAGACTAGTTCAGTCTGTTCGCCCATCGCTTGTTGGTCTTGAACCGAGTCGTTGCGGTCTGGGGATCTTCCCAGACGGCGGAGAGAACGATAACAACGGCAAACGAGAGCCAGCAACAGTAGGCCGTGGCCATAAAAGCCAACTCGTGCAGACCCTCCCCTGTTCAGGAAGAGCTCTTAGCACCAGCCTCGCCTTGGGGAGCAGAAGCAGTAGCGGCTTCAGCACGGCTAGCAAGGAACTCCTTGACCTTACTGAACGTCTCGAAACCCAGGTGGACGCTTTCCTCGGTGATAACCGCCGCGGTCTTAAGGGCGGCCCGGCCACGTGCCACAGTCTTGAGGGGCTGACCACCTGTCTCCTTGTAGGCACTCTCGTAGACCTCGGTGACGTGCTTGACGGGGACGACGACGATGTTGGCGGCCTGCTTGGCCTCCTCGATGATCTCAGGTGTCGACTTCTTCATAACCGGGAAGCGCTCCTCGGCCTTGCTCAGGGTCTGCTCGCCGAAGCTGTCCACCTTCTCAATATAGCCCGCCAGCAACCTGTTGTACGGTCCCTGAAGGACAGACAGAACCGGAGACCCGATTTTGTAAATCGTGCTCGTCACTTGGATAGCGAGTTGACCGAAGCGATGATCCTGGAACCGACGGATGCCCTCCTGGACAACGGGGTAGGTCAAAAGACGCTGCCATGTGTTAGCTATATGTTTTGTCGGGCACATCATGGTGGACCCAGGCGACATAGGACTTACCCGAAGAGTGGCGGACTCGGGCGACTCGCCGTTAACAACAACAGCCCTGTTCTGAGAAGCCATGGTGTATATATGGGATAGGTATCTTGTGTCGTTGGCCAATGTCAGCAGGGATGGTTGACCAAGAGAGAGTATCGAGAAGCTTAGGTAGAAGCTTCAGTGCACTTTCAGGTTGAACGATGAATTGGTGAGGGGCTTGGGAGGGAAGACTCACGGGTCGGTGTTGATATATAGCGCTTGACAGCCTTGGCCTGTGCCACGAGGGTTTTGCGCAAAGGTGATTTTTTCGCGGGCTGTGACCAAAGTCTGACGATAGAGGAGATCTGAGGGAACAGGCAACGGGAGAAGACGGGAGGAGACGGCAAGATATGTAGGCAGGTGAGGATACGTACTGTAAACGTCAGGTCAAGTACCCAATGGGATGCCCCTGCCCAACTTGGCAACCCTACGCCACACCCCGTCACGGCGACCCCGCCGTATGTGCATCCACGGACCCAGTCCGTCGATTCAGCTCTATTATGATTGATCCATTCATCCCGGGTGCTCAGTGCTTCATGTGTTTCTGCCAGACCAGGGGAAGTAGCCGGGGGAGCCAACCAAAGCTCGTAGACAAGGCTTTGCTCTTTCCCGTCAGTACGCTTGCAGCAGGACTATCGCCCATGCAACCAGCTGTAGCACCGACAGCTCACCGAGACGGCACAGACAGCATAGTTCATTTCACATCAAGAATCCCAAAAATTAAAAAAAAAATAACAGTGGGGGGTGCACAATACGATGCAATGGGACATTGAGAAGGTCTCATGGTCGTGCTAACCAAGCCGGTCAGCCACTCATAACGGCCTGCAAGATAAGAAACCGACCCCATGTTGTCTTGGCGCTGCTGGCTGACATGTGAAAGTGGTCAGGGCCCAGAGCTGGTGGACTTGATCTGAGCTCCCAATGCCAAACCGCTTGCCAAGCCACCGCGTAGCTTCCCATCAAGCTGGGACGCCGTGACCCTGTAAACTTGAGAGGGGGGGGGGATTCTTGCAAGGGAAGCTCACAAGACACGGGAAAGATCGTTTCTGTTTCGTCTGGGAAGCTTGTTCACCGGCCCAGATTGTATCATCTCGCTCGCAACTCTTCGTACCATCTATCGACCTCCATGGCATCATGAGCACACACACCTCGGGGTTTTGCCCAAGGGGCGAGATCTACTGGTCCACAATCGCCGGTAAGACGCCTTTTGAGAGCGTATCGACAATGTTGTGTGCCTCCGGATGACGATCTGAGCCACAAAGGCATCTCAAGACTTACGGTCCCCCAACCCCCAACCAAGCTTGAGTATTAGCAACAATCTCACCTGTTGTGTCTGTCCCTGAAGCGCCCGTAGCATAAACATCCCCTCATTCTCCCACGCAATCATCAGGATCATTGTTTACACGTGTACGCCTTGGAGATAACGACATGGGATGAGTGTGCCCCGAGCGCTGCGGTCAGCGACTCCAGAATTGACGCGATTGTCGCAAAACTGCCACGCCCAACCGCTCTTCACTGCATTACCCCTCTTTGTGTCGAAGTGATATGCGTTATGCCTCAGGTGTAAGGCTGCTTGGCCTTCCCAGAAGTGGTGCCTGTCTTGTGTGTGAGGCAGATCGGAGACAAGAGAAACAAAAGTCTTAGCAAACCAGGCACAGATTCGCCTTCCGCAGCCTATGTAGCCTGGCCCCACCTGGCCGCCATTGTAACCTCACGGACCTGATCCGTGATCGACAAGCCCATGACAGGGGCCGCAACTTTCACATGTCAGGACTTTCTCAGCATGTCAGGAGAGACGGCCGACCAAGGCCGGCTGATGATTGTCATCGACTGCCACAAGCCACAAGGGTCTTGAGCCAAGACCAAAAAAGCCGCCGAAAAGTTTTTTTCCAGACAAGCTTCCAAAAAGCAACAGCCGAGTCGATGACATCGTCCCTCGAATGCTGCGAGTGTTTATCATTCGCCACACTCTCTCCGAGGATGACCGTCATCCCAACATTGGCGAGCCGAGGGATGGCACTGTCGCTTTGCTATCAACTGCTTTGAAAACCATACTCTTAACTCACTCCGCTTCTCTCTTGTGAAAATGATCAAAAGGTGCAAATGACATCTGAAAATGTCCGTCCACCCAGCAATAACCGCCGCTTGGCCCACGCTCGGGCCGAGCGAAACAAAGCCTGGCAGAAGTTACCGAAAAGACGAAAGCCCCACCAAACCTCTAACCCGATCTGTCATCGGCTTGGGCAGCTGCACTGATGAGGAACCCTACTTGTACATAGATTCGTACGGCTCTTGAAGCATTGTGGTTGGTAATACAATTGCACTAGCTCGAAGCTATTGATGTCTTGGATTGATTTTTGTTCGGTTAACTTTGCGAGATGCAGAAACAAAGCCGTTGTTCTCGACTCTTCGTTTTTTTGAGGGCAGCCCGAGTCGGGCTACCTACATTAGTGTGAGAGACACGTAGGATGCGCTGCGGCGCTAACAGATGCATGGGCCATGAGGGGACCCTCTTTCAGGCACCATGATTTGTGAGCTGGCATAAGATGTTCTGTGATGTTGAAATGCCACGTCTATTCCTTATGTCCTTGGGTTAACGTTTGTTCCGTTTCTCTATTTTTTTTACTCGTGAAAGGCTCAGAGAACTAACTCTCAAACATGATACATAAAATCAATGACTGTTTTGGTCTGCTAAGCTGCAACAACCAGTAGCATTCCGTATACCCGGGCGACAAGCGTGTGCAAGTCCCTACATCTCCAGTCTTTATGCCCAAAGAAACAAACAAAAAAAAGCGCAGGTGTGCGTCTGTATTCAACTCCTTCGATGACGTGAAATGCCACAGTGAAAGAGGGGTTGGCCTTTCGCGGAGAGAGAGAGAGAGACTGAAGCCAAACAGAACCCCAAATACCTTGGGTTAATCATATGCTCGCACACAACATCACAAGATGAAGGGGATCCAAAACACAACTGGTGTTCACTCGAACTTCGTCACGAGCGACGTTGTTTAGATCCTACAGTCGAGCCGACAATACGCCCCAACACATCCCACGAAGAAGACCCAGGGTCAGCAGTCATGCCGATCTCCTAACGGTCTTTCTCATAACCCTGTTTAACGGAAATCTCAAAGAAGGCAAACAGCCATAAAAGTCTCAGGCTCGCATCCAAAACCTGCTTTCCCTTCAACGTCATTCGATTCCTCGATCCCGGAACTTTCCCGTCCCGCTTGCTCACCTTCCTAACCTGCCAATCGACCAACCAAATGATCAAGTACACTTCCCTTCTTCATCTTCTTCCATGCCCTCCCTCTCAAGACAGGATCACTTTCCCGGATGTTGTGAAACTGTGATAGCGCTTTTGGTGTTGACATTGCTACCTTTCTGCTCCCTCCTTGCCCTAACCCTAGTACCCTGTACGCTACAAACCCTGTTGCTGCTGCATGCATCACACCACGCTCCATCCTGAGCCTCTCCTGTCGGCGGGAGCAACCGAAGCGAAGCTATGGGACAAGTGGTGGGGTACCCTAGGCAAGTAGGTAACCGGGCACAACAACAGGAGGGAGGGATACCCACATCTACGTACTTCTACGTGGGGGTACAAATCGCTTGGTTGCCACCTGGATTCATCAATCGTTATATGGTTAGGGAGAGTCGATAGATATGTAGGTCGGTATTTAGGCCGTATATCGTGTCGAGATGGTTGTAGCCGAATTAGAAATTACAAGGGGGTATCAAAACCGTCCGTCTCAAAAACATGCTGTGCTTCGTAGGTCGTACAAAATATGCATAACATCACACATGCGTCTCCCCTTCATCGGGAGACGTGCGAAGCGAACGACGTGAGGCCATATCTATCGTAATCTGTTGTGAATCCTGTCAGTATCACTCAACGAGATAAGAGGAATAGATGTTTGTAGTATAGATAGGTGATGCCTTGAAGCTGTTTCTCAGAGCGAGGGACGGGTAAGCGGATGAGAGAGGACAAAAGGGGAAGGAGAGGATGAAGGAGTGATGCATTACTCACTGGCGGCACTATCGCCAGCCAGTTTCTGCTTGCCGTTGACCCCGGGCTTGGACGCAGGCAGGCTCCTCTGGTGGCCGCAGCGGGCAGCAGAGCACAAATAGCCTGCACACACTTGTGGGCCAGCAGCGGGCGGGCAGACAGGTCGGCCGCGTGCGGTAACTCGCGCGCACTCCCGGTGCTGGTGTCGGGATTGGAGTCGGAGTCGAGGGCTTGCCCACGTTAAAGGCTAGCCTCCTCCAGCCAGAGCCAACTGCTCCAGCCCAGTCATGCTGTCCTCGTGTCGTGCCCGCTGAAGTGATGGAAAATATAGAAGATCGAAACAGGAACAATAATAAAAACAACGAAAATCCCACAACAACACTGAACCGTTACTCACCAGCTGATGTAGTCCTCATCTGAAGATCTGTAGTCCACCAGCCGCTTGGGAGTCAAGGAAGGAGATTTCCGCTGAGCCCCCTCGGGCTGGTGGGTGTCGGCGGCAGTGACGGCCGGGGCAGTAGGCGTTTCCGCGTGAGCGGGGGAGCTAGTGCTGGCCGTGAGGTTGGGATCCCCTTCCCAAACCTCACCCTCTTCGTCGGACGACGACTCGCTGCTGTTGCTGGTGCTGCTGGTGCTGTCGTTGTCGCTGTCATCGTCCTCGTCGCTCGCGGCGCCACCCCCTGCATTAGCGTCCGGCATCTCAAAGTCGTCGTCAACTTCTCCCTCCTCAGCCTCCGACGATGAATCGGCGTCGGCCTTGGGTTTCTTGCTCGGGCCGCTACTGTTACCGTTCTCGGGAGCCCGCTTCTGGCCCCGGGGACCGTCGACCACCGACCATCCCGCCGGCAGACCGGTCACGCCCGGCGCCACGGCGTGGATGGTCGGGAATTCGATCACCGTCCGTCCAGCAAGGATATTGGTGAAGTTGTCGTTTGCAGCGACGGGGAGCAGCAGCTTCTGGTTGGGCTTGCTGCGCTCGACGAAAGCTAGGAAGAAGCGGCAGGTCGTGAGCGCGGATTCCAGTGTGGGCGGCTCGTACGGGGCGGGGATATCGTTACTCCAGGCGCCGCTAACGTCCTGGGTCGTGTATGGCGCCGGGGACCACGTGCTCTTGTCGAAGTCTTGGTGCTGGTATTCGGCAGGGAAGGGGAGAGCATTGGTGGTGAAAAAGGGGATGTCGTCTTGACGGATTTTGCGACGCTTGTTGGGGTGGGCATCGTCGTCGCGGTAGTAATCAGAGCTGATCTCGAGTTTCTTCCGGTATTCAGCGGTCTGGCCACGATGCCACCACTGAAGGGCGCCTGCAAGACCATTGGCCAGAGAGTTGGACTCAAGGGTCCGATAGAGGATGCGATGTGGCTGCTGCTGTGGTTGGAAGGTCAAGCGAACCGGCAGGGTTCCATAGATCAACCACTCGACTTGCCAGTTGATGAGTCGGTCCTTGTTATAGAAGCAGGTCTTGTTCTCTTTGTGGCGCGATAAGCCACTGGGCGCGACAATGACGTCGATGTCGAGTTCGCGCAGGCGCCGGCGCACTTGTTTGTCGAAACCGGGAATGATTTTTTGGATGGAGTTCTGCGCACTCCGCTTCTTTCGCAATTCCTCGACGGGAATATGTCGTAGCTCCTCGCCAATCCAGATCTTTCGAAACGCGCGGTCTTCGTCAACGGGGCGCAGCTCTTTCTCGTTCAGGATTCGACGTTCCTCGATAATGTCCTTCTCTGCTCTCTCGATGGCACGCTCGATGGAATGGAGGAAATTGTAGTCGTGGTCGATGCCGGCTTCTGTCCGCAACTTCTCGAGGGGGATGTAGGCGGCCGGATTGCGCTTGCCACTGCAGTCGGCGCGAACTTTGTGCTTCTTCACGCAGTCGAGCGAACAAGTTCGCGCGCCGCAGCCAGGGCACTTATACTTAGGCGCCTGACTGTGGCAGATGCTGCAAAGAGCGCTGAGAGGCGTGGTCTCTGACATTCTGACTGGCTTAACGGGATCAGAGATCAATGAAACGATCTCAACAGCTGAGCTGAAACGAAGGCAAAGGATAAGCAAACGAACGTCGCTTGCAATTGGAAGAGAAGGCAGGAAGAGTGGTTGGTCGTAAAAAACATATCTCGAGATGGATCACTTCTCGGCCTTCATTTTCTTATCGATAAGATAATCGCATTTTATCTGAATCTACTGGGCCCACCACCCCACGAGTTCGTGCTACAATGAAAATCTCCACAAGGGTCTTTGTTCTCGTGGGATGATCCCGAGGTCTTCCCCCATGATCCGCGTAATAAGCTTCGGTCGAGGAACTTCGTTGGGGTTGATTTTACTTCAGACCATCTGAGGTTCCTTTGCCTCAGCCAATGACGTTTGCGAGGGCAATAACAAAGCGGTCAAAATCAATTGTTCTGTTTCCGCGGAGGTAATGCCGTTAAATGTTTTTAAGCCCTCTTCGTCTGGTTCTCTCGAACCACCCGCTCACGCAACGCGTCTCATGCTGACAAAGCACGAAGAAGGACAAAAAAAGAGATGACGCTGAGAACAGCTTTGGTAATCCAATGAGCGCAGCATTGAGTCGGGGCAAGTGCTGCAAAGAGCCATAATCGATCCAGTTTTGGACTGATCGAGATCGATTTTTGCCTTTCTTTTTTTGACGGTAACGTGCATGAAGACACTGTTGGTCTACCACTATGAGGGCAACAGTCTTGCTTACGTGTTGGTAATGCGATATCTTGTCCAACGTTTTGTCAGTCTTTGGCGCACAGATCGGCAAGCCGTTCAAAGCTGTGGCTTCGTTGCTGCAAAACAACTGAACACACACAAACGCATGAAGGTGTTGATACGGACACAAACTGTAGAGCTCAGATAGCTCTATAACGGTGTTTCTCTGGAACTTCCCTCGCCTTGTCTCAAGTAAAGAGGTGAGCTTAAGAACCCCACTTAATACTATGGCGATACCCGGTATCTTTGCTCTTCGGGAGCTTCGAAGAGCCCGGATAGCAGAGTGGTTTTGCAGCAGGGCGTTGAGCGCTGGTAGGTGGTAGCGTCACAATGCATATACATCACGCTTTTCGACGCTGTATGGGTTGCATTGCGCCGGTCTTTAGGCAAATAGAGATCTCCACCTTTGCTAAAAGTTGGGGGCAACCGTGCGCCGTTTGCTCGCGGGAGTGAGACGGTTGTTGATGTGATCGAAAGCTCGGGAAGAAATCTTGGGATCGCGATGGCAACAAGATCCCAGGACTTCTCGGACCTTCTCTCGACGTCTTGATGCCACAAGTAGTGACAGTCGATGAAAGATTCGAAAAGCCTTGGCATTGGTTAGTTCGCCGACAGGGACACAGGAACATCGGATTTGATTTGGTTTTGTGCGAGCCACGACAACCGACAGTGCAGTGTGGCATTGGAGTTGTGTGTTGCACCGGTGGGAGGAGCCCCTTTTTTTTGGTCACCCCGCAGCCGATCGACACAGCAGATCACCGACTGGTGTCCAGTCTTCCATGTCTTATAGTTGCAGGTTTGCTTAACGATCTTGTACTTTGATCGGAAGTATGCGCTTTGAGAATCACCCAGCCATCCGTTGAAGCAGACGTCATCATGGCATGCAGAGAAATTGTCTTATTGATTAGATCGTGCATTCTGCAAACGTTCCTCCACCGAGCCCAGAACCAGGTAGCTCCATTGCCGGGAACAAAGAAAACAGAGCAGCAGAAGCCAAGGCTGGTTGGCCCTGGGCCCTGACCACAGTATCCAACAAGAGATTTCTTACTGTGTATGATTACGGGAGACCCTCCTGGGGGTTGGAGAAGCAGATCATTTGTGCAAAGAAGCAAGCGATGGACGTGGGCACAACGAACGCCAGGAACCAGGAGAAAAGCTCTTACCGACCATCGCCCATGCTGTGCTGCCATCTGGAGCCGCCACAAAAGTCGCGATTTGGCAGATTTAAAACATGGCAGAGGCTCTGCGGACAGCCGTTTTCTCAAACATTGCTAGTCCCAAAATACCTTACCCAGAGCTCTGGCTGGGGCAGAGCATACAGTGCAGCCAGTCTCTGCGTGTCTGCAGTCGTGCAGATAGGTCGAGCTTGGAGAGAATTGGCTGCTCTCTTGGCGCTCGGGTTTGAGAGGCTTCCCCTGGCTCCTCAACCCCTGAAGCTGCGTGCGCAGCAGGGGCTAGTGGCCCCACCTTATTTCCCAGGCCCCGGGCCGGGGCTCCTTCGGTCGTCTCTGGCTGGCTGAAAGCGGCGCTCCTCAACTGCCCCGATTGCTCCATTCCTTCCTTCATCACACTTTCTGTGCTTCCTCCTTCCTGGTGTTTCCCAGCGTGGGCCTGCGCTCTGCATTGCTGCATCTGCCCGCACCTACCTGCAGCCCGCCTTCCCTTGCTTTCTTTCCTGCAGCTGCAGCTGCTTCCTGCTGCTTCCCTCGCTCCAGTCCCCAGTCGTTTTTCACTGTTCAGCTTCGCTGGTCTCCACGGCACAGCGCTCGGTCCCTTCCTTGTCTTTCAACCTCATCTCAATTGCCCAATCTCTTTTTTTTTCTCCTTTTTGTCATTTCCTCTCTTTCCAGGCTCCAGCTTCAAACGCCCCGTTTTGCCTCTCTCACCCACTTCTTCCATCCCCCCATCCCCATTGCAATAGACGGCACTGGCCTGCTGCTGTCAGGGATATTCCCATCAGAAAGCCTGAGTCCTGACCGAGGGTGGGCGGCCAGTGAACGTGTGGAAGAGTGAAGAGAGTGAGACCACGGCATCAAGAGTTCCAGACACAGCCAGTCCAGCGGCCAGCCTGTTGTCTGTCTGTCGCGTGCTTGGTGCTCTGCTTGACCTCCATCCTCCCCACCTCTGTTTCTTTTTCCATTGTCTTACTTCGACTTCCATCTACTTCTCTCCACGGTACAGGCGACAGGCTCGTGGATCTCTCGAGAGCGTTGCTCGTTCTGCCTGACCGCCATCATCAATACCAGCCTCCATCCACACGAACGCGTCGCTGTCTTCATGATACCAGCTTTTCCGCGTCGTTTTGCTTCACCTTTCTGCAAGAATTGTTGAACGATTGACCTATCAAGCCATCGAAACACGCTGGCCCTTGTTTCGACTGCCGAACACCAGGAAGCCGGCCGATCACCGCGTCGCCGCTGCGGCCCGTTAGCTTGCTGAGCCTCTCTCAGCAGGTTGCCGCCTCTGGCATTTTCTTTCGAAGGTGCTGGCATCACATTTGTCAATCGCCTAACAATGCCACCCTCACTGAACACACACTCTTCGTTTACCCGTCCGCGGACGAGCGACCGCGATCGTCCCGTCACGCGTGACCAGGCCGACGGCAATGTCGTCATCCCCAGCCGGACCTCGTCCCTTCACTCGCGCATCACCCAGCCGTTGCCCAATACCCTGAATGTCAAGCCTCAGCGGACGCCCAAGACCCTCACCCACGCCTACATGGTGTGTGGTGTTGGTCGTGAGCCGTCCCAATGGGTCAGGGCGCCTCCTCCGCCGCAGGGTAAGATCAGCCACATGAAGGGTGCTGTTCCTCAGTTCTGGCTTCCCGAGATCTTGGGGAGCAGTCCGAGGTTAGAGCATGACAACGAGATTGCCCGTGCTCTCCACGCCGCTATGAGGGTATGTTGTTTTTGAAGGACATGCATTTGTCATGTGTATCTGCGTTTTCAGCTAACCAGTCTCTAGGCATGCTTCCCTCATGACGTGGAAATTTGCACTGGCCGGACCCAGCCACATTGCACTCATCATGCCTTCGTCCTCCAGCAGGACTCATCCCACACGCTATATGGCATTTGTTTGCGCGTGTGGTCCCGTGCTGATGAGAAGCGCGCCGAGACCATCCGGGAGCTGCGCAGGAGGACAGAGCCCGATTTCTATGACAACCCGGATGAGACATACTGGATTCCCTACTGCCTCTCCTTCCTCTCGCGCTACCCGCTCTATAACCTGCTCGGCGATTACCTGCGTGGCATGTGGATCCACTGGAACAAGGCAACCAATCTTTTCCATGCCGAAGAGGTCTCACGCATCCTGAGCTTCCCTGCCCCTCGCTTGAACGACCTGGTTCGCATCGACATGAAGGACTACGCCCTCGTCTACCAGTTCCCTTCTTCTCCGACTGGGTTTCAAAACTTCGCTTTGTGGCCTCTTTTCTGCTGCCTTTCGATTCCCAACATCGTCGGCGTCATTGAAGCCGCCATTTCGCCTACCCGGCGTATCATCTTCGTTAGCCACTACCCTGCCATGTTGACCATGGCTGCTGAGACGGTTCGCTTCTGTGTCCGCGTCTACGAGTGGAGCGGTCTTTACGTCCCGATTGTTCACGCTCGTCACGCCAAGGAACTTGTTGAAGAGCCCGGCCCGTACATTTTGGGCATCACGGCTGAGTGCAGGTCTCTCTTCACGGCGCCGGCTGATGCTCTAGTCGTTGATCTCGACCGCAATTTCGTGCTCACTTCGAACCCGCCGAATGTTCTCACGCCCAGCCAGCGCCAGAAGTTCATCCAAAGGTTGACTCAGGCCTTAAACGGTGATGTCACGCCTTCGGGCGTTCCTCTGCATCTGCGCTCTGCTTACGGTGGCGGCAAGCTGGTTCCTGCCGGCCAGATCATCGTCATGCGCGGTGAGGTCGAGCGCATCCAGGATCCTGAGTGGTGGAACCAGGACGCCGTCATGACTGTCATGGATCACTACTGCGAGAAGGTGCTGCGGAACACCGGCCTCAAGGCCGTCTTTGGCGGCTCTGTCAAGAAGCCACTCATGACCAAGGTTTCTATGAGGCATCTGAATGAGATTGTGCGCGAGCGGAACCAGTACTCGAGAGACGCTATGGAGGCCTGGCAGGACTTCATCAACCTCAAGGGTCGCATGGATATGGAGCTCAGCAAGGTCACCAAGAGGAACAACTACCTCATTGAGGAGCTTGAGAGCTGGAAGCAGCAGTTCGTCAAGTTTCAGGCCTACGCTGATACCCTCACCAAGGAGACCCAAGATCTCAAGGTCAAGATCGAGAACCACAAGCGCGAGAACCGTCGTCTGGCTGCTCTCATTGAGCAGCAGAAGGATGAGTCTGCTCGCCTGTCAGTCCGTCTCGCTGGTACCGAGAAGCAGCGTGACGATGCCCTTGAGGCTCTTGTCCTGCAGCAGGAGATCGCCGAGGAGCTCGAGCGCGAGCGCAAGAGGAACAAGAAGGAGCTCAGCGCGCTCCAGCAGACCAACGTGACGATCGTCCGGCAACGCGACGAGGCTCGCCGTGTTGTGCTGCACCTGCGCAGTTTGATTGCTGGCCAGCATCACCACATGGAGCACCTTGTCAAGTCGCTGACCTCGCCCGAGGAGTTGGCCGCTGAGATCGAGGCTGGCTTTGCCGCTGAGGACGAAGCTGAGGCTGAGGCCGTCGCCAAGGCCGCCGCTGAAAGTGAGACCCCCCGAGCTGACAACCATTGGCCCGATGGTACTAACAGGATCGCAGAGGAAGGTCTGGACCAGAGTGATGCGCGCTTCATCAAGAACCTGGCGATTGCCAGCCGGCGCATCTCGGCCCAGAAGTTCATCGACGTGGCCGACCGTCATCTCAAGGACAAGACGGACGCCATCGCCCACATCATCCGCAACATCGCGGAACAGTGCCAGGCAGCTGTTGATAGCCTACAAATCTCCGAAGCCACCGAGCTTGGGAGGTCGGATACTCCGACCTCTCGGGCTCGGGAATCGAAAAGTCGCCGGGGGAGTTCTCTCTCAACAGTACCCAGTGACGATGGAGCCTCGGCGGCTACGTCCGATGTCGGGGACGATAGCAGCACCCTCCTTCGACCCAACAGTGGCCGGCTCTCTAGCATCCCACCCACACCGGATCTCGTTCCCAACCGCAGCAGCACTAGCATGTCATTCGCGAGTACTGCCATCACGACCCCTGAGCGGAGCTCCCAGCAGTACATGCTCGGAGGACAACACCACCACCACCACCACCACCACAACAGCCACGATCTCCCCACCAAGATCGTCGAGGACGACGAGGACGTCGCTGACCTCGCCGCTGACGATCGCGTTAGCGAGTCCGAGGGCAACCCCATCCCCGCCCCTCTCTCGCAGGAACCGGGGGTCATGGGTAAACACCCCGAGGGCCTCCTTCACCGCCCCTCGGGCGCGAGAATCAGCGCTCTTGGAACCTCCCGCTGAGGGCGCCTCTGCCGATGATGCGGCAGCTAATGCAGCTTTTAATACTGCTACGCGGGAGACCCCGTCTCCCTCGCCCGGTCCTGTCGTGCGCCCGAACCGGGCTTCATGGATCAGCACCCCACGGGCAGCCACGCTCGGCCCTCGGGAGCTGGCGTTGGCCCGCCTGGAAGGTGGGTTGCGTGCTCCTATTGAGGAGGGGGGCGTTTCTGTCCCCGACAGGGCATCCCCCTCTCCTTATTATCGCTCACATCGCCGGGGTCGCGGGTCCTATGTGAGCTCGCTCACGGTGCCGCGGGAGCTGTTGCTGCTGCGCTCGGAGAGCCCCATCTCGCCCAAGTTGGCGGAGAAGACGGAGGAAGAAGAGCAAGGCGAGAGTCGTAGTAATGACAAGGAGGGCGACAAGAAGAAGCCCGATAATGACAAGACTAATACCAACAAGATTCAGGACGAAACTACCATGGGGTTCGGCGGCGGAGGGAAATAATAAGGAAGATGAAGAGAAGCAAGAGGAAGAGGAGTCGGAGGTGGAGATGTTTTAACGGACGGATACAACAAATCTATGGTGATGGGCGATATCTCTGGAACTTTCTGTTCATTTTTCTTCTTGACCTTTAAACGGCTTGAAAGCGAGTTCAAGCAAGGCGGGCGGGAAATTTTTTTTTTCTTCGTTTCTTTTCTTTCCTTTTCTTGGTCACGACGACGTAAGACTGATGTCTGTGAGTCTCGAAATTTTGGAAACGGTTTTCCCTTTTTTTTTCTTCCCTCGTTTCCTTTGTATATCGAGAGACAAGTCTCCTTTTTTATTATACCACTTTTTTGTAGTGAGAGACCAAGGGGGTGTGATTTATTGATATCCCTACTGGTTCTATTTCCAATGGTAGTGCTTATTGCCCCACACATGTCGTCTTGTTGATGGTGCCGATCGGTCGTTTGTTTACTGATCTCTCGTTTGTATGAAGTAGTATCGAGTAAGTTAATATACCTCGAAGTCAGAGAACATTGGCCGACTTTCGGTTGTTGCCTGGGGATCCCTTCTACCATTATCCATATGAAAGAAGCAAATCCCAGAACATACATTCCTGTACTTTTAGACTTTGCCAACAATGATGTAAGTGCCTATATAAGGCTCGAACGAATGAGATCAAGGGGTGTGAATACTACAACTACCTCACGTATCTACTACTGTGAATAATCAGAGAAGAGGCGGTAAAAGATTTATCTGGGCGAGGGTATGAATGTATCCTGCAGGAAGGTACTGGTGTGACCAAATCAAAGTATGTGTATTTCAATCACAACCACAAAAAGCCTGAATGTTGAACATCCAAGGTCAGTGCCGTATGGGTTTACCTAAGTCAACTTAAAGTGCGCTTTGGTAATCATCTAGAGCCGTCATTTCTCTGACATTGACATAATAACCCTATGGCTTTACCTGACTCCCCGAACAGTTCTGTATTACATCACCCAAGTTTTTAAGCTGCTCATCCACGTTGGTTTCCAACAAGGCCTCTTGTTTTAAGCTCCCTTTTCTTCACCATTGATATGATCTAGCCAGCTATGGAGGTTGGGCTTACATTCGGCAGCTTAGGTGACAACATTGCCATCTGCCAGCTCGCGCGCCGTTTAATCCAAGCCCTGGGGAACAGCGAAACTCCAGGTCAAAGTACCAAGGGGTACCAGGAGCTAAAAGGACGACAGTAAATTAGGATGGGCTATACTCTCGAGAAGCGCAACAGGATAAGGGAGAGTATGAAAAGCATTTCTTAGCTACCAATGGCCAAGTCGATCAAATAGAAGGGTAAAAAGGCTGGGATGGTAGAGCGTATTTGGTATTAGAGATTCGAGTGATGGTTCGCAGCAAAAGAGGCTTTGTATCCGGAACCCCTATCCCATTAGCCGTCTATAGTGTGTCTATCGGGTATATATCGTCCTACTGTTGTACAGCATATGTCGTCGTTGTCTTTTACACAAAAAGTTCCCGATTGAAGCCTGAAGTGCGCCTGCCCATGCCCATTGCTGCCCTCTATCTAGACGTCTTCGGTCAAGTAACCATTTAGACTGTTCCCTTGTCCCTCCGATCCAACATATTAACTGCCCACTGGTAGCTCCCCAAGAAGATGGCGCCGCCAGCGCTAATCCACATCACACGGGGTCCAATACCCGCAAAGAAAGACCTCACCCCACCCTCCCGCCAGATGCTCCTCACGATGCTGGTGATACTCTCTCGCTCCTTACTCAGCATGACCCGAGTCTTAAGCACATCCAGCGGTGTCGTCGCCGCCGCCGCAAACCCACCCGCTAAGCTGCCATAAAGCGCCGACTCCGGCGCGCTGACCTCCTCTTCGATCATCCTCCCATCGACGTCACGCTTCTGCGAAGAACCTGCCCCCTCCCCAAGCAGCCCTCTCCCCGTGCGCGCCTTGCGCTCCCGCCCCCAGGCCTTCAGCGCCTCCCACAGTGGGAACTGCAGCACCGTGAACGGCACCTCCCGCATCACCGTGATCCCCCACCCGCGGTACAGCTCCCGCCAGATGGTACACGCCCTCTTGACGACTCCAACACTCTTTCTATCCCCATTGCCCCGCAGAATGTGTGACAGTGCGTCCCACGACCGTCCCCCATGCTGCCCGGCCTGTGCCCGCTGCTTGACCACCTCCGTCGGCACGCGCACCGCACACGCTGCGATCTCGCCTGCTGAGGCTGCGACCATGTGCGTGATGGCGGCATGCTTTTTCCGGGTGTATTCGTCCTCTCCTGAGGTCGAGTAGGAGAGCATGAGCCCCTTAGTTGTTTCGTATGTGCAGAAGAAGAAGGCTGCGCCCGGTGCGCTGCCGACTACGACCGAGCCGATCCCACGGTAGATGCCACGGAAGCCGCCGGAAGCGAAGAAGCCTTCGGCAGATTGCAGACGGGTTTTCAGGGTGTCGAGAGGAAAGAGGGAGAGGTCGACCGTTGTGCCGGCGACGGCGCCGGCTAAGAGAGCGGTTTGGAAGGGAGGTGGGGGTAACTCGGAGGGGGCCATGGTTTCGTTTGCGTGTGAAGGTGTAGATCGTGTGAGAGTGACGTTATCGATGCGATTGGGGGCGCCTGTCCCGTTCATCGGCGGCGAGTTGGGCTTGCGGGGATGGCAGCGGCGGCGTGAGATGGGAAAGAAGTCGGGTCGCGAGAACTATGCGATGCTTGATATGAGCATTGGCGGCGCAGGTCACTGATTGGAGGGTGTTTTATGTCGTGGTTGTGTCGTTAAGTGGACATGGTGATAAGAAGTCAACAAATTCCTTTTTTTTTTTCTGTTTTTCCCTCCTCCATGTCGCGGCGATCAGGTCCGGCACCGGCAGGCAATGACCCGAAAGACCCCGGCTGCCCCTTGCGCTGCGGGCACCTGGTCCAGGATTCCTTATCGATAAGAGCGTCGCGGCATGTCATAGAATATGCTGCCCCTCGCATTTGTGTCTTAACCTCCCCCAACTTCACTCGCACACACATTGGTGATTGTGATGGAATGACTACGCCACCCGTTCTGCACCGCAGTGCGCGGGCAATCAGCCCGAGTGAATTCCTCGAGGCTTTGCGGGCAACATGCCCGCCGCGCTTCCCAGCCAACCGGGCGCGCATTCATCGGCCCATTGGTAGGCTTATCCTCACTATATCTGCTTCTGTGCTGCCCTGACTTACCGATCTAGCTCGCTGACGCCCTCAATTAGCTCTGGCTGTCAGTGGCGGCGTGGACTCTATGGCCTTAGCCTACCTCTGTTCTAAAATTCGGCCGACGGACTGCTGGTTCAAGGTGGCAGATCACCCGGTTAGCAGTCCTTACGCCATCATCATTGACCACGGGCTGCGTGAGGGGAGCGATGTTGAGGCTTCCAACGTCTCCAGACTGCTTATGGAAAAGCTAAAGATTAAGTCCAGCGTGATCAAGTTACGTTGGGACCCGTTTCTGCCCTATAAGGGCGCTAACCCGAACGAGCTGCCCAACATCGAGACTCTGGCGCGGTATCTGCGTTACCGGGCTATTGGGAATATGTGCCGAACGCAGCACATTTCCTCCCTCTTTACAGCTCATCACCAAGATGACCAGTACGAGACTGTGTTGATGCGGGTCCTGTCGGGCCACGGGTACCGCGGCCTGCAGGGTATGCGGCCGTCGACCGATATCCCCGAATGCTATGACTTGCATGGCGTCTACCGCAGTGGCCTTGTCGACGACCAGCGCCGGCGCCATCCCTTTTACGTCCTGCGTCCAACCGGTAAGGAACGGAAGAAGATGCGGAAAGAGATGAAAGATATGATTGACCCTGAGGTGTTCGCTCAGGAACTGGAAGAAGGGCTGAGAGCAGACATGGCCGGCATAGACGCCTACCTTGACGAGCAGGATCCTGTTGTTAAGGATGTGGAGCGCGTTCCGCCTTTGACCCCCATGGAATTCGAGAACGGGGGGGTCATGGTCTACCGGCCCCTGCTGGGCTTCTCCAAAGACCGCTTGATCGCTACGTGTCTGGAAAACGATATCCCTTGGTTCGAAGATCATACCAACGCCGACCCGACGCTGACCATGCGCAACGCGGTGCGGCACATGTACAAAAATTACACCTTGCCTGTGGCTCTGCAAAAGCCGTCCATTCTCTCCCTTGCCAAGCGATGTCGGGATAGGGTCATTCGCGAGGAAGCGGAGGCTGCCAGGACGCTGCGTAATGCTCACATCCACTTATTTGAGCCAAATACAGGCACGCTTGTGATAACATTTCCTAAGTTTTCCTTCCCGAGCGTACCCCGGAGATCAGCATCGTCTCCTGCGGCCCGCCAGCGGCGTGTGGCGCACTACCGTCTCATCGCAGGTCTCATGTTGCGCAAGCTGCTCTCCATGGTAACCCCTGAACGAGAACTCAGCCAGGTCGCACAGTTGGACCATTTAATCAACATGATCTTCCCGGATCTCGTCGAAGAAGGCATACGCCCGCCAGATCCGAAGCCATACGTCATCTGCGGTGTGCACTTTGTCCCATTAGAAGGGCGCGGCCCTATCCGCTGGCAGCTCACAAGAGCACCATATGTCTCGCACGCTCCTCGCCCACAAATCGAGTTCAAGAAGCGTCCCCTGCGCCAACGCGTTGGTAAGCACCCGAGCGAGTGGGGTTGGAGTGTATGGACACAAGCCCAGCTCTTTGATGGACGCTACTGGGTGCGCATCCGGCATCGATTCCCCTGCCCTGTGCGGGTAGCGCCCTTCGAGATGGAGCATCAAAAGCCGTTTCGGGAGGCTCTTGGTGAGGAGCAAAAGAAAGAACTAGCTTCCAAGCTGAAGAAGCATGCTCCAGGAAAAATCAGGTATACATTGCCTGCGATTTATGCGGCGATTGATGTAACCGAGCTGATAAACGGGGGTGGCTGGTGGCCGGAATGGGATAATGTTCAGGCGCAGCTGAAGTATAAAGCGCAGATGGAGGCGAGGAAATTGGAAGTAGAGAGATCGAGTGTGCAGATGCAGCAACAGAACCAGTATGAAAAGCGAGAGCCGACTTCTTCTAACCCTGCCGCTGATGGCGCTCAAGCACCAGTGGACAAGATCATAGTCACAGAATCCGCGATACCTGAGGCTGGCCAACGATTCGGCCTTCTTTCAGAACCCGCAGCCAAGGTATCGAAAACAGCTATCCCTATCACCAATCAAACAGGACAATTGACTCCTGCAACATCGCCATCACAACCAATAGATTCGCCAACACCTACCAACAGCAAGCAAATTTCTACCGCTGAACCAAAGGAGACCTCATCCACTTCAACAGCATCACCAACAGCTATAACCCCCTACAACGAACCCACACCTCTTGTCCCCATCGACCCCTTTGCAAAACCAGTCCTTCACATAGTCCCGACCCGCCCACGCCGCCTCTCCGACTGGGAACAAGAGCTTCTTGCCACATCGACCCCGAAACTCTTGGCTCTGCCCACACTCAGCATCGCGATCCCAGGAGTCGAGAAGTGGCTTGAGTGGGAGGTCATGTACAAGAAGGTTGACGATGATTTGCTGAGGTTAAGTGAAGAAGGAGAAAGGGATGATTGGAAGACACGGAGGGCGGTTAGGAGGGAAATGATCAACAGGTATAGAAATAGAGCTCGAATTATGAAGAGGCGACCGAAGGAGACGGCGATGATGAAGAAAGAGAAAGAGACCAAGAAAGACGAGTTAGACGGGGGCTTGGTGCCTAAGTTTTGGGGAATGACGCTCTATGGGTGATAGATGCCCCATATAAGAGGGATGGACATTTGTATACATGACTTGCGATGTGTCGTGATATGAATACATTAAAAAGGTTGTCAATGAGGTTACAACGGTTCTCGCATTTTCCTTTATCATATAGATCTGTTGGCTACAACCACCCCCCCACCTCTTCCTTCAAGGGGTAGATTTCATGATCTTCATGTCCAACCCCAATCATCCCTTGCCCTCAAGCCTCAACCCCCCACTCGCGTCTCAATCCCTCTTCAAAATCCCTCCATCGCCCCATCCGCATCGGATCCAACTCCTTCATCTTGCCCAACCACTCCCTCAGATTCTCCTTCTCCTCCTCATCCGGCTTGCGCTTCCCCTCCAGTCGGCAGAGGTCCAGCGTCAAATCAATCAAAGCCTCGTAGATAAGCTTCACGTTGTCGTAGTCTTCAAGCAGGTCGCGAATCTCGGCCAGCTCGTTGCGTAGGAATGCGATGCGGTCTTCTATGGGTAAGGTAGGGGTGATGGTATGCTCGTTGTTGGGAGGTAGCGTGGTCAGGTTGAGCATGAGGTACTGGTGGTAGTACCAGAGGGATTGGTCTTCGGGACCGACGTTGAGGGCGTTGTGGATTTTGTCGAGTTCTGTGGGGCAAGTCAGTTCGTCTCTTTCATGAATGACAAAGGGGAAGCGTGTAAAAAAAACATACCGGCCTCAAAGAACTCCCTCCTCGCCTTCTCATCCGCGCCCCTCTCCTCCAGCAGCCGAGGAATCAGCTTACTTCGCGAGTGCCACGCCGAGAAGTTAGACAGATCCGCCCGGATCTTGTCCTCCGTGTACTGGAATTCCGCCTCGACCATGCTGCCGCCGCCGAGCGCGTCACTCTCTAGCTGCGCAACCACGTGCCGGCGGTAACCCCATGCGTGGAAGTTGCGCCGGTCTTTGGTCAGCATTTTTGAGGCGAGTGCCAGCTCGGCCTGCCAGATCCCGCGCGCGACGGGCACCGGCAGCCGAGAGATGGACTGCCGCAGGATCCAAAGGCGGTAGCTCCAGATCCAGTAACATTTTGGGGATTCGATGAGGAGAGGGATGGTGAATTCTAGTTCAGTCTGGAGCATGGTGCGGGTTTGTTTCTCGGTTTCCTCGTCGTCCTGCTTCTTTTCCTCGTCATTCTCCTCACTGGTATGATCACCCGCATCATCAGCTGTAGTACCACTCCTCCCAGCTTTCGGGCAGCCGTGGCTGGGCTGGGTCTCTCCCAAGCAAGAGCACGACGATCTGTCGCAGCAATCTGTTGTAGTGCCGCATGGACAGGTACTCGAGGACTCCATCAAGCATGACGATCCAGACGAGTGTCTTAACGATGAGCCAGGCATTCCGCAACAACACAAACCACCACGGCGGGCCTTGGGCCCCGCCGGCAGCAACACCAGCAGCGCCCGCCGCCGGATGTTCCATACTGTGTAGTACTCCGGGTTAAGTCGCAACAGCCGCGTCGTCAAGTCAAACACGTGCTGGGCGGATGCGCGGTCGGCGTAGGCAGTCCGCGGGTTCTTGACACGCGCGCGTAGGTCGTCTTCGAGGACGCGGTACGATGCAATGCGCTCTAGGTCGCGCTGGCGCTGGGCTTCGGTGCGGACGCGGCTCGTGCGGGCGATGCCGTGCTGCGAGCCTCCTTGCTAGCGCGCGTAAGGCTTGGGGATCAGTCTCAGTCTCAGTCAATTTTACTTCGACTTTTTTATTTATCTCTGTGGCGATCGATAGGCGTGCATAGGTGTAAGGAGAGGGTTGCTTACATTGGCCATGTCGTTCGGAAGTGATTGCGGCGATCAAATGATGTTGCTGGTGACGGTGCTTGGATCGGTGCTGCTGGTGAATGATACCCCACGAGCTGATGATGCAGGGCTGCCTTATCTAATCTTATCTTTATTGTCTGATAAGATACGGATGAGATAATCAGCGGATTTCGAAGGAAGGCCAGCCGAAAGTAAAGTACATCAACTCTCTATAAACAGTTCGAGTTTCTTGTTTTCTTTTGTTAAGATATCGCTAAAGTACTTTCCTCCGTTCTTGCTCAATCTCGGAGTTTCCAAAGTGCCAAACAAACAAAAGTAATTCACGAGAAGTTTTCTGGAGCCCGGACACTCAGAGCGTTATATACCTCATCTGTTTTGTTCCATTCTTCCGATTATTGATGATCTGGAGTTGCTTCAGTTACCGTATGCAACCGAAACCGAAGGCATTCAGAAAAAACTTCAGCTGGATAGGAAAACGGTTCAAGGGGTTGGTTGTAAAATACTTCAAAGGGTCGAGGTCCAAACAATCGCGACTATAAAACTTGAACCAGGGGATTGCGGGTTCGTAGGATGCCATTGCAGCAGACGTCTTCCCGCTTTCTTCTACTCGTTCGCCCAACATTGGCTTGACGTCTCCACTGCTCTCTGGAGTAGTCAATACTACCGGCGCAAGCTGTGAGAACCGAACTCTCTGGAAAGATGTTGCCTCATCGGGCGCAGCTGGTAACAACCGGGACACCGATGGATCGTTGGGATCAGCTGAACTTGTTACCGGTGCCTCACAAGATTGAGGTGTCTGTATGAGAGGTTGCGAATCGAAACACAGATACATTCCGCAGCCTTCCGTTTCACTGTTTCATTACAAACGGTTATTAAACTATCAAGACGTGATATGGCAGCGAATGTCCTTACCATTGAGTACGCTGCGTTGAGCCAGGGAACCTGGTCCGGCACCGTGGACACACACGTTCCACCCTTCCACGGATCAAATAGAGCATGCTCATGGTGATACGCATGCCCCTTCGCAGATAGGCCTTGAGTGGTTTATCTGTCTCAAAGATCCTCTGCGTAATTTCCTCCTCGATTGTGTATTCACGTCTTCGGACCATATCGTATCCTCTTTTTTCTTTAAACCAATCCTCTAGCAACGAGTAGAAGGTCTGGCAGAAGATTGAAAAAGTCAATATAGTTGTTCCTAGAACAAATTCAGTATCCAAGTGCCCTCTTCTAGTTAACTCGCCTTCCATTCCATAACGTCCACCAACTGAGGATTAATCAGTAGTTTTCTCCCTAAGGAGTCCTCCAGTATGACCGGAAGTTCTCTGGTTGGATCAAGAAAGCATAGACGATTGAAGGCAGACAGGGTTTCATAAGCCCGTGTCGTAACTCGGGCGATCGAGGTGATCATTTCCTTAACGTCCCAGAGTACTGACAATGACTCTCGCAGAAACGCTCTCATAACCAAGATATTTCGAAGCTGAAGATTCAGTTTGTTGTTTACAATATCCATGTCGCTAACATGCTGCTTGAGCTGGACACTCTGTTCCTTGAGAATGTGAAGAAGCTCTTGTCGAGAGGAAGATATAGCCTCTATCTCTTCATGAATCCTTTCCAGCTTTGCGTCCATGGTTGCTCTGTCCAGTCGTGCTGATTTTCTGTTTTATGACGTTGGTGAACATGACCCTGTTCAAACAAAAAGAAAAGAAAAACCTCCAATATCTGCAGCAGGGGAGGAGACATACCGCAACGCCAATGCAGTAAGTAGGTTGAGGCGATCTGTATTACGTTGCAGTTTTCCTTGCAATTCTTGAACCTTTGTTTTTTCGTTACTGAGCGTCCATTTCACCTTCTTATAAGCAGCTTTACATCCTTTACTCGGGCTCTCCTCCCCTAACGAAGGATGGTATCTTGCATCGAAATATTGAAGGGCCTCCATTATGGAGTCATAACATTCATCAACGACAGACTTTGTGATACGGTCGAGTTCAGACAGGTGGAGGGAATATTCACGGTGTTGATATGTTGCAACAACCTGATAAAGTCAGTCCAGTTCACCCACTGCTTATCAACGTATAAGTTAAGCACACAACGCTCGTTCTCATGTCTCTATCACAGAAGCATAACAGGAACCTTAACTTACCTGCATCAGGATGTTGACAAAGTGTGTAAGATCCTTACGGAGTTCTTGGTACTCTTTCGCGCTTTCTCCTATGGTCACGCTGTTCCCGAGGGCTCGTTTCAACTGGAGAGCAAGCTGGCATATCGCTATGATATCGCCTAAGCTCCCAAATGTGAGAGCAACTTCCATGATGCTAAGGATGGAAACGAGATGGCAGGACTTCACAAGAAAGAGGCCGTCACGATGGTACTACTGAGTCGTGCGGATAGTCGAGATATCTGGTTGTGATGGGAAGAGAATGCTGAGCTAAGGACGGCAATCGAGAAATGCCTGATATAACGTGATGCGTCTTGGTAACTGCCCGGGGTCTGGGTGGCTAAGTGCCTCAGAACAGATGATAAGTGAGGTTTTGCGATCTTGCTGCAGCCTTGCAGGTCTAACAGGGAAACCCGGAAAGAACTGAGGAATCTGCCGTAAACTCGAGGCTTCTGACACCCCTTCGTTCAGCCAACTACCTCTTTCTACTTCCTCAATCCATCACCACCCTAGCCTGGCTTTTGCCAGTATGTTATTTCGGCGGGACCAAACAATTATGCTAACTTCTTCTGAATCACAGCCTGGGGATGCACTTGTCAATTTGTTGGGATGTGAGTGGTTCGCATGAACAAAGGGTGTGGTCTAACTCTCCAGGGTTTGAGTCTACCTGTTTGCATTCGCACGAATAGATTTATTTTCAAATTGGATCCTATAGTAGTTCGGTCGCTCACAATCTTCAGACACCAAGTTGCATGGCAACAGGACTGTTCTGTGTTGAGATATCCTTGAGTGTTTAAGGTAGTCCCCTTAATCTTGTCTACAAGCAAATCCTATCCCTGAATCCTTGGAAACCGCTTCGATGTCAGGGTTCCAGCAAAATACCACTAGGCGTATCGGTCGCATGCCTTCAACTATGACGTCTCCTGCCGGTGTTGGAACATTTTGAAAGGGTGATGAAACATGGATGAGCCACTGATGGTCATCTTTCTCGCAGTAGCCTAGCTCACTAAGTACGTTCGTTGAGATGAAGTTGGCTGGATAGTGTATGTCCAGGTTAAGTGTAGCTCTGAGACACCTTTCAAGGCCTTGACGTCAACGAAGAAGCGCCTCACAGATGCCGACGTTCATGGGAGGAGACATGAGATAGGCCATAACCGAGAAACCGAGATATCTTGGAAAGAAGGTAGTGATCCCAGAATCAAAAACTAGTTGGAAGTCAGCTGCCACCGGAGGATCGAGAAATAAGTTGACAATGCCCAAAGAGGGCTCGAAGACCCAATGGAGAAATTTTTGGCCGCCGCATATGTTGAAGATGCCAAGCCCGCCGGCCTTTTCTGATCGCCAACCTGGTTAATTCCAAGAATAATGTTGACTAATTGATCGCACGAACGATGGATAGGCACCCTAACGTTCGCCATTAACATTTGAATGGGCATCGGCGCCTCGGTGGGCGTGGCAGAATGAAGCAATGGTATCCAAAGTGCAGTTGCATGCCGTAGCACCCTCTTTCGCTATCTTGTACGGGTAGTTGTTAGCGATTGTATCTCAAACTTTTTCAGTGTTTTTCTTGATGCTGAATGATATATGATGAGCTTTGTTAATTTGTAACCATCTTTATCTTGCCGTTCAGTTGTCATCAGTTAGTGTCACTTAGGAAGCTTACTTCCACATCAAAGGGAAGATTTCGGGGTTTCTACAATACCAGATTTCGTGATCATGTTGAGTTTGTTCCCAGTCCAAGATACGATTTAAGTGGATGACGGGTTGTGAGAACTTCCAGCGTGGTATCGCGTTCGATCATGCAAACATTGCTTAGAGCCATAACATGCCCCTTCTGTCCTCTAAAATAGTTCTCAAGTAGCATATGGAAGGCTTGAGCTGAATCAACACATTGTCAGCAGAAAGAGCCTGCGTTAGCAAAGAAGCCAACGTACATTCCAATCCAAGATATTCACCCCTTCAAGTGGTATAGGCATATTTTTTGTTGGGCCGTGCCATTTATACTGGCAAGGATATAGGAGAAAGTGCAAAGGAATATCAGGCGTCGTGGTATGACTTGAAGCTTTTCGTCAAGGTGCTGAAGCAGGTCTGCTCGCGTCTGCCTTTCTGCTTCAGAACCCATCACTAGTTTGTCCTCAAAACTTGGGAACACTGTCTGTTTATGTACAAAATCGGAACTAATTAGCAATACTTAGCTGTAATTGCCCAGGTTGTCGCAACCTATAAGCAATGTGAACACACCATCGACCTAGCCGAATTATGCAGTGTGACCAAATCCATTGCGGACGGATGTGCTGACGCGATTAGAGAAGCTGTCCAATACTTCAGCGCCAAGTATCAGTTATACCTTGGGAGCGAGAACATCACCAAAGGGTGGAAGACGTTCTGCAAGAAAGTATAATGGTCATTCACGAACGAAAATGAGAAGACTAGGAAACTACAAGAGCAATTACGACGCGATACTGAGTGTCCCAATTTGCTGACTGCTCTCACTTTTCGGTAAGTAACATCCAATGACAAAAGTAGATCGCTTTTCTTTGCCCCAATCTCTATCTCATACCCTTTGTTATCACCCAGCAAACCGGCCAGGACGGACGATGCAACCATGCTGGCAAGGATTGAGGAAGTTGAGCGTTCAACAGATGCCGCAGTCAGTGCCAACCAAAATACTCCGCGGGCTCTGTCAAAGCAAAGCCGGAGTCTAAAATAACAAGCAGACGGCTTACAGGCTGTCAATGACCAAGTTGCTCTTTAACAGTAAGGAATTTAAAAAATTACAGGCTCCATCAAGCAGTCGCTGTCCGTCATTAGAGACATCAAAAACGCCATTGCCTGTGTCTCCGGCGCTATCACAAGCCTACAGATGTTCATTACGTCTGCCATGACGCTACGACTTTTGAATCCTATAAAGGAGCTTTTCATGATTTTGGAGGATGCTTTGGAACCGAATGGCCAGCTGGCATAGTGCAATAATGTCACTCAAGCTACCAAAAGTCAGAGCTATCTACTTGGCTTGTCAGACGGAAAGCAGAAGTGTCAAGTAGCTAATGGCGTGCAGGATGGAGGTTCGGCTCCAGAACTAAAGGTTGGAGAAGAGAAAGCATGGCAGGGCACCACCGATTTAGCCTCAAAGGAGCATATGACTGTGACTTGTCGCGTCAGCTCAAGAGGTTATTCTATCGGCTACCCTACTTGCCTTTCTGAAGTTTCGATGAAAAGCCACACACAACCACCGCGAGGAGCAATGCAGCTACAGAGAGGCCTTATCTTCGGGCTATAGAAACAGTCAAATCCCCCAGTTTGTTGCTGATGTGTAAAGGCACTTTCTTTTTCTAAAGAGCAAACTGCTTTTTTCTAGCCCCAGTCAGCCCTTGGGATCACGATGCATACTTGCCGTGAACCAAAAAAAAAAAAAAAAAACATCTTACACGAGCATGCAAGCAGGTGGTATCTTCCGGCTACGCTAGCTCGCTGTGGAGACGGTCATATTTCTCACAGAGGTTATATATTCGAGGTTTACCCATTCCCCCTTGGACCCACACTTTCTTAGACTTCTTCAAGATGCCAGGGACCTCTAGTATCGAGAAGCTATATTAGTTCATGTACAGCTTCTATTTTGCGTTAAAGTCTTGCTGAGACTACCTAATACTAAGGCTCACACGGTGTGTGCTACACAACATGCTTGGTTACCCTGGTTCCGACCCTAACATGGTGTTGGGCTTTCCGACAAGTGATAGCAGGGGAAGACAGCAACAGGATTACATTTGATGTCAAGTAAATAAGAATGCGTACTAACTTACTTACACCATCAAAGTTCCATCATCTTCAGGAACAATTCGCTCCAAACAGTCATAAACTCCCCTACGCCGGCGTCTCCTCCTCCTTACCCTCCTCCTCAACAGTCTCCGCCTGCGGCGGCCAAGGAATTACCTTCCTTCCATTTGACTTATAATGCAAAACAACATCCGTTCCTCCCCTCCAGACATGCGTTCTCAATGTCGCAAGCGTCATCTTAACAGGTAATAACTGCATGAAAAAAAAAATTGTTAGCCTAACCACCCATCCACACACACACACACACACACACACACACACACACACACACACACACACACACACACACACACACACACACAAACACACAGATGTTTGAACCTCCAAACAAGACAACTCACCTGCTCATTACAATACAACTCCAACCAATCCTCCGGCTTCAGCTTCTTTTCCCCCTCCTTCTCCCCCCTGTTGCTCCCCTTCCACATCTCCCTCGTTCTCATACGCCGGATCAATCCTCTCGGCAACATACGCCAAAATCTTTTTGACCCTCAGCATGCGATTCGCATTCAGTCTATTATTTCCATCCGCCGAGGCAATCGGCGGCAAACTATCCTTCCACGGGTACAGCACAAACGACACCTTCACCGGCTCTTTCGCTGGCAGCACGTTCAGCAGGAGTGCCTCGCCCAGCCACAGCGGCGCCTTCTCCTCGATTATGTCGGCGTCGGCGCCGACCGACGCCACAGTACCCCTGTAGACCTCGGCCGAGCCGCCGGTCGTTTCTTCTTGGATGATGACTTTCGTCCCCGGGGGGATGTTGAGCGGGGGTGTGTCGTTGGGCGGGGCGGGCGTGATCTTGGAGTCGAGGGGTTTGTCGGGATGGTCGGAGATCAGTTTTTCGTATTCGCTGCGCAGGCGCTGGATGACTCCGAGGAAGGAGTCGTCGAATTCTTTTTCGTGGGTTGAGGAGGTTTCGGATTCGTCGGCTTTGTCGTCGACGCCGCCGGCTGCAGCGGTCGTGCCGAGGGCAGGCTTCTCGGCTGCGGCGGTTGAGGTGGACCGGCTGAGCTTCTTCGTGCCGAAGGACATGTTCATGCGGAATTTCTTCATGTTGAAGGTTGTGCTTCCTTTAGTGCCATTCTCTTTGTCCTTGTCTTTCTCTTTCTCCTTGGCGACCTCGGTGGAGTTCTTAGCTGATGACTCCTCTGTCGACGGTGGTTCCTGACCTGGGATCTGTCCCTGGGTTAATCTAGTTGTAAGAGGCGGTTCTGGCGTCCCTATGGTATCTGAGAAGTAGTCTTCCTGTTCAACCGATGGACGACCCGCCAGATGGGAAGGCATCTTTTCCAGGGGACTGAATGTGCCCTCACCCATTTGGATCATCGGGGATCCTGGCGTCGCTAATCCGATCACGAGCCCTGGCGTCACGGGGGGGTGAGAGCCATTGTTATTAGCTCGCTGTGTGGTCGGGTCAAACTTAGGCAGTGGCGGGATGTCAATGGACAGAGGGGGTGCTTCTCTTCCTCCTCTGGACTTCTTCGTCGGTGGCGACTTGGTGAGGCTCTGGCGGAATTCCTCATCGCGACGGATCTCTTCGTCAATGAGGTTCGCGAAGAGGTAGCGGAGGACCCATTTTCCGAGGTTGACTTGACCATGTCAGCCAATGCACATGCCACACATGCCACAGCCAGCTATCGGGGGTAAGGATCGTACTTCTCTGGTCTTCCCTAAACTCAATTGGCTCGTCCAGGGTCAGCTCGTCAGCGTACATTTCGGCGTCGAAGCAATTGTACGGCTCCAACACGACGGTCAGGTTGCCAGAACTGATGTCAATGGAACACCACGGCGCCACAGCTTCTTTAGTGTTGACCTCGGGCTCGACATCCTCGAGATGACGTTTACCAAAGCTTCGGATCGGACGGCACTATTTGAAGTTAGCATGCGGACTTTGGGTCCGCTGACGAGAACCAACTCACCTGGATGAGATCCCACATCAAAACATCTCCAGCTGTGTCCAAAGTCAAGACTCTTCTCCGATCATTTAACAGCTTGTGCTTGACCAAGCCAAACTGCCCTTCAATCGTCTCAACAGGAGAATGATAGATCGGTTCGACTTCGACTTCAGACGGGTCCGTCTTCCGTGCCTGACCCTGGAACGGATCGTCCGCATTGCGATCAATGACCAAGGGGAAGGACGCCGTGTTCGAGATGCGCAGGACAGACTTCGCTGGGATCGTCGTCCTCGCCCCCTCGGCACCTGCCGTCGGCCCAGTACTCTCCTTACTCCTGACGCTCATCATGGACGCTCGATGCTGCTTATACGCCTCGGGCAGCCTTAACTCACCAGTCAGATCGACATCCTGCCAGCGATTAATCGACGCCCTGGCCGTCGCAGTCCAAATACTCCCATCCCAGGCAACAATCTTGCTCACCCCTTCATGCTCCTTCGCCACGGCCAGACACAAACCCTTATCCAGATCTCCCATGGTATCCCTCACATCCGTCTTTACCACCAAGCCAGACCGATCACTACTATAAAACACATTCAACCCTGGATCATCCGAAAACAGCGCCCACACGCTATGGTCATGCATAGTGAGCGTATGCATGCACCTCCCCGCCGTGACGCTCCACACTTTCACCGTCTGGTCGGCACTAGCCGACAGCACCATATCTCCTTCCTCGCTGACCAGAATCGCCCGAATCATGTCAGTGTGCCCCACGAACTTGGTAATCCTCTTCCCAGACTTGGGGTCCCACAGGCGAACAATACTCTCCGGCCCGCCGTTCGCCAGAACGGAATGCGTCACGCCCAGGGCGTAGACGCTCCCTTTTTCCACAACTTCTTCCCCGCTGACGTCGATCTCCAGGACCTGCCCCTTACCAGAGAGATCCCAGAGGTAGATGCGGCGGTCCAGGCCGCCTGAGGCGACCCAGTTGGTTGACTGGTTAGGGGTGGCGACGCATTTGGCGTAGTCGCGGTGGTGGCCGATCGGGACGGGCTCTTGGGCGTCGGAGGCTAAGGGACGCCAGAGCTTGACTTGGAGGTCGGAGGAGGCGGAGACAAGGGCGTTATGGTGCTGGACGAGGGTGATGTCGTTGATCCAGTGGGTGTGAGCATGGGTTTGGGTGCGGAAGCTGGCGATGGATTTGGGGTTGGGATGAGAGGAGGGGTCTGTGACGGCTGCGTGAGTGTTCTGAAGGGAACGCTTTAGGTCCCAGGCGCAGATAACGCCATCGCGGCCGCCGGAGTAGCTATAGGGCTAGGTGAGTAAGGTGCGCTATGATCAGGGGAGGGGGGGGGTTAGTCAGGAGAGACAGTGGACACATACAGGATAGCATTTTCGCGGTCGATGGCAAGGCCATTGACACCCAAGCGATGGCCGCCAGGCGAGGAGTTGGGATGTTCAAGAACTAAAACTCATAATCAAAGAAGGTCAACCATGTGCTCTATGTCCGTAGCGGCGCTACATGAAGGGCAAGGCCCTTTTAGGGGCTCACGATCCCATTGACACACAAGATACAGCTGAGAATGCGGGGCAACAAGCTTAAGTGAAGCCAAGACACAGCAGCAGCAACAGCTCAGGATGCAGTATAGGGCAGAGCAACGAACCATAGCTTATCCTTTGGCGAGCCTTCTTGGCCATGTTGACGCGAGGCCAACGCGTTGGCCACCATACAATTGAGAGCTCGAGCTTCTATAATTTATACCGGGCAGAGATGCCTGATGCGGTGAATAGGTAGTGAATACAAACAGGATGAGTGGATCAACGATCGGTAAGCCGGTGGACGAGACCAGCCCCAGCAGAGCAGATCGGGTTTATGCACGATGGGATGGCCAGGAGTGTTGGTGCTGTGGGTGATGAGACCTCCGTATCAGTATGAATCGCGCGATATGCTGATGTTGGCGTGTCCGCAGAGCGAAATGAGTGGGCCGTCGACCGAGAGTCTCGGGTCCCGGACACGCGCGGGAAGATCAAAGTCAGATGAAAAAGTGAGCGACAGCCAGTTTAACTTTAATCTCTGCGGCTCATGAAAGAGACCCGAGAGAGTAGCAGAAATCGAAAAAATTGGAGGCTGAGTTAATCCAAGGACGCGTACCTCCATCAGAATCCCGTCTCATTCTCACTCACACCCGGCCACCACCGTCACATCGATTGAAACGACGTTGTCACTTGCTCGCGCCAAACACCGCCAACAAAAGCGAAGCGAGCTCAGCCTGCGCTTGCGAAGGCTCCCGGAAATTCGGTCCCTGGTCTTGGCGGGGTACCCACGTTCTTTCCGGAGAAGCGGGGCACAACGCCGCCTGCCAAGAGTAGAAGGCTTGGGGTTGGGGGGGGGTCGTGATTAAGTAAGCGGGCTGATGCTGCTTAATCATCAGAAAACGTATCGGATCAAATAGCCCTCCGATTCCGACCCAACATTCCCCGGAGGACCGGGGGTAAGCCAGGGTCTTAGTTAGCGGCCGACGCCGTTCTGCTATGGGCCGCTGAGATCACATGCTGGGGCCCTGGCCGCTAGCACACTGTGGGTGCGCTGGATTCCCCGAACATGGCTGCCCGTTCCAGCAAGTGGGTGACGCAAGGACCGAGGAAATGGGGAACGCGGCCGTTGCTGTCGCATGCTCCTGCCAACGTCCGGCAGCAACACCCGCGCTGACCACAAACCTCCCCCTCCCCCCCCCCCCAAAAAAAAGCCTACGACTGCTGCTGCCGACGACACACACTGAAATCTGGATTACGCTGACTACCACAGTTCACTCTTGCTGACACCAAAAAAGTATTCCACGCTCCATGGCGTGAAGCGCGTCTGCCGAGCGCGTCGATATCGACTGAGCAAGCTATATACTGAGCTAACATCGGGAATACATACCCATACCCATACCCAGCCTGGCCGTCGCATCTGGTCCAAGTCTGACTACCTTTTTTTTTTTTTGGTCTGCACAACACCACAACGTCACACCTCAGCAAATTACACCCGTGCCGTTGACCATTGACAGTTGGCATTTGATCGAATTGGTCTGCAGCCGGCTTGCGACTAGCTTTCTCTAGCTTCACCTTTCATTTGCCCATCTCGTCGGGCCTTGCTCTCTCCCACATACAGCTCTCCCAGCTGCCGTCGTGTCGCCGTCGTGCCGCCATCGCCCCTCCATGATACCCTCGTCGCCGTGATACCCAGCCCTTCCTTCTCTTACACAACCCTAAATACATACCTAATCTTCCTCTTCGACATCACCAGCCGCAACCATGGCGCCGTCGATGTCGAAGCCCGCCGTCCTGGGCCGATCCATGACGGTCAGCACACGCGCCATCCGCGACCTCGTCCAGCGCCTGCTGCAAGTATACCTGCGCAACCGCTCGCGCATCTCTAAGGCCATCTACATCGCCCTCTTCATCTCCTTCCTCAACCGCATACGCAACGTCGTAATCCGCCAGAAGGCCGCCGCGAAGCGTGCCAACGAGTCCAAGAGCACTAGCTCGAGCGCCGATAAAAAGGCCGAGCTGAACTGGGAGTTTGTGCGCTCCCTGCTCAAGCTGATCCGCATCATCATCCCGAGCTGGCGCAGTCCCGAGGCCCGCATGCTGCTCACCCACAGCCTATTCCTCGTGGCCCGTACCTTGCTCAGCGTCAAGGTTGCCGCCATGGATGGGTCCATCGTCAAGTCGCTGGTTAGCGGCCACGGGCGCGAGTTCCTGACCAAGCTGGGTTGGTGGATGGTCATCGCCGTGCCTGCTACCTTCACCAACGCGATGCTGTCCTACCACCAGGCCGAGTTGGCCCTGCGCTACCGCGCCCGCTTGACAGAGCACCTCCACGACAAGTACCTGTCGCATCTGACCTTCTACGCGCTGCTGGCCCTCGACGACAGGATCAAGAACCCCGACCAGCTGATCGGCGTCGACGTGTCGGCCTTTGCAACCTGTCTCTCGGAGCTGTACGGCAACCTGGCCAAGCCCATCCTGGACATGGTCATCTACACATACTCGCTCTCTCGCAACGTCGGTGGCGAGGGCGTCCTCTTCATGGCCTTCCTCGTCCAGCTCTCCTCCCAGGTCATGCGCGCCCTGACTCCCCCCTTCGGGAAGTACGTCGCGGACGAGACCCGTCTCGAAGGCGAGTTCCGCTTCGCCCACTCACGCTTGATCGACCACGCCGAGGAAGTTGCCCTGTACGCCGGGCACGAGGCTGAAAAGAACACCCTCGACAAGGGCTACTTCACCTTAATCAAGCACATCAACTTCGTCCTGCGCCGCCGCTTCTACCACGGCTTTATGGAGGACTTCGTAGTGAAATACTTCTGGGGCGCTCTGGGCTTCGCCCTGTGCAGCGTGCCCGTCTTCATCAAGCTCCCCGGCCAGACCCTGGCCACCATGGCCGACCGCTCCGAGAGCTTCATCACAAATCGGCGTCTGCTGATGTCCGCCTCGGACGCCTTCGGCCGGCTCATGTTCTCCTACAAAGAAGTCATGCAACTCGCCGGCTACACCTCCCGCGTCTCAACCCTCCTCGACGTCATGGACGACATCAAGGCAGGCCACTACGAGAAAAAGCTCGTCTCCTCCTCCGGCACAGCCAATAACGCCGCCGTCCTCAAAGGCCGCGGCCAGGTCATCGAATCTGACTACATCGAGTTCATCAACGTGCCCATCATCTCGCCCAACGGCGACGTCCTGGTCCCGGCCCTCTCCTTCCGCATCGCCGAGGGCGACCACCTCTTGATCGTCGGCCCCAACGGATGCGGCAAGTCCTCGCTCTTCCGCATTCTCGGCGGCCTCTGGCCCGTGTACGGCGGCACGGTCAAGAAGCCGTCGGCGGACAAGATCTTCTACCTCCCCCAGCGCCCGTATATTCCTCGTGGCACGCTGCGTCATCAAATCATCTACCCCGACACCCAAGCCACCATGCACTCGCGCGGCTACACCGACGCGGATCTCCTCGCCATCCTGCAGATCCTTAACCTGGAGCATCTGGTCGAGATGCACCCGGACGGGTGGGAATACGAAGCCGAGTGGCGCGACCTCTTATCTTCCGGCCTCCAGCAGCGCGTCGCCATGGCCCGTCTGTTCTACCACCGTCCACGCTACGCCATCCTGGACGAGTGTACTTCGTCTGTAACCCTCGAGACTGAAAAGATCATGTACGATACCGCCAAGAAGCTGGGCGTGACTCTCATGACGGTGAGTCATCGGCGGAGCTTGTGGAAGTATCACACGCATATTTTGCAGTTTGATGGGCAGGGGAAGTATGTGTTTACGCGGTTGGATGCCGAGCGGAGGATGAGGCTGGAGGATGAGAAAGAGGAGTTGGAGGTAAAGCTGAGGCAGGTGCCCGAGTTGGAGAGGAGGTTGGAAGAGTTAACGGGGGAGAAGGTGAGGGCGTGAGGGGTATGCGTACCGTTTGGGATGTATCGCTGTTTTGACTTTGCATGATGAGAGGTGGTGTGTGTGTGTGTGTGTGTGTGTGTGTGTGTGTGTTGTTGTTAATTATGATGTTATTGAGGGAGGGGTTGTTTTTTTTTTTAGGACTGTCTTTTTTTTTTTTTTCCTTTGTTAGTTTAGGAATTTTTCTTGCGCCGGGAGGCATGAATACATTTCCAATGATGTTATATGTGTTGGGTTGCTGTGGTGTGGTAGAGGTATGTATGAGTTCTGGTGTAGAACTTGTAGAGTAGGTCAGCTTAGGGGTTAGAGGTTGGTTGGTGCACAAAAGAGAGAGGTTCAAGAAACAAGACACTATGACATTTCAAAAACTACTCCAACGTTGACCTTCCCCCCTCAATCGGGCACCCAACCCTTTGAGGAGAGGTTAGAAACGAGTTAGAAACGAAAGATCTAATGTACAAGGACATCCCCCCGAGAATGTACCCGCATTCTCTTTCCCTTTTGTTTTTCACAAAGGAAAAGGGAAAAGATCTTTGTTTACTCTCCTCACCACGAATAAATGAATGAATGTACATTTGCCTCCTAAGAGTTCGAGACCTCATATGTCGGGCCGATCCGAAAATGAATGATGATGATTAAATCATATACCTTACTCCGAAACTCCTCTCTATGTATGCCACAGACCTTTGTCCTTAACCTGACACAATACCGCCACGTCTGACCCAATCCTGACCCAGCAACTTTGGCTCACAAAAGCGGCTGATCATTGGGTCTCTGCTGGCTAGGTTGATGACGCAGGTAGCTTCTCCATCTCAAGAGACGGATCGGGGGTCAGACACCCACTGTCTCACTCCGCAATCTCATCACCTTCGTGCCCGTTCATTTACTCGGCGTCGTGGAACGGACGGAACTTGTTGCGGAACTTCTTGTGCTTCCCAGGAAAGACAATCGGGGTGGCAGTAGCCGTCTCCGTAGAGGTTTCGGTAGCAGTCTCCGTGGCCGTCTCCGTAGCAGTGGCAGTCTCCGTGGCCTCCGTAACAGCAGGAGTCTCAGTCGTCTCCGCAGAAGGGCTCTCGGTGACCTCGGCGCTGGGAGCATCAGTCTGGGTGACGGTCACGGTCTCCTCCTCGGGAACAGCAGTCTCCGTGGCGATGTCGGCAGTGGCAGTCGAGGTGACCGTGACGACCTCCTCGATATCAGTGGGGCACTCGTCGTCGACCTCACCCTCACCCTCACCGGCGCCAGGGACGGCAGTGGTGGTAACAACGGCGCTGGTGATAGTGGTAGAAGGGATGTTGATGTGGTTGGTCAGTGTGACATAAACAGTGGAAGCCTCGGTAACGGTGACAGCAGCCTGAGTGACAGTGACGGTGGCGGCAGCCTGGGTGATGGTGACGGTAGTAGGATCGCACACGCAGGTGTCAGAGCCAGAACCGTTGCCATTGCCGTTGCCATTGCCATTGCCGCTGCCGGAGCCGGAGCCGGTGCCAGGGGTGACGGTGGCGGTTGGCTTCTTGACAGTCACAGTCCGAGTGCCCGTCGAGGTCAGGGTCCGGGTGATGGTAGTGTCCTGATCGACGCTGGTAGCAATGGGCACCGCAGTGGAAGTAGCCGAGACCTCAGCAGGACCGGTGAGAGTGACGCTGGGAGTGATGTTGCCCTTGGAAGCCTCCTCAATAATGCTGGACGAGATCGACGAGACCTCGGTGACAGGGCAGACGACCTCGGTGAGGATGACAGTGTCGGTAACGATAACTGTCTCCAGAGCCTCCGTGGGGAAGCTGGCGAAGTCCTCGGTCCGGGTCGGGCAGTCGATGACCTCCGAGCGGCACGAGGTGACGGTGCGAACCTCGGTAGTAGAAACAGTCAGAGTGGTGATGCCAGTAGAAGCCACGGCAGACGAGGTGATCGCGATTGGCACCGCTGTCGAGGTTTGAGAGACGGACTCAGTGGCAGTCTCGCTAGGGGTCTCGGTGGCAGTGGTGGTAGTTGGGCCAGTGATGGTCGTGCTAGGAGTGATCAGGCCCTTGGAAGCATCCTCAATGACGCTGGACGAGATAGAAGGAACAGCAGTCACAGGGCAGACGACCTCGGTCAGAATGACGGTGTCAGTGACGATGACAGTCGAGAGGGCCTCAGTTGGGAGAGTGGCTAGATCCTCAGTCCTGGTCGGGCAAGCAATAACCTCCTCCTTGCACGAGGTGATCGTGCGAATCTCGGTAGTCGAGACAGTCAGAGTGGTGATGCCAGCACCAATGGTGCCGGTGCCAGTGCCAGCAGCAGCAGTCGTCGTCGCATTGGTGATGGGGAAGAAAGGAGCGTTGGTAATCACGGACTCGGTAGCAGACGAGACGCCAGTCGATAGCAGCACGCTGGTGGTCGTCTCGACGCCAGTAGAAAGAGGAACTTCAGTCGCGATACCAGTGGACAGAAGAATGCTGTCAATGCTGCTGCTGCTGCTGCTGCTGCTGCTGCTGCTAGTAGTCTCACTGCTGCTGGTCGAAACCCCAGTCTCCAGAGGAACAGCGGTGCTCTCGGTAGAAGTGCTGGAAAGGATGTCAGTGGCAACGGCAGTGTCGGTGACAATGTCCTCGGTAGCAGTGCTGGTAGTGGCAGCGACGCCGGTGCCCAGAAGGACATTAGAGGAGGCAGGATTGTTGAAGAAGCCACGGCGCCAACGCATCATCTGCCTGGGGTGAGAGTAGGCCGTGGAAAGGCCGGCAAAGAGGCCGAATGTCAGGAGGCTGGTGGTCTTCATTTTAAAAGCTGTCGCCGGTTTCGAGCTCTAGTGATGTGATTCTCAACAGATTCAAATCCTTCAAAATGCGCCTGGCGTAGGGAATGTGATCAAAGGCAAAGCTGGCGAAGAAAGCGAGGATCAACTCTGCAACAAAGGTGCGTGCAAACACAGTTGCTCGCGAACGAGAAAGGAACGTAGGTAAACCTGGTCAACAAGACACAAGAAGCGAAAGTATAGTTCAGGCAAGCAAAGGAATGAGCTTGACTGAAGCAAAAGAAACAAACAGCAGCACTGGGCTTTCGATGAAGGAAAGGAACCTTTAGAAAGGCAAAGATAAAAGAGAGAGGAGAGGAGCCATCACAGCGGTCGAGAGACCACGCCTTGGTCTTTATGGAGATGATGGCACGCTATGTTACTCGTCTGCCCGGCCAGGATGTCGCATTCACACCACCATACATGGACAAGAAACATTGCATAGCCGCTTTGCATGTTCCACGGCCGCGTACCGAGCCCCGTCCAGGCCCCATCATCGACGGCAGCATCACCAAAACCTGCCGCAGTGGACAAGGCCCTTAATCAACCGGGGCCTCCACCCAGCGCCACACCGCATTGCTCGGTGGTGTGTTTGGTGCGCTTGCTGATGACAGGGACACGTCCAGAAAGCAACCCTGGATGGTTTTTTTTTTCCCGATCAAGTGTCATGGAATCCCACGGTTGCCAGGGGCTGTCGGGCCAGGGGCATCGGCGTAACGCGTGTTTCTGAGACAAAGTGCTCAGCCAATCGCCGGCGTGGAGGGGTGACGGAAGAGGAAAAGGGGGGGGGTTGCCAAGCACCCCGTCCTCGCGAGTTAACAAACGTCAATCCACGCCAAAGTGGCCTGCTGGAGATTCAGGGTGCTGCAGACGCTGAGACATCTCGACGAGCTGTCAACGCCAAATAGATCAAGTGGTCGACTGCTGCTCATCAGTGCTTTTCTGGTGGTTGTTCTTGAGCACGAAGTTCGAGCCTCGAGAAGAAGCTCGCATCGACAACATGCATCAAACATGAAAGATCGCTGCACAGCCCGTCTGTTTCCTCGCTGATGGACGATGCCGCAAACCTCTGCCGCTGTGGGCCAGAAAATCCAGGAACCTGAGTCCTGGTCATGTTGAGACGAATGATCGTCCGAGGGATCCGGGAAGGCTACCTTTGCAGGCAGTGGGAGGAAGCACCCCGAGAACCAGCTGGTTAACTGTTTAAGATGCCATGTTCGAATAACAGACGAAACTCAACTGAGGGTCGTGCGAACAGCCAAGCATCGTTTGGTTTCGCTGTGAGAGGGGCTGCGGAAACATGTTGCACTTTTCTTTACATTAACAACAGCAGGTCCAGCAACCTATGTAACAGTAAACAATGGCACCTTTGCATCGAGCCGCAGCAGTGTTAGCAACCATGTCGGGTGATGTAGATGGCCAGACCAAGGCAGTTGGTCAACTCTTGAGAAACTGATGGAATCGCATTTCATTCCACGGATGGGCATCTCAGGCGTCCACGGCGAGTCAGGCTTTCAAATATGGTCCGAACCGTCCGCTCATCCAATGCTGTCGATCTTGAAACCAGCCACGGCAATGCTGGCTTCCTTGCCATTTCACAGATTCTGGCCGTGGATTCGTCTTCCATCCCTCTATGCGCGGGCGGGAGCCCTCAGGGCTGGTTTTTTTTTTTTTGTTGTGGTATATCGAAAAAAAACCAGGAAGGGCAGTCACATAACGAAGTTTTCGGAAATTTGCCAGGATCCTGTGGGGTTCTGACCGTTTCACCCACCACAACCTGAAATCGCACCTTCTTTGTCGGCACCTCCTGTGATTGGCTGCTTCCCTGGCATGGCGGGTCCAAGCCCAGGGGAAGCCCCGCTGCGGGGCAAGGGTCCTCAATGCGAAACCAAGACGGGGACTTGGCAGGGCTGGAAGCAGCAAGTCCCTCAACCATATCCGATCTCACCTTATGAGCGCTGGACCTGAACCACATTGGTGCAAAACTGGGAACGGGAGCATCGCCTGCAAAGAGAATCTGGATCGCACACTCTATTTTTGTGAGCACGGACATGATTTTCGTGCAACATGGGCTGTGTTTGTCATGCGTCTATTCTACGTGTCATGGACGGATAGTTGACCCTCTCTTACACCTTACCCATCCCTCTGCAGTCTGCAAGTTGACCATTCAGCTTACCTCTCGATTGAGTGACCTAAAGGGCGGATCGAAAACAATTGTAACTGTCATCAATTGTGCTCGTCGAGCCTAGCCTAGCCGGGGCCGGTCGAGTGACTGTATTCGTAGGCCCGACGAGTCAACGGACTTCTAACTTGAGCATCGAAAGTCGATGGAACAATGCATTGTTGCGTTTAAGGCTTCTGCCGACTTCCGTACGAAATCTAATATTGGTCGAAACTCACCGACAAGCTTGACAACATCGTGAACGTCGGAACCATTGTTTCATCCCAACTCTGCTCGAATTTACAAATAATGGCCCAACGATGGTGAGCAGCATGTCGGAGTCTCTCACAGACTTTGCCAAGTTGTTATCGCCGCCTGCACTCCGAGTCCTCTCCCCGCCCGGATCTGCTTTGTCAACCACCCGTTCTTATCTGCGATGGCAAACACACAAGTCAAGGGTTAGGGTTATTAGCGACATATGGCTGGTATCACCGTATCGGTCCCCACTCCGTGACCGCATGACCACGATGAATGACTTCAGGCCGTTGCCAGCTCACAAGTCGCTACTGCCCGTTGATTGCGGGCATTCTGATGTTTGTGTGACTGCATTTTGAAGGGCCGATGTCTTCGTAGTCTTGCATTTGGTTTGCGTTGAGAACCCGGCATTGCGACTCGTAGACTGGCACCAGCCGCCCTTGTGTCACCAACCGTCTTTGTCCGACCGCCATGTGTAAGTCCGCCTTTGATTATGTGATAACGGATAACATCTGCCGCCCACGTAGACTTCGTCGCCGAAATAACGATGAATATATATGACCTGTTCTGACTCCTCATGCTAGATCGTCCGCCGTCGCTGGCTTGGTGGCTCTGGAGCCTTTCCCAGCTTACCGCCATCCCTGCCCTGCCAACTGGCTCTTATCAGGAGCAGCGGACCATCTCAACCGGGGCCGTTTGCAATGGCAGTCGGGGCGCCGTGGCCAGCGAGAGCGCGATATGCTCTAAGATTGGCGTCGATACCATAGCCATAGGGGTACGCCTTTGAAATGCCTAACCTAAGACCTCTTAGCGCTGACCGGCCATCCAGGGTACCGCCGCCGACGCCATGGTGGCCACCACCCTGTGTGTCGGCGTCATCGGCATGTACCATTCGGGTATCGGGGGCGGCGGCTTCATGCTGGTTCGCGACGCCCACGGCCGGTATGAGTCCATCGACTACCGCGAAACTGCCCCTGCCGCGGCCAGCCAGGACATGTACGCGCACGATGCCAATGCCAGTGTGTTTGGTGGGCTGGCCGTCGCCGTCCCGGGAGAGTTGAAAGGACTAGCTTATTTGCATCAGAAATATGGTGTATGGTTGCCCATCCATGAGACGAGTGTTTATTGACCCCTATTGATGGTTGTTTATGGTGACAGGTCTTGCCCTGGAGGACGCTGGTGATGCCTGCTGTGCGAGTTGCGAGGGACGGGTTTCCGGGTGAGTGATCTCGAAAATCGTTTGAGTCCGATATGACTAACAGCTGTCAGTCACCGAGGATCTAGTCCGCTACATGAAGGTGGCTAGCCAAAATAATAATACGTTCCTGGTTGATGACCCAATTTGGGCTGAGGATTTTGCTCCTAATGGTAAGTCCTATGAGACCATGTCTTGAACTCGGTTCTAAAAAGTTTTCTCAGGAACCTTACTTCAGCTCGGGGATACCATCACGAGGAAACGCTATGCCGAGTAGGTGGGCCGTCTGTCAAGTGTATTCATCAACTAATTGTGATAGCACTCTCGAGAAAATTGCCAACGAAGGACCTGACGTGTTTTACGAGGGCGATATCGGTAGGTCAGTCTCCGTAAAATTCAGATAACATAGCTGATTGCAGTTCCAGCCGAATCAATGATCAAGTTCATCCAAGAGAGAAACGGGATTATGACGCTACAAGACCTGAAAGACTACTCTCTCGAAATCCGGGAACCTCTGAACATCACCTACGGCCCCTATCGACTCTATACCACAGAAGCCCCCAGCAGCGGTGCTGTAATGTTCAACATTCTCAAGACCATGGATCAATATCCGCCCGAAGACCTTACCAATATCAACCTGACAACGCATCGGTTCGTCGAGGCCATGAAGTTTGCCTATGGAGCACGCCTGGAGCTAGGCGATCCCGACTTCCTTAAGAACATGTCGGACTATCAAAAGTACATGCTAAGCGACAAAACAGCTAAGGACACACGTGGCCGGATCCGTGATAATGAAACCCAACCGGTTGATGTGTACAACCCTAACAACACTTACACAACTGACGGTCACGGCACCTCGCACATCGTCACGGCCGACGCATCGGGGCTAACTGTCACCTCTACAACGACTATCAATCTTTTGTTTGGCGCACAAATCATGACCCCTGACACAGGCATCATCTTGTAAGAACCCTTTCCTCTTCTTGTGATGAGAAGCGCCGCTTATCCCTGAACAGAAACAACGAGATGGACGACTTCTCCCAGCCCAACCGCAATAACTCCTTCGGCTTCGCGCCTTCTCAGGCCAACTTCATCGCACCTAGGAAACGCCCCCTCTCGTCCATCAGCCCCATCATTGCTGAGCACGCGAATAACGGAACCGTCTTCTTTGCCACGGGAGCAGCTGGCGGCTCCAGGATCATCAGCGCGACTGTGCAGGTCGCCTGGCGTCTGTTGTCCTTTAGCATGTCCATGCATGATGCGATTGCTGCCCCGAGGGTGCATCATCAGCTCATGCCTGATGTGTTGAAGGTCGAGACGGGGTTTGACAAGGGGGTTGCCGAAGCGCTGAAGGAGAAAGGGCATGTAGTTGAGTGGTAAGCCTTTTCTTTCTTTATATTACCTGCGGTGACTCCTCAACTGACAAACTCTAGGATGGAACCTGGGTTGAGTGCAGTGCAGGGTATCATGCGGTTATGGGATGGGACGTTTGATGCCGTAGGAGAGACGAGACAGATAAATAGTGGCGGTTATTCGGTCTGATAACAACACAAGTGTTAGGGGAAGGGGGGTGGCCAAATGGATAGACGATATTGCATGCACAGCATGATTAGAAGAAGCATTGAGCAAACCAGGAGGTCATCAATTCAACGCATCCAAATAGAAGTCCTGACGTATACTGTATATCATATCCAATCATAAACGTACCCAAACCACATTTCCCGTGAAACAATCCAAGAGATCCCATCCAACGTCCCCTTTTCAGTCAACCTCTTACCGGCTGGTATCAACTACATACCGCCCGACAATCTTACCAGCCTCCATCAGTTCATACACCTCCTGCAATTGGCTCAGGCCAACCGTCTTAAACGGCACCTTGATCAGCCCCCTCTGGAAGAAATCAATCGCCTCCTGCGTATCCTGCCGATTACCGACATAGCTTCCCTTAATGTTGATCATCCTAATCACCGTATCAAACACCGGCGCTTTGAGATACGCGTTCGCTGGCAAGCCAATGCATACAACAGTACCACGACTGCGCACATACTCCGTCGCCTGCTGGAACGGTTTCTCCGACACAGCCAGCAACAGCACCGCGTGCGGGCCCAACCCGTCCGGCGTTGCCTCCTTCACCTCCTTCACCAGATCCGGGCTCTTGGTAAAGTCCACGTATGCGCATGCGCCCAGACTGCGCACACTCTGCCCCTTCTCATCACCGCCATCAATGCCAATCACATGCAGGCCCATAGCACGAGCATACTGGATCGCCATGCTACCCAAGCCGCCGCCGGCACCGACAATGGCGACATACTGTCCTGGACGGGCACCAGACTCCTTCAGTCCCTTATACACCGTGATACCAGCGCAGAGGACGGGCGCAACAGCTTCGAGGTCAACGTCCTTTGGAATGCGGGCGACATGGTTCGCCTTGGCGATGGCATACTGCTGGAAACTGCCATCAACTGTGTACCCGGACAACAGAGCATGCGGGCACAGCGGCTCGTCCGCCTGCCGGCAGAAAGTGCAGTGCAGGCAGCTACCATTCAGCCACTTGATGCCGGCATAATCGCCGATTTCGATGTCCTCAACCAGCGAGCCCTTGGCGACGACGACGCCGGCGCCCTCGTGTCCGCCGACGAGGGGCATTTTAGTCGGCAGCGGCCAGTCGCCTTTCATAGCGTGGAGGTCAGTGTGGCAGACGCCGGAGTATTTTACGTTGATGAGCACCTCATCAGGGCCGGGCTTTTGGACGGGGATCTTTTTGTAGACGACCGCTGTATCGGATGGGTGTTAGTTAAGCAAGAATGGGGAAGGAAAAGAATGAGGGACACGTACGTCCTCCGGTCTTCTCAACTACTGCAGCCCATTGCTCTGAGGGGATCTCGAAGGTGGTCATTTTAGCGCAGATATGTCGGGGTTAACGGTGTAGATGGCTTAAGGTGGTTAGTGGGTATGGAAGAGATGATATCACTGATAGCAAAGATGTCTTTCGTGCGCAAGACGTCACCAGGACAAGGAACGCTGCGGTACCTGGACTGATAAACAACATCCAAGCGCTCTGCCTAGGCGCCTCGCGTCCTTTTTATACCCATTGATCGTCCCCTCATGGTCTCCTCCTCAGCGTCAGGATTACGAAACCTGGGTTTCCGCAAGCATGGTGGTTCACTCCAGAATCTCAAGAAACGGACGTTCCGAACCGACCTCCCTCCCCGTCTCCAACCTCCCTCTCAACATCCTGCACGAACCCCGCGGGGAAACCACGCAACCTATGCGGGGAAGGTGACAGCCCGAGAGCTCTGGACGGGGCCAGAGAGCGGGTAGACAAGGCAAGGCGAGGCACAAGAGATCTACAAGTCCTGGCATGCGGAAGGTGGATCGGCATAGAAGCACCAGATGACAGACGTCGGCTGAGCCAAGACCCTCACGCCTGAGGGTGAGACGCAGACTTGCGGCACAGGGATAAATTCCGGCTACTGCACAGAGGAGTAAGTTGTCACGTCTCATGTTGGCTTGCCCTGTTGAGGTGTGAAAGGGTGACAGCGGGCTCGGTTATGTTGGGATGTCAGCCCAAAGCCCGAGTCATCTCCGGAGCGGGAGATCTTGATGCTGGAATTGTTGCTTCGAGAGGAGATCCTCCTCCACAGAAATCATGTCTCCATGAGTCCGGATGACGAGCTGCGTTTGGCTGAGATGGGAGCTCTGTGTAACGTCGGTGCAGGCGGACTGAGCTCGGCCCCAGCTTGCGCTGACGGGATGGAGAGGTTATTGATCATGAGAACTTCGTAAACCCGAAGTAATAGTACCCTCGAAGCACTATCAATTACCGATTTTCAACTAGCCTAAGTAGTCAACCTCGATCAAATCGAAAATTGACATTGTCCACACCCAAACAGATCAACCACCGATGACGCTGCATTAAGATGGCTTTCCTCGGAAGTAGCCCCCGGGACAGCGGAGAGTGGAGCTGGCGCCCTGTGGGGCACTGTCAAGCCCCGCGCTCAGGGGTTTGCAGTCTTGACGCGCCATACAACCAATGGTGGGTTCCACAACCCTTCCCGGTTGGGTTTGGCGTCTCGGCAACTGTCAACCACCTGAGCTGTGAAAGTCTTCGGACCGACCTCAAAGAAAACCCGTGCTAGACTGTTAGATCGTTGATTTGATGCTTTCGGTGATGTTGGTTGTGCATCTCTCTGAAGGACAAGTAATATCAATTGGTTAATGTTTGAGTCGAATTTATGTCGAGGCATCTGGAATTGAGCTGTCAGCAATATCCAGGGTCTTGGGCAAAATCGAATCCTGTTTGGGCTGGACTCCCGAAAAGGGGGGGGGAGTTGATTGGAATCTGGCTTTCCCGGCCTCCGTCACCTACGATCCAACGTGCATGCTTGAAGAGAACGTTCCAAACAAGACCAGTACCCAGGATATCCGCTTCAACATGCCTGCGCCGCATAATCCAGGACATCCGCTGCTCCGTGAGAAGAGAGGGGAAAAAGTCAGGCAACATTCCCCAACAACAACTCATCGAGCACAGTCAACATGAGGAGTTGACGGGATGCAAGTAGATGTTCTCCATATCGTCTATTAAACATACCCAACCCGAGAAGTGAGGGGTACAGCTTGAGATGGAACTCTCGCCCCCTGGATGATCGAAATATTTAGCTCTTCAGCACCAATGACCTTTAAGAATCCAACCTGGAGATTCAAGTTCCGCTTGAGCGAAGGAAGCAGTGTTACCTACAGGCTACAACCTTACAACATCGCTTCTACCTCCTCCACGTCCGCAAGATCATCACTTGCAGCAGCAGGCATGAGCACGTGTCCAATTTCCTACTTACAGATGGGTGACTGTTACAGCGAGGTGGAGTTGGGGAGAGGGAGAATGCTGTCCAATCGTCTAGACAGGTGCCCCAGTGGCAGCTGAATGTGATTCGTGAAGTGGACGTGTTTATCTCAGCATACCTATGGCTTCCACTTTGCAACCATGCCTACCGCGACCGTGGACGAAGATATCCGAGGAATATCCGGGGTAGCTCGGCAAGGTCTTGTTGTTTATGGGGTTTATCATGATGATAGCTGTTGATTGATTCCTCTCGCGTCCAGAGAAACGACTGAAAAGCATAGTGCCTGCCCCTCACGGATAAGCGTAAGGCAAGCTGAGCAGTTCACGGCTGTTTCAAGTCGACTATTCGATACCAAACAGTAAATGGAGGAACTCTGTGGTCCCACAAAGTTAAGATTTGCCTTTTCAACTTTCTCATGAGGACGTGAGCAATAAGACCGTGAGATGGATAAGTAAAAGGGTTACGAATTCTCCCAGGTATGAAGCAACAACTACTCCCTTAACTGCCATCGGCTAACCTTTTGGTCACTTACACCGCTGTATTCTCACCTGTATGTTGATGCACCACTTACACTTGTGCATGCCAACCTAAGACGTACTTAATGCTTGCAACGATCAGTGTCAAACCGGCTTCTCACTTTACCATAGCAGCTTACGTCTACATCATCAGACATGGGCAGAGCTCGGGGAAAGCCCGTGCTTGGCCGTAGTCATTCCTCTGCAACATCATATCCAGGGAGGGCAGTCAGAGATGATGCATACCTAATCATAGCATCAGATGACCCAGGGAAAACGCATAACAACTCCGGGAGCATGTAGACAGTCCAGTTCCCCTGCATAGATAACCCCCGACCAACAGTCACACTACTCTGCATCTCTCCCTTGATGGATGGAACAAAGATGACTCTGCTTGCTTTCTTTCCCTGCCTGCATTCGTTTGTCTACCACAAATATACCCACATAAACACCAGGCGCGCCGTTCACACTCACACCACCACTGCTGTCCCGCAAAGCTTCCAAATTCATGTGAAACCCCTCCCTTAAGAACCACCGGGACCACCCAGCAGGGCAAATCTCCGGACAATTCCAGGACCGTATTCTTGGTACTGTACCACCTAGTCAGCAAGAATCCAAACAACGTAGCATCAGGAGGGAAACAGCATAACAAGAGACATACCTCCGCCTTAGTATGACAATACGACCTAAACTCCGGCGTCTGCCCAAGCAAGCTGCCACCAAACCATGGACCATGACGCTGGCGCTTGTGCGTGATGACCTGGACCTCCAAACCCCCGCTCTTGGCACCGCCGCTGCGCAGCTCGCTCTGGCGGATGCGCTCGTCTACCAGCTGCTTGATGTCGCGCTGCAGGCGGCGACCAAAGTCTTTGTACAGCGTGCTGCCGCCGGACAGGACGATGTTCTTGTACAGGCCGCGGCGCACGTCGATGGGCGACGACTGGATGACCTGGTCGACGACAACGGGGAGCGGGGTCAGGAAGTCGGACGAGTAGATCTCCGGGTTGAAGAAGATCTCCGGAGCCAAGAAGCGCTCGTAACCGACATCCACCGTAACCTGGCGCCCTCCCGGCTGGATCACGGGGTGCTTAAGGAAGTAGCTGCGGTCGCGGTCGTACTTGGAGAACTCCTTGACGATGTTGGGCGAGACGTAGCAGTAGTTCTCCTTGATTTCTTGGGCCGTCTTGAGGGACGAGTCCGGCTCGCCGCGGTCGCGCAGCAGAGACTGCACGAAGTAGGTGATGTCACGGCCTGCGATCGGGATCGACTTAATTGAGGATCCGATCACGTAGCCTTCGGCAACGGGGATGACGTGCGTCACACCGTCGCCGGAGTCGATGACCGTGCCAGTCAGCGAGCGGTCGGTCACCTTAGGCGATGTCCAGGACGCGGCGAGTGCCAGCACGGCCTGAACGGCGATATAGAGACCGGCGCAGTTAAAGGACTCGAAGAAGATCTCGGCGGTATTCTCGCGGTTCTCCGGAGGATTCAGGGGCTATGTACGTGTTAGTGTCGGGAAATGAATCATGGTGTTGTCGTGGGGGAATCTAACCGGCTCAGTAAGGAGGAAGTAGTGGTCTTCGGGCTCGACTCTGAGATACTTGAAGATGGAGTGGGACCAGAACCTCTCCATGTGGTCCTGTTGTCCGCCAGTTAGCGGTGAAGTGCCGGGCAGAGCATCTAGCCAGATCACGCACCCAGTTCTCGATTTGACCATGACGAATGGGGTAGTGTAACCCATATCCTGATATCATTAGCATTTCCCTCCTCCCAGGCTTGTTACTGTACCGGGTCCCTTGCTGGCCACATACCTGGCCCGGAGGCGGCTGCGATGGCCTCGTCGCCGATAAAGAAGTCGAGATCCTCAGTGCCACGCTTTGCCGACAGATGGCCCGAAGGGCCGGCACCGCCGGTCAGGAAGGAGGGCTTCTGAGCAACCGGGGGACGGCCCGAGCCAGTGGTACTGCCGCCGGCCGGACCCTTGGTCGCAATGGCGGTCGGGAAGACGAACGACGGAGAATCGTTACCGGCGAAACCTGGCGGGAGTCAGACGGAGTCGGACACGGTTAGGAAGGTGATATCGCGTTCAAACGGACCTAACTTGGAATACCCCGTACCGCTAGAAACAGTCAGTACAGGTTGATATCACGGCCACCTGAACGGCGGCTCGGGGAATAGGGAGCGGGGCTCAGGGGACAGGAGGGGGGAAGGCATCACGAACTTGTCCATGACAACGGTGGGGGTTTGGTGGGCCATGTTTGCGGTTGTGTGCTGCTAGGCGCAGCTCCTGCTTGTCGTTTTGGCGCAAACGAAGAAGAATCAAAGGGGGCGACGCGGTGAAGTTGTCTGGCGTCAAGCAGGCGGAGAGCTGATGAGGTCCGGTCTGGAGCCCAGGGATTACGTCCACGCTCGCGAAGCTCCCCAAGCGCCCCAACGCCGGCTCCACGCTGCCACGCTGCGGCGGTGTGCCAAGAACGGTGGGTCCGACTTTTACGGCGGCTGGAAGCTGGCGTTGTGAACGCCCAAACGGGAGGTGCCAAGAGTGGGACCTGGGCCAAGACTTCTCTTACAAGCTCTGCGCTCCACCAACTGCTAACACTTTCCTCCGGCTGCTGATGACGACGCCTAATGTTTAGGAGCCGCCAGGCAGCAGCAAATGCCACTATACCAGTTCTTGAAAAAGGGCCCCTAATCTTGCCGAAACTTCTGATGACGTGTGGCATCTTTCTCAGAAGTTGAGCTGAGCTGAATCGGGTTGAGTTTCTGTTTTGTTAGGGAAGCTTTGGGATGAGATAGACTTTGACCACCGAACAGCTTTCTTCGCCTCTTCCGGAGTGCTCAACGTCAGAACTGCAGGAGGAGCGCACCTGTCGCTCTTGACATGAGTATCGATATTTGCGCAGATTTGAAAGGCAAACAGGGGCTCCCATGACTCCTAGGTGAAGAAAGACAGCCCTCCGTTGGTTTGGTTCAGCTTGTGGCATCTTCAACTTTTGGATGGAACCTTGGGCTTTTTGGCCGACTTTCTGGAATATTTTCTCCACGCCGTCCTTTTTCCCAGTATCCTGTTCGGCAAACACCATTTATAATCATTTTGACCTACAGTCATTCCTTAACGAGCCTAAGTGGCGCTGAGTATTGTTTGTTGTATATTTTGTTCTCCATTTCTGCAGTCCTGTTGCGGCATCTTGCATCTCCTTTGCTCTTGGAGTCAGCAAGTCCCAACCAATTGGTGTTACAATCACAACGAGAGAGCCTTTTGTCCATGCTTCTCGTGGAGACCTATGCTCGCGAACGCTGAGTTCCAGTCATTCGCTTCGTTGCCTTGATCAAAAGTACTGGTCGAACGCAGTCGAGCTTTTTAACGTCGTCCGCAGCAATGTCTTCCGCGCCCTCTAGCCCAGAGCTTTCCCCCATCCCCTCAGAGGATGGCCCTATCGACAGAGCTTTCAGACCGAAGAAGCCCGTAGCGGCCATCTTCATTCATGCTGGCGCCGGCTACCATAGCGTCGCAAACGAACGACTGCACCTCCAGGCCTGCAGCGAGTGAGTATCGGGGTCAAGTCGCACATATACCACCGCTGACACCTCCAGGGCCGCCCGTGTGGGCATGAATTTCCTCAGGGCTGGTGCCAGCGCTACGCAAGCCGTCGAGGCAGCTATCAGATATCTTGAAGACACAGAAATCACAAACGCAGGTTATGGCAGCAACCTCAACATTGATGGTATTGTCGAATGCGACGCAACCGTGGTCGACCACTTGGGCAGAAGCGGCGCGTGCGGTGCTGTTCCCGGTATGTTTGATCATTAAAGTCAGATAGATTTCCATCTAACTGGTTTCGGAGGCGTCAAAAATCCAATCTCTTTGGCCAAATTGATCCTGGAGAAGAGCAGCCAACCTTTAACACTTCGACGAGTCCCGCCCAACATCCTCGTCGGCCAGGGAGCCAAGGAGTTCGCCGAAGAGCATGGTCTAACCACTATCCGCAACGAGTTCTTGGTCTCGAGGAACGCGCAGGACCGTTACCTTCGTTGGAGCGAGGACTTGCGGCGGGCAGAAGCCAAGAGAAACGCCCGACTTTCCGCGCACGCTGGGCGATATCGCAGCGGCGACTACCGGGCATCAACACCAGATGATTACGACAAGGCCGCCGACTCTCTAGCTCAAACACCACGCCGAAACCACGCAGCTGCTGTTTTGACCAGTACTTGGAATGAAGGACAACCCGACTCACCCTACCGAAGCTCTCCAGAAGGCAGCGCTGCCCCCAGCCCAGCCACGCCAACAGGTTCGCATTCTACCTCCTGTGGCCAGTTCCCATACTCTAGCCGAAGCACTCTCAGGCACATGCGCTCCCAGCCCTCTGCTCACGATGGCTCCGTCCTAGGCGACGATGGCTGGGACGGTATGCTAGACGATGCTTTTGACGATAATGACCCTATCCATCCCCCAGACGTGGACGACATTACAGACACTGTCGGCGCTATCGCAGTCGACCTACAAGGCCGCATCGCAGCTGGCTCCTCCTCTGGTGGCATCGGCATGAAGCACCGGGGCCGTCTCGGTCCTGCGGCCCTAGTCGGTGTGGGCAGTGCCGTCATCCCGTCCGACCCAGGCGACCCCCTCGGGACCACTGTCGCGGCCGTGACCAGCGGCACTGGTGAGCACATAGCAACGACGCTCGCCTCGTCACGCTGCGCGGAGCGCCTGTACAAAGGCACACGTCGCGGTCCCGGGGGCAAGGATGTTCCGGAGGAGGATGAACACGCCATCCTCGAGGCATTCATCATTGATGACTTCATGGGCCACCCAGGCGTGAGTACCCAACCGAGTGCAGGAGCGATTGGTGTGATGGCTGTCAAAAAGGACCGCGATGGATGCTGGTTCTATTTCGCTCATAATACAGAGTCATTTGCGCTCGCGAGCATGTCGAGTCTGGAGAAGGAGCCGCTGTGTGTGATGTCTAGGCTGGGAGGGGGGATCGGGTCGGCGGCTGGGTTAAAAGTCGCACAGGGTGGGAGGAGGGTCAAAATGGAGTGGTAAGGTTGGGGGCATAATGGAGCACTACCCTTCAAGCTGACCTAATGCATGTTTATTGCTCGTGTGCAGATGTCCTGAAAGACGATGCCTATTGTTCTCAAAGGAATTCTCTGCGTTTTACCTCGAGATACCTAAATTCCGGGGTCGTTCCGGTTCTTTCCCCGAGGGGTAGCTGGTGAGCAGACCCTTGCCAGAGCCGCCACGTCCCTTGCCGCACTGCAAAACCTGATGAATAATTCAACCTCATATGCTTAACTCACTCAGTCTTAAGAGGTAGATTACGGGGGAAAAAATGTCTTAGTGGGTACATACAATATCACATAAATTGAAACAGAAGTTAATCATTAAAGGCTCCCAGCACGGGCTATGCGGTAAGCCTTGTCGTTGCTGCTTGTCATGCACGTGGCCTCAACGATATTCTGCCAAGCATTTCTTAGCATCCCGGGGTCGGTCCGGGCCGTCCCACCAGAGTCGGGGAACGCATTGGGTGGCGTCTGGGCGTCTGTCACAGTCCGTGTGCAGAAGTAGTCGGTACTGTGTATGATATTTAAATACAATCTATGTTTCTTTGGAGATCGTCTTCTTAGCTTTGTTTGTACCAGCCAACTGTGAGTTGTCGATCGTATCAACCAAATGCTTCATGGTGTTCAATAGGTGAGATTTCTAAAAGTTAGAGTCATCTCAGGAGCATATTGAGGCTCTGATCTGAAAGGTTTTTGTGTGGTGTCCGTGCGTCATTTGTCTTCGACAGAACTCAGTCAACAACAGAGCGTTCTATCGCTAGTGTAGATGAGAGGATCTATTTAGCTACTTGTGCTGCCGCATGTCACACTGCATCCGGCTTCTTTTCCGGGCTCGTAACCAGCCAGTCGTTGATCTCAGTTCAAGATCGGGATCTTACGATTTGCAGGGCCATGCAGAACCCACGTCATGCCTAGGTACATGTAAATTAGTTACAATGTTGCAAAAGCTTACCAGCGTCAGATTTTCCTATGGCCAACATGAACCAAGTGCAGTGTTCGATCTGCGGCGGCTACTAGGACAACTTATCTCCACTGTGGCTTATTGCAACCTGGATGCTACACTACTTGTAGGTATGCTACTGTTTTCGGCTTTTTGCATCGTGACTGAATGTGCAATGGGAATACTAACTACATAGTGCAATGCATGGGCTGTAGCGGACCTGATTAGTTCGTTGCTCTGGACCCAAACTCTACCGTTTTGCCCCTTTATGAGGTCGGTTAGGTGTATTGACTATAGGCTCACGTTTCTTCCACCATGTCCTCAGAGCCGTCCCGTTTCCTTCCTCTGTGCAGTCAACCTCACGTTACAAGGCTAGATTTCCAGCTGCAAGCCATCTAGCAGACATCTCAGACGGTGTCGATCTACTTCCAGAGGGAGCACACTTAGCCGCCATAGTTTGCCATCCTCGACTTCCACAAACGTCAGGCTCCAACAACCAACCCAATAGCACAACCAACCGTCCCGCCATCCTTCCGGCGTCCCACTGGAGATCGGTATGTCCTACAAACGCAAACATTCTGGGTTCGAAACCATAAAACGTATTTGATTTGGTTCTAACCAAGATCTTGTGATACATTAGATTCCGGTAGATGACAACAATGATGCCGATTCCCACCTGAGCGAAAGCGGAAGCAATGCCAGCAGCACCACATCACTTCGTGAGAGTCTCCTTGAATACCGCAAACTCTTCGGCCGAACATATCACCATGAACTTGGCCAAGCCGAGTCTTGGCTCCCAAATGATGAGAAACATGCTGCAAGCATGGAACTAGCGTATGTCGACTGGTTGCCACGAGATATCGAGAAAGCGTCTCATACGGTACCTAACCTGTTTCGCTTGCTCAGTCACTATGCTGCTATCTTAATGACCGATAGCAAGCTCTTCTTAGCGCCGTTAGACACGAACAAGTCTCTCAAAGTCCTTGATCTTGGTACCGGCACAGGTCACTGGGCAATGTAAGCCTCTTTTCTAGTCTCAACAAAACTTCATAGTTGTTTCTCCAAAAGCTAACCCCTTTCTTAAGTGACTTTGCTGACCAATACCCCTCCGCTGATGTAGTTGGCACAGACATCACACCTATCCAGCCCTCTTGATCTCCTCCGAATGTCCGCTTCGAAATAGAGGATGCTAACCAGGACTGGTCCTGGCCCGACAACACCTTCGATTTCATCTACGTGCGTTTCTTGACCGGGTGCATCCTCGACTGGGGACACTTTTACCGCGAGGCCTTCCGTTGCCTTAAGCCCGGCGGGTGGCTTGAGCATTTCGAAATTGGCATCAGTTGGCAAAGCGAGAACCCCGGCGGGATCACACCGGAGAGCCCGATTGGCCAGATGGTGCAGTTGTTTACAGAGGCGGGGGAGAAGACAGGGAGGACCTTCAGAATCGTAGATGATGGGCTGCAGACGAAGTACATGAAAGAGACAGGCTTTGTGGAGCTGGGGGAGAGGGATATACACGTGCCGCATGGTGCATGGATGGAGGATGCGACAATGAAGCAAGTGGGTATTATTCTGGGGGAGGCATTGCTTGAGGATTTGGAAGGTGAGTACCGGACCTAGTGGTTGGGCCTATACTTGGTGATATCGTATGGGATACTAACCTTGTTGCTCCCAGGATACACAATGTACGTCTTCACGGCTATTAATGGCTGGGCAGAGGAGGGAGCTCGGGCCTTAACAGCGCATATCCGCTCACATTTTAAGAGGCCTGGCCTGCAGGCTTGGGTCCCCCGCAAGGTTGTCTGGGCCAAGAAACCTGAATGAAGCTCAAAGCAATTTCTAGCGGGAGGGAGCTTGAGGAAAAGGAAACGAGACAGCCTCGCAAGCATCATGCAAGCCACTGCAAAGGACATTCAATGTTTCAAGCTCATTGTCAAAGGATGAAACCAGTAGCAGATAGGGCAAACATACCTAACGGTGTCGGATTTTAAGAGCCGCATAAAAACAGGTAGTGACAAAAGAAGTCTTTGACTTTCAAAAATGCGTGGGCACTCATGTCCTGGTATGGCAACCAGGTTACCATGGGGTGCAAGACCATTCGCCGGGATTTACGCTAAGTTGTTGGCGAAGACACCGAATAATCAAGGGACTATGCCAGCTAACTGTGGGAGATCAAGGAGGTGGTATAGGAGAGTAAGGACATGAAGCAGGTATCGAGTTGAAAGAGAGTAAGTGATACATAGTTGATAGGTTGGTGTGAAACCAAGGCGGCAATAAGAACGTTTGTTGAGAGGTAATGAGTAGGATGAAGAGAATTCGGTAGTCCCCGCCAACGCAGAGAATTCTTCGATGTGCACTCGTTAAGGGATGCTACACAGAGCGACAGATGGCACTGTCTAAGTTCTGAGCTGTTTCCATTCACATCTCATGTGGCAACCAGGTTAGGTTAGTACATAGGCATAGATAATGCGGCTAGTGGACAGCCCTCTGTTTGGTTGCACCACTTATAATCTTGTTTGAGATTTTGCATTGCAGGGGACTTCCCCGCTGAGTGCTACCAGCTGCCATTTCATGACCAACTCACCACCGTATCAGTATGCTGCAGCTCGCTGTTCTATCGTCCCGCAATGGTACTGTTTTGGGCTTCATGCAGACTGCATCCTGGATCACTGACCCACATATGTATATGGTCATGCCCGGGTTGACTGATGCTTTAAAGCTATTTAGATCCAAATCCCCCTTCATTTGCTAGCCTTTGCTTCTTCTTTCTTTCAATCGGCACTGGGGTTGATCTTAACAGTCCTTCACCACTCTATTACTCCTTAGGCACTTCCAGCCATTCTGCTTCCTTCGACATGTCAGGCGCACAAAATACCACAGAGGACACAAAGGTGATGGGAGCTGGTATTCTTCCAGCTTCCCACTGGCAATCGGTAGGAATTCCGATACGTGCTATCCGAGGTCGCTGCACCAGATACGGTTGAATTATGGCTGGATGCTAACAATGTCCCCAACATCAGCTCCCAGTCGACAACCCTGATGATGATGACAAGTCACTGCGGAGCCAGAGCATGGTCAGCAGTACCACATCTCTCCGTGAAAGTATCCTACAGTACCGAAAGCTCTTCGGTCGAACCTATCATCACGAGTACGGCGATGCTGAGTCTTGGATTCCGAATGATGAAAAACACAGGGAATGTATGGAGCTTGGGTAAGCAGCACTTAAGAAGATCAGAAAATATGTAATATTATGTAGGATCTGGAACAGAACATGCTAATTTCAACGTCAGCCATTATATCGTCCTCTTACTCCAAGACAACAAATTATTTTACAGCCCTTTAGACACAGATAAGATCAAGCGAGTGGTCGACATTGGCACCGGCACAGGCATTTGGGCAATGTAAGATGAGCTTCATCAGCGATAGCTATCGGAGGTTCAAAGCTAATCCATTGTGCTATTCAGGGATTTTGCGGATCAATACCCCCACGTTGAAGTTACAGGGACAGATATCACACCGATCCAGCCCACATGGACCCCCCCGAATCTAACGTTCGAGCTTGATGACGCAAATCAAGAATGGACCTGGCCTGATAATACATTCGACTTTGTTTATGTCCGGTTCTTGAATGGTTGTATCCGCGACTGGGAGAAGTTCTATCGTCAGGCATATCGCTGCCTTAAGCCCGGTGGATGGCTTGAGCACCATGAGGTCGCTCTTGAATGGAAGAGTGATACCCAGGAAATCCCCCCCCACAGCCCAATCGGTCAGCTAATCCAGCTCTTCACGAGTGCGGGAGAGAAAATTGGTCGAACCTTCCGGACAGTTGATGACTGTCTCCAAAAGCCAGCTATGGAGGCAGCTGGATTTGTCGACCTCCAAGAAAAGTATCTGAAGTGTCCCTTGGGTGACTGGCCTACGGACCCGCAACAAAAACAGGTTGGCCTGCTGATGAACGAGGCTCTCCTTGGGGACCTTGAAGGTATGTTCATGTAGCTGTCGTGTTCATGGGGACTCTAACACTAAGTCTTTTCAGGTTATACCATCTATGTCTACACGGCAATTATGGGTTGGAAAGAAGAGGAGGCAAGAGCCATGATCGCCCACTTGCGTGCCCACTTCCGCAAGCCTGGACTGAATCCCTATATCCCTCGGCGGGTTGTTTGGGGCAGGAAACCTGAAGTTTGAGCTACAATGAAAGCTGCTTGCGAGATGGGACACCGAAATGGAGCATACTAGTTCACAAATAAATCTCAGGCTTCTTTGGCTGTCAAGATGAGAATCTGAGATATTTGGGATGCTTGGTTTATCGATATCTGAGTCTGTCATAGTGTGCTTAGGTAGTTTTCAAGGCCTTGGACATCTTTCATGGAAACATTGTTTTCGGTCTGATCATGCAATTGTGAACAATCCGGGAATGCCATGCTTATGGAGTACGCAAACTGTCTGTGATCTGCCTTGTCTGAGGCTCAGTGATTCACAGGCTAAATGTGCGTGATGAACACAAAATTTTAGGGGGACGGCCGCGGTTCGCTTCTTCTCAGAATGCTTGGATCCTTGGGAGGTTCAGATGAGGTTGCAGTTGCGGAGAGCCTCATATCAAGCCCCCCGGTCGAGCTGGAGCTATCGTCTCGCATTGGATCATATCGGAGGTGACGATGACAGTGTTGATGGGATAACAGCTAGGTTGTGAAGATCTATTTGTTGACTCACTGACTGATTACCCTCAAGCTATCAATAGCCTTTACCTCATGGAAACACTACAAGCTAGTCACTCCCTCCGGCTAAGATCTAGCAGCCGATTACGTTTCTTCTATTCTTGTCTACTCCGGTTCACATGAACTCCTGCCACATTCTACTACTGCTGTCTGCGTCAGATCCCAATCCTAGAATACAATGCCCATATCTGCGAACTATATGATGTGGCAAGATCTGAAACACATTGCCAACCATAGAACCCGCTACTTGCCGTTGCTTGCTCTTACATCCTCTGGCCTAGAGTATCGGCCCAAGCCCGCATACCGCCCGACACAAAAGGAGAGAGCCATAGAGTTGGATAAAGAGATGAAGAACTCGCCCCCGCCTTTGAATAAGCTGTGAGTCGTGGCGGCATACATGATCAGCTCGTCGGGCTATGCGGATGTCACTAGATCGCTTGCCTACGCTAGAAATAATAGTTACGAGATCTCGGTAGCCTCTTGATCGACTCACGATTGAGGGGAGATGTCATAGCTGTTTTTGGGCATGCGAGTAGGTGAAGAGATTCCGATACAGATGTGGTTCAAGGACCAGTTGCCTGATATAGTAGCCCATAATCTTACAACCCCCAAGTTATGATGTCTGTTTGGAATAGTAATTCGCTTAATTGTAACATCTCATGCTGGTACAGGTAGAGGAGACCATAGGTCTTGAATTGGTCATATCTGTCGCCCACCTTTTTCACTTTGTGACTATCATCTCGTTTTATCATACCCGTCCCCTCAATGTCACTTCTCCAATTTCTGTGCTAACTTGCTTCTATGATCATTAGAATAACCCCAAAACTCATCTTTGAGAAGCATTTGCGGGAGATCACAACTCACACTCCCAAAAGGGTGGACTTTTAAACCCCCAGCCTCCTCACCCCCGACTACAATCAAGAGCATCCGTGCATCCCTCCCGAGTTGTCCTTCGAGCGCGTCATCAAGAATTACGCAGGTTCAGTAATTCCCGACATACCTAATTCGCTCTCTCGACATTATACTAACTTTCCCTCCCAAAGCCATGCTCCTTAGAGGACTTCATGTCCTACCTCTTACACATCAAGTTCAAAGCAGAGTCCCTGCAATTCTTCCTCTGGTACTAAGACTATATTTCAGCGCTGGAGCAACTTGTTGTTGAGGTGAAAGGTTTTGTTGCCGCCCTGAGATCCGGATAATCTAGGCCAGTAAGTGCAAGAGAAGAATCAGTATCAGCGCGTACGGAGGGAAAGTCAGCTCCAAGAGCAGCAGCTGTAGAGGTTATCTGGTATAGCCAGAAGATGTCACGCAGCTCGAGGACGAGTAAGGTCATTGCTATATTATGGAGATGGGATCTGGTGAGAAGGAGAGAAAGCGGATTGTGACGAAGGGGGGCTTTGGTACCAAGGGGCCGATCTCGTCCTTTTCTCCATCGGCATCATCATTGACGACAACGATGTCAGCACCCCCGGTCGCTACGCCCTCCTCTTCAGAGGACTCAAAACGCTCCCGAGACCAAAAATGCATGTATGTCTCAACTTCTCTTCCCAAGCCGCCCCTTCTCATAAAACCACACAATATACTAACCCCCTCTACCCCCGGGGGCCAAAAGCATCCATCCGCATCCCCCCCCCTTCCGCGCTTAACTCACCTACATCGTATCTCACTACATCAGCACCGACCACTCCCATCCCCAATCTCTCTCATCCTCATCCCCATCCCGTCGCATCCGTTTTCTCCCCCCTCGCGACATTCAAACCTGTCTCCTCGCCTTTCAGCACACGACCCATCCCACCGCCTTGTTACTGCATTCCTGATCTGCGAGACCTACCTGCGTGGCAAAGCGCACCCATCCTTTGTGGTAGACTTCGCAATATGGAATTGTAACACGCCCAGGTTGGTGTTGAACGGAGTGTTGGGATGGGGCTGGTGTTGATGGGGTGGGGGTTGGATCTGGTGTTGGTTTATCTTTCATGTTCTGCGGGTTCTGCGGGGCTTGGAGGGAGTCAAAGAGTGTGGAGTTCGTATTGGAGGGTGTGTGTCTGCCTATTTGGTGGATGGGGATGGTTTTGGTGGGGGCTGCATGGAAGGGTGTGCGTGCTGGGTTGTGGACGAGGGGAAGGAGGAAGGTTTGGACATGGGAAGGGGCATGGAGTTTTCGTAAGAGGACATTGAAGCTGCTGCTGGAGCTGGAAGAGAGGAATAGCACAAGAGAACTGCTACCGAGAGCAGAACCTCCAGCACCAGCAGCACTAACGGGGTAAGAGCCATCCTGAAAACAGGAGCTTTTGACTCGTTTGACCCAGCAAATAATTGTTTCAGGGTGGAATGGAAGCAAGTACATCGGCAAAAAGGTTGGTTTCGACAGATATGGGACAAGACAGAGCCGGCGCAAGACCGGGCGGGTGCGGCGATGCAAGACAAGGTAGTCTTTTCTTGCTGTGGTGTGAGAAGGGGCGATTGCAATGGTCTTAACGGTTGTGTCGTCATATATACCGGTGCCGTGATGAGAGATAGGGAGATGGGACTTGGTTTGATGAGTTGCGAAACGGGTAGATGTTATGGCGCCCTTACTTACTCAGGCTCGACACACCATTGCGAAGGTGTGAAATCAAGGGATGTTTTCCCGAAAGGATTATTATATATGTACTCAGTACACTAAGGTAAATAAATGCCTTACACCTTGTGCAGTTCCCCCTCAATTATCTATGTACAGCGAAGCATGTAAGTAGTCCGATCCGGGGGCCTGCTCATCCCATTATGCGGATGAATGCAATGCACATTATCAATTACACGTAATCCGTACACATGCTTCTCCCATATCCGATCATTACCCCCCGACTGTCCCGCTGAAGGCTAGCGGGCCCGTGTTAAAGACACTTGTGGAACACCTGCTCCACGTTTTCCGAACAGACAGACAGCCTCTCCCTGTCGAGAGCGTCCAGATATATACCAACAAGGTGCCGTAATGTTACTGGGACCGAAGCCCAGGCATGTTATGGTGGTAGGACGTCGTCAAATCGGTTCGTCAGCCGGCAGTCGGTCGCCCTGCGAATCCAGTCTGGTAGCGAGTGTCGTGTCGAACGATCGTGGGTATGCCGTAAAACCATAAAGCAATCAACAACACAAAAAGTAGCACCAAGTTTCATGACCCTGACACCTCCATTGCTGCAAGCCTGTATCGTAGCGTCGCATGTTGTGCCCAAACCATATGCCGTGCCGGCCGATGCTGATTCTTAAAAGAGCGTATGAAGACGAATACTCAAAATATTATATGTAGCCTGTCATCATCGCCGTCATTGCCATCCCCGACTCAAGCGGGATCGTCATAAAAGCACAAAAAGAAGGGTATCACTTCGTAACCGACATGAGGGAATGACAGGAACAAAAACAAGAAGCCAAGCAAGATAAGTGATCTGAACAAGTCAACTAAGGGCAGTATCATAAGAAAGAAAACACCACCAAGACGCAGGCGAGTCCGGCACTCATGTTCATGAGGGCTTTGCTCGCCGGCATGGGGGCTTTCGGCTCATTGGCGCTGCTTGAGGGGTCTTGGCTGGGCGTCGGCGCCTGTGCCTGCTCTTCATCTTGGTGATGGTGATGATGCTGGGGTACCAGTAAGGTGTCGGGACTCAACTGGTCCAGCGCTTCTTTCCCAAGGACGCGAGTCTTGGGCACCGGCACTGCCTCGGGGGGTGACGCTATCACATCTGGCGTAACCAATGATAGTCGAGCCTGCATGTACATCAGTCAGTTGGTCTGCTTTCGTGAGTGGGGTCATGCAATGGGGTCAGTAATGCTGACTTTTGAGTCGAATGAGTCGAGGATGGACTCGACGATGATGGGGTTTGCAGTTAGGGGAATAGCAACCTGAATCGCAATGGGCTCGGGTCTGTAGGCGGTAATGGGCGGAAGCCAATCTGTAACTGTACTGTTAGAATCCGAGCAACAAAGTGAATCGCTGGATACTGGGTGAGGATACTAACCATAACCACGATGGACATCCTTGCCATCGGCCGGAGTGATCCGGCTTGGCCCAACGTTGAGCAAGATAGGTAAAAGCCAAGAAAGCCTCATCTTGAAATTTGAAATCTGGATCGAATCTCAGATATGTTACTCCCTCATGAGCCAAGAGAGCAGTGAGGTTAAAGAGGTGCTATGTTAAGCAGGTAGTTAAAGGCTCTTAGCCGATTTGTAACCCGACAGCTGATGAATTTTAAGGTTGTCGAATACAAGGCCGAGAACAGTAGGTATTATGTATGAGAGCAATGTATGAAGCCGCGGGTAACTGAGTGAAGATGAAAGTGAAAGCACAAGGCGAGATAAGAGTGTGGAGGTTATGTGTGTGTGCGACCGCAACGGAATATTTCTGTGAGAGGCGGAAATAGCACCGAGGACTGCTTGAAGCGCAGCGAGGCAGGCGTGCGGTGTAACTGGCACGCGTCAGACGTGCCGCAGAGCCGTGCTGCAGCGCCTCAATTGAGCGCCTTTAGGAACCGCTTTAGGCTTTTTGAAAATTGCCGGCCGCAAATAGGTCGAGGACGGACAGCTACAAGGCTGGCCGAGCAGTTGCTGCAGTCGTTACTACCGCTGTTGCTGTTGCTGTCGGGGGCTGCACGCACGCGCTTAACGCCAAGATTGATGCACGTATGCTGGCGAGTCTTGTTGTAAATCTAAAGGAATCGCAGCAAAAACGACGATAAGGACCCCAGATCCTTTTTTGCAAGTGACGTGATGCGACCCGATGACCGATGCGCGCACTGCTGCTGTCTCTTGATCTGTTATCGCTTGCAGCAAATGCGAATTGCCTTATCAACGACCAATGGTCAACGGCACGGGTGTATTCGCACAAGTCTCTTCCTTTGCGGCTGTGAAAAGACGAGCGGGACGCGACAGTTTGCAAGCGGTCAGGCTGTGTCGACGACTGAATACAATGGCGTCATGCAGCGCGAGAAACAAAAGGACAATTAGATATTAGGAGTATGGTGTAGGCAGGGTAAATAGGTAGAGCAGAGGAAGTTTTTTCTATCCAAAGTAATCCGCACGATGCTACGATGGTAGAAATGAGAAAGCAACTGCCCGAGTCGAACCACAGGATTCAAGCGAACAGCTTCCGCAACATCGCGATCTTCCGCTGACGGCATTCCATTCCCTGATTTTCGCTTTTTCTCTGGCGCGATAAGCCCCAACCCCCAACCTTATCGAACCCCTGCCGGTCTGTCGGCAGCCCGCTCCAGACCCACTTTCCTGCATTGTATGTACGTAGGTACTAAGCAGGCTGCGACATAGCGGTGGAGCTCTTCGGAAAAAACCCCACTGCTCCTGCGGTTCCAGTTCTGCTGCTGCGAGGGCACCAATGCCACCGCCGAGGAACCCACCCACAAGCAGAACGGCCGCCTACATCGAAGATCTTGGTTTGACAAGACACCCAGATGGATGGACGGGCCAGCCCGTGGACATGCAAACGGTTGTAGCATTGTTGTGATGAAAAATAGGTCTGTCTGGCCCCCCAACCGGCTGTTAGCCATGTAAACCCAGCAGCGGGGGAAACTGCTGGAGGCTGTTTGAGCCGCCCTCGTGTTCACCACCCCTCCCCCTCACTTCACCACCTTCCATACCACGATCCATCTGGGCACGTTCATCAAGGGCTGCGGAACCAATGAAGTGGGCACAGCGGAACTGGATGCCGATGGACGATGGATGGGCAAGATCAGGAAATGGCACCATTCCCTCTGCAGCGATGACAGAAAGCCATGGAACTCTGCGAGGATTCAAGAGAAGATTCCCTGCTTTTGCTGAGTGCTGTAGACACATTCGATGCAGCATGCATGATGCCTGAGTCTGGTGTGCCCGATGAGTGCTGATGCATGCCCTGTTAGAAGCAAGCTAGCGACGTGTTTCATCTCACCATAATCGAGTGCGCTATACAGCGCACTGGCATCCAATGCACAAACAGCTGATGGAGTGCGTGGATAAGAGATCACTGTTGGCTGCGCATTGTTTGCCAAACATAGGGTTAGGGTTAAATATATAACCAAGTCCGCAATGCTTGGTTGACACGAGGAGAGTTGATTTGCGCTTTTCTTTGCTTGAAACCTGGAACATGAGCTGAGTTCTGGGTGATAGAGGTCAAACTCAAGACATACTGATCTTCCATTTACCAAAATACTTACTATTAAACATTTGACGACGTATTCCCAAAGTCAGCCAACAAGGTTTCGCTCCCTCAAGGCTTGTGGAAGCTTCACCTGAAGTCTTTCTCGAGTCTCTCTAAACATCAACCCACCATCTCACTTGCACTTCAGCACACATTCATCACACCAATATCATATTTGCCACTTTTTTGCATCACTTCGTGCTGCCACTAGACTAGGGAAGAGTAACCGCTTTTAGTGAAAGGGGTGAATGAGCCTGAGGAAAAGCCAGAGGCAGAAACAGCACTTGAGCCAGTGCTAGAGCTGGAATTTGAACTTGAGCTAGGCCTATAGCCTGAACCAGAGCTGGAGCTATAGTTGCTGGATCCGGAATTTGAGCTATATGCCCACTGGGACTCTTCGCCAAGAGGGGAAGGGTCACTGCTCATCACAGGAAGAGTGAGTGTGGGCAAGTACCAGACATCTTACGCAAACTGGAACAACGCAGTGAGGGGAAAGAGAAACAGGGGGTACATACTTATTGTGCACTATGAGTGTGGAAGCTTTGCGTAACAAGTTCAAGATGGCTTGACAGTAAAGAATGTTGATTAAATCAGAAGAGCACAGTTGCCAAGATCTGACCACATGGCTGTTTGGTATATTGGTGATTTCCATTTTTGGTAATCTATGTACAACCCCACGTTGTCTACGAGATGCGTTGGCCTTCTTTTCTGTCTCAAGAGAGTACCAGGGGGTTTGGCCTTCATTCATGACCTAGAGGTTCTTTGTCTGCCTATAGAACATGAGAATAATACATATCCAGAAGAATATTTCCGCTGGAAACCTTGTGGCAATGCCGCGTTTCGGATATGGATGTCTTGCCAGAAAAAGAGACAACATATTGTGTAGGTTGGTCACAACCCGAGGTAAGAGCCATTGATATAACCTTAATAACACAAAGGAAAATTGACCCGGTTCAATTCAGACGGGAGTGAGTGACATGCCTCAGTCTTGAGGCTAAATCTCAGTCGAGCGAATCAATCGTTATAGACATAGGCCTGCCGGGAATCGTATTCCGGGCTCGCTTCAAGAGTTTTTCGACGTCCTTAGTTAACGATACCTCAAACGGCGGGAGCCTGAAGTAATGATGTCATAGTGGTCGTCGAAGAAAGAAAGAGTGTAGTGGCCGGAGTGGCCGACGTGCTGGAGTGAGTGATGTATCGTATTGGTCGTCAGAGAATGTGGATCGTAAAACGGAGATCTGCCCATCCATGGTATGTCCCCGAGTCCAGCATCCTGAACCCTACAAGGTGTAACCCAGATACATCAATAACACACTGGCAGAGACTGGCACTCGCGCAATTCCTATGCCGTATCGACGTCTGGTTACTGGCGCAGAATAGGCCGTCCATCTCTTGCCTTGAGAAAGCTAAGTTGCGTTGTCCATCACGACGGATAGCCTTCAAACAGGCTGGACATAAGACAGATCCCAGAAAGAATGCCCCTGAGCCTTCCAATGGTTCTGTTTCTCGTCCGCAAACTTGCGCGGCACAGCCTTGCCTTCAGGAATATCCCTGACTGCGCCACGCATATACTCATCACCAGGTTGAATGTAGCTGCTGCTTAAGCTACTAGCCCCACTACTCAGGTTGCCCCCGGAGGAGGGCCGGCTGCTCCGAGCGGTCGAGATTGTACTTTTGCTGCCCGTGTATGATGAGCCCAGGCTGAGACTGCTGAAAGTATGCTCCCACTCGCCATACTTATGGACGCAGTGCGGCTCAGTGATACCACACCAGTTGGTCACAATCTGATATGTCCTGGTCTGGACCTCGTTGGCGAGCGGCCGTTCGGCAGGGTAGTAGGAAAGCATGTCCTCGACGACATGTAGCATCATCGGAACACCCTTAAAAGTTGGGTCATCTTTCTTAGCGAGGTCATGGGCTAGCTGGTTCATCCAGCTCTCAACCTGGCCAAGATTCTTGTGGAATGACGAGTCCGGTACGGCAGCACCGCGGCTGCCCATTTTATTCTTGGCCGCACGATGAGTGGCGAACGGCTTGCCGTGCTTCTTGGCCAGAAAGCTCAGCAGCTCAAGGATGATGCAGCCCAGAGAAAAGATGTCGGCAGCTTGTGGGGTTGGGCGGCCCTTGGCAGAACGGAAGGACATCGGGGAAGATGGGAGGGAACTGAGCCACATTTCTGGCGCAGAATAGTCATACACTTCCTTGTCAAAAGAGTTGGCATCGCTTTCTAGCTGGCCGCTGAGTAACTGAGTCAGGAAATGGTTGTAGTCGCAGAGGAAGACTTGATTATCCTCGGTGAACATGACGGTAGACGGCTTGATATTGCCATGGACGAGTCCACGATTGTGCAAGAAGCAGATTGTGTCGACTAGACAGAAAATCCAGTTCATGACAGTCTGCCGGCGGTCCTTCTTTTCCAGTTTCTTGAAGCAGCTTGGTGTCGCGGTGAAAAGCGACTTTAAGCTGTACTCAGCGGCTTGTCGGAAGATCACATAGCCGCATCCTCTGTGGATGTAAGACGCCCAGTACGACAGAAGATGGTCGTGCTGAAGGGCCTTGAGGTTCTCGACTTCGCACATGAACTCTTCTTCGCTCATCCTTCCGGGGCCAAGGGTCACCTTCGCGCGGGAAAAGATAGCACCTGGATGGTTCGGGAGCACGACCTTGGTCAGAGGCTGTGACTGAACACCCATGTGCTTCTTGTCGGCGAAGTAGACTGGGACGATCTCGTCGTCATCGTAGTTGAGGTGCTCGCCCTCATTCAGGGGTCTCATGAGATAGCGATACTGGCGAAGATAAAATTTCCATTCGGTCGCCTCATCTTTCGAGGCCTTTAGTGCCAGACGTTCAACCTGATCGCGCGGGATAGGCAGGTCCTCGTCCTCCCATGAATCGTCTATAAGACCAAAAATCTGATCTGGCAGGTCGAGGTCCACCAGGATAAGGAAGAAACGCTTGGCCTTCTGATTGATCCACTCCCAGTAGGTGAGGTCAGTCAGGCCGTCGCCGAAACTGGGCGTCTGGTCGAGCTTTGCAATTTCCTCTGGTATGAGGTGACTGCAGACGAACTCGCGGGTCACCGTCCGCTCGATGGTGTCACTGTCCCAGAATGTGGGAGCAGGCGTTGCGGGTGGCATTATGATCAATGCTGTCGCTATATTGTAGCTTTTTAGATGTCAGCAGTTCAAGCCGAAGGACCCCAAGAGATGATGGTTCTCGTACATGTGTAGATGGCAGGAGGAAGGTGAGAAACGTGGCGGTTGCGAAGAGACTGCCTTTGAAACCACAGGGCGTGCTTCTGATTTATTTGAGCAATCTCACAAAATTCGAGCTCGCGTTTTCACGGGTACCGCGTAGAGCGGAAATGTCGCGCCTGGCGTTAGGAAAGAGCAAATGTGGTTCGGATGAAAGTTCGGATGGAGGAATGCAGACGCGAGATATCAAGTAATGACTGTCGTGGAAGGTGCTGGTCAATACTGGTCCTGCCGAACAATTTCGAGAAGAAAAAGTAATTTCTGATATAAAATTTGACTTAGAGAATGCCAATTCTCCCAAAGATATCACCACTTTCAATATCCTGAATCAACAATGGCTTCGACGAGATCTGCGGCTCGGTACCAAGCTTGCAGTCTCAACAGTGACATACTAGCACCATGGCCAAAGTCTACGAGCAGTTGAAGTGAAAGAAATGGGAAGTGATCATCAAGACGCGGGCAGTGCGATTATCTCATATTGATTTCTTTCTCCCAACAGAAGCGAGCAGGATCTTGCATGCCTGTTTGATGAGCTGATATCAGAGGCATTTCATACTGACGAGTGATGATGGATCCGAGTCTGATTGGCCCAGGGACGTGCAGAGATAAGAGAGCCGAACAGTCCGCTATCAGGGCGTGTCAATCAACGCCGTGCATGCACGAAATGCGTGGCTTGGGACCGACCAGCGGGCTCGTTTTAAAGCCGGTCAGTCAGCCTGGAGACTGGGAGAGGCCATAGTGGTTCGGTCAAAGAGGGAATCAGCAGGGGCTCCAGCGAGCCGCGGGCAGCCAAAGCGGTAAAAAACGTGGGGGTAGACGTTGGGGAAAAGTGTGGGAACCCCACACTGAACGGCGCACCGGGACGGCTGCGGCGATAAAGAACTTCTTGGCAACTTGGCTACGAGGATGGATTGCCAGGGACCTGGGAGGGCAACCCCACGCCGCGGCTGCGACCAAAACTGCGAGCGAGATGCAGAAGGGTTGTCGGGACGGCTTGCCTATCGCAAGCTTGCTCCTCGCGACGGACACTGACTGTCATCAAGGAAAACATGCCAGACATCGACACTAGCAGCCGCTAACGATGAGAGTGTTTGTTGGCCATGGGAGGCGGCGACGTCGAGGCGTCAACACCCATCCAACATAATATTCACATGAATATCACACCCACCAAACGTTCTGCTCTTGTTCCTGCTGCTCGGCATCATGATTCTGCCCATCTCGGGAGACGAGTGGGTTGTTTATGCAGCTGGCACTCCCTCATTACTGTGATCGTCATCGATGCTGACCTCGCCTCCAGACAAATCTCTCCGGTGAATCTCCGAATTTTTGGCGATCGCCCCCCCTTCCTCCTCGGAACCCCCGCGTCCGGCACTTACAGGGCTTATCGCGGGTTCCCGTCCCGGTCGATGGCATCTGATCCCAAGCTATGGTTGAAGAGATGATGGTGGCTGCACCGCTGCAGAATCTCAACCCCACTCATCCGCCCTGGCGGGACTGGAGTTACAGTCCTAGGCTAACCCCGCGTTGCGCCCTACCGCAAGCCCCTAATTGCATGATGCTAGAGCTGGGCGTGTCTACAATTACCCTCCATACACTTCACCGGTAAAACATGAGAAAGACGCGAAGTTATGTATACGGTGAGGTATCTACTATAAGCAGGTAGGGTACATTGAAGCCATCAGACTCCATCTAGCGAGGAGTAGTCACATACATTCCAAGTACTCCATGCCTAGGAACTTGACTTCTCAAGCACAAGCTTTCTGCCGCAGACAATGCGGCGGATGTAGTAAGGGTTGACGCCAGGTTTCCGGAAATGTGCACGGGCATGGGCAATCAATGCCCTGGCCTCTTCCTCTAACCACTTCATATTAACGAGGGAACATATGGTATAACCTAGAATGGTAACCCGTAGCCAGCCTACAGTCCAAGTGACGCCACTCATAACGGTTCATCTGCGCCACTCATCCTGCCAAGGACCACGTATTGACACATGAGGATTGATGCTTCCCATTGGCTGTCTTCTGCGCGATAAAAATATGGCTTACCTTCAAGGTTACAAGAACTAGCTTTGACATAGAGGATGACCATTTGTTTTACCGTTTACCCTTAGACCAAGTGCCTAGAGGGATCCCAATATCTCTGTGGAACATGTCAACAAAGCCCGTTTCCTGCATCATATTTCTCTGAATATCGCGCACATGCACCAAGATGGTCCTGCCAGACTTCTCTGTCCGCGGCATGGAAGACCTTCAGTACCTGGGCGATCGGCGAATTATCGGGATACCACCCGTACCTCTATACCACGAGCCTGAGTATTCATGGTGTTCGAACCAGCCGCCGAATTTCAGGATGCGGTAGACGTTTTGACATAGCTTTTTCCAGTCGCGGTTGGGCCCGTAAAAATCCCGGATGTAGACAGTCAAACGAGCTATTAAGGCAGGCGAAGTCCTGGTGTGCATCGTCGATCTTGAGGTCAGGCTCGGAGGTGTCTAGCTTGACTGGACAGGGGTAACGTCCGTTTCTGCAACATTGATGTGCGGGAACTGGTCGGTGAAAGTCGCTGTTATCGTGGCAATCTTGTTCAGTCTGATATCAAGACAAGCTTACGATCTTGGTTCATTCAGGGGAATTTACATAGCCCAATAATCTGTCCCCGTGCCAATGTCGACAGCCTTCTTGGGCTTATCCGTATTCAACGAAGAAAAAGTTTACTGTCCATGGCCAGGAGGAGATGACAATGGCTTTCGAAGGATGTTGGTTATCACTAATCATTACTAGGACTTGTGACCTCCCGCAGGAGGGGAGAAGACATAGCAAACGTCTCTGTACAACTTGCAAAGTTGTCAGCCAAGGGGCTTACTTACGTCAGCTCCATGCTCTCCTTGTGTTTGTCCTCTATTGACGTCCAAGCCTCAGCACCTCCCAGCTCGTGATGGTACGTCCGGCCGAACAGTTTCCGATATTCCAGATGCTCTTACTGAGGTTGTGCTGCTGGCATTGCTTATGCTTGACACCAATTGGGTGTCCGACTCATCATCGCCCTCCACTGGCATCTACAAGAGAAACATGATTGTCCTCTGAAAAGAGAACTTTGACAAACAGCTGCATCAAAAAACATACCAGAGACCAGTTGGAGGCCGGGAGAAGTCCCGGAACGATGAGCGGCTGGTCGTTTGACTCATCCATGGAGGCTCTCGAGACGGCAGGCACACACAAACACAACTACGATAATGGAGATCGATGGACGACAAGCGAGGTGGTGAAGTTATATGGTCTGGAGGTGAAAACAGGTAAGCAATTGTTGGCATGGCGGATATATTTAACTCCTAAGCCGGGGCAGCCATCGTATTAAGAAATCAGAAAACGAAACACAAAGCACGATCACCAGATGCAAAGATTCTTCTCTCTGCACTACGATCTGGCCCACAGCTTGTCCAGAAGATTTTGCAGAAGACCGGTCCTGTCTCAGCAAAACCAGAGAACCTCTAAACAAGTGCTAATCCGGCTTGCAGCGGGCTTTGTCGCACACATCCTTTGATTTAAGCGAGGTCCTATTTACCTTAGGTATGCCGTCCCCTTGCCACTCCTTCCGCGACTGCCGCCAATGCCGCCGTTTGAACCGGCGAGCAGACCGACAAACGATCCGTACCTTAACCAGGTGGACAACTAAGCATATACGTGCCACGGTATACTTTGTTAATGGCTGCATGGTACTTTGGCGCGGGCCACCAGCAAACCTTGCAGATTAACTCTAGCTGACAGTCCCTGCTTGCTCGATTGACGTTGTCACCTTCCGCCTGGCTGTCTTTCCGCCCATGCGCTCTGCCTTTAGGCCGCCGCCCTCGAATCTATACTGCCGCTGTGTCTAAGGCATATCTGGCTTAGTCGCTGTGCTGAACATGTGGGAAAGCTTCATATCTTTTTGTGAAGCTGTATATTTTGCAGTTGTCGGCTGCGTTGGCTGTGACGGCTGAAGATTTGAGAGTTTGTGTCATTTTTGATATCCAGTTAAAGACTGCTGGATATCCGTGCCACGCTCCATTATACCGACCGGGGTCGTGACCAGCTGCCCGGGTTATAGCTGGCGCTGACTGCCAAAACAACTATGCTACCAAAGCAACTACTTAAACGTTTTGACTTCCCTACTTTTAAATCCTTTTACGCAATAGTTTTAACAGTCTCGATACACAACCTCGGCTGGACCTGATCTTCCTTCTATTCACAATCGCCTGGTAAGCCTTGCAGAGTCCTCCCAACCCTTCCTGACCTTGTTTTTTTTCTCCTTTTCAGCCCGCCCCACCCCACGCCTTGCCTTTTCCAAGGTATTCTCATCCTCTCTGTATCATAGAACGGCTTGCCAGACTTCAAGAAGCCCACTGGTCTGAAGAGGGTAGTTATTTGCAGCCCTCCGTTTGCGATGTTGTTCCTTGGCAAGTTTGGTACGGCTTAATCACATTTTGTCGTTTTAATTCGGTGGCAATAGCTAGTAACCCCCTGACAACCCGGTTAATGTTATACGCGAACTGATTATCTAGAGTATCATCTATAAGTTGCTCATAGATTACTTTGGGTAGCTTTTTTCATCTTCCTGAGAGTAACCGGGATTGGCAATGGTAGAGTGGTAGGTACCTCTGGTGCAGGGGAGGCTGTGTGTTGAGTTTGTTGTTTCATGAAAGGGCTGAAACACAACAAGAGGATCGCAAGGATAAAACGCTGATTTTTCAAAGGCCAAGATGATCATTCGACTCCTTGAATGAATCGCGGAGTACCTCCTCAATATACCTAGGAACTCGAGCTTTGTAATATTGGTGATAGCGTTGCGACTCGAGAAGTCAAGCGTTTTCATATGATAATGCTTAAGCATCTGAAAAAAGAACCTTGAGTTTAATAAAAGATCCCAAGAAACAATATAATTATTGTAGCAAATTTACAGGAATTCCTTGGCATAATAAGAGCTATGGTTGTCTATCAACAAGAGGATATACTCCCAACTTGTGCCTTTTGCGTATACTTCCAAAAGCGCGAGATTTACGTCGAGATTTTCCGAATGCATTCAACGTTTTCTGAAGTACGGGTTCGATTTTTCTTAGCAAAATCCCGTTGTTTTGGTGGTAAGCATCAGCTATACCCCGAGTGACTGGCCCAAAACCTTGGTCCGTCTAATGGGACGTGACACGAGTGCATAACAGTCTGCGAGCGGAACATAGTCTTCCAGAAAAGCAAGCAGGAATTCCTTGCTACTTTGAAATAACACAATATGCACCAAACCATCTCCTTAGCATTGTACATCAATATATCCGTACTGCGATAAGTACATTAGCTGTAAGGAATCCATACCTATGCAGGAAGAAGGCAGCGGACACCTATAGTAGGGTTAGGGTTTAAAAGGGCAGTTGATGAAAATTTGGAGGATAGGGTAAAGGACGCCTTGATGTGTTATCAGTTACAATTTATACAAAACGGAAACAGACAGAGCGTGCCATGTTGAAGGATATTCTTAGCTAACGATGTATTTCAAGTTTAGGTTCAAACCATATGAACACATGTTCAAGCGCCACGCCAGCGCAGCTCAAAATGCCTGGATAGCCACCTCCTTCTTCTCCTTTTGCAACTTAAATCCATTCCTCCCCACAAATGTCTTCATAGCCGTATCAATACCCGACAACCTTCTTGCAATCCTCTGCAGGCTCGCTGGCAGCACATTATACCAATCAACCCACCGCGCGTACAGCGGCATACTAACGCTGGCGCTGCGCCCACCATCGATGGCAGCAATGATCTCCTTGGCCACATCGACCGGCTCGACGACAGGAGCCAGGAACGCATTGGGAGTCTGCACTCCGTAGAAAAGTGGCGTGCTCAGCTGGCCAGGGGTCACCAGCACGGTGCGGATGTTGGGATGCGTCTGTGCCAGCTCGGCGGTCAAAGATTTGTGCAGCGCAGTGATGCCGGCCTTGGCAGCGGCGTAGTCGGTCAAGCGCGCGGCGCCCAGGTGGCCAATGACTGAGGAGATGGTTACGATCGTGCCGCCGTTCTCGTTGCGTGCCAGCGCGGGGAGGAAGGTCTTGAGCGTGTAGAAGTGGCTGATGAGGTTGGTGAAGAGTGACTTCTCGACCTCGTCGAAGCTCATAGACAGCAGGGACTTGCCAATCACGATGGCGGCGTTGTTGATCAGGACTGTGGGAGTGCCGAGCTGAATAATGTGTTAGTGATTTGCCCAAGAGAGTAAATGCTCTATGAAACCTACATCACGCTCAATCTGCGCAGCGACCTTGGCGACTTGCTCCTTGTCTGTCACATCACACTTATAGTAAGTGACGCCCCTAGCCTCACCATTCTCCATCTCCTCGACGTCCAGCACGGCGACAGTAGCTCCGCGCATGCCATACACTTCAGCAATCAGCAGGCCCAGCCCGCTGGCCCCGCCGGTGATGACGATGACTTCTTCACTCAGGTCAACCTCACGCGGCAGTCCATAGGCGATCCGCTGGTTGACGACATTGGCCACCCAGCACAGGCTAATGAAAGAAGCCCAGACAATCGCGGCCAGCGTTTTGGGCGCGTCCCATGGCAGGTTTTGGGCGCGGAAGCATAACGGGATAATCCATGCCACGAAGGGATGGAAGAAAGTAGTCTTGAGGACCTTGACGAGAAGGTCAATCGAGAGCGGCGCAAACCACGAGTCGCGCTGGGGAGGAATCGGACGAGGGTCCATTGTGTGAGAGGGGTTCGAGGACTCGACCGACGACGTCAAGCGTGAGACGCAGTATTAGATTAAGTTTAAGATTGAAAGCAGGCTCCTAGGAAGATAGAAATTGGAGAAAGATTGATGAAGTCTGTAGACAAGATCGACCACGGTTTGTCTACCGCATCGCAGATGGGAAGACAGCAGAAGTCAGCTGTTCATCAGCTGGTCGTGTTCATTGAACTCGAAAGCTTCGGAGGTGACAGCGAGACGACCTTAAAAGCTGTCCCCAAGTGCTTGTGAAGTGATGACGGCGGGGGCTTTGATGAAACATCTCCTGGTCTGAGCACCACACCCAATTGAGGCTGTTGGCCTGGACCCCTGCAGATTCTGCTGCCGCGGTGATCCTCTTGGCAGCATGTGGGCGCCAAGGCCAACCTGCCCCGGTCCTGGCCCCATAACCCTAACCCTGTAGACTGTCAGTACCTCGGGTCTTGGTGCGTTGAGGCTTGGCACCTCTAGTCTTGGCGGTCAGGGGTCCAGGGTCACACGGACACCTCAACGGCCAGTCAGAAGCGGGACCAGCGGCTCCGATCCGAACAGGGGCTTCGATTCATTTCCCAGCTTCCAGCGGGCGCCCGCCGTCGAGGTTCTACTCACTTCCAGCTTTCCAGCATCCAGGTCAACAAGCATCCCTTCAGCTTCGAATCGTCCCAAGCTGCCGGGCCCGACTGACCGCCAAAGTCTACCTGCCCAGAGCAGCGCTGGGAACATGAGAGAGTGGAAACGACGACAGCTTCTGTGATGACTCTGGCAGCACCAGCGACAACAGCATTATCAAAGGCTTCAGCAGCGAGTCGACGACGAGGAATAACAGGAATACGAAGATGAGCAGTGCAGAAGAGCCACTGATCCGGCGATCACGCTCCCCGCTTGCGGACGGCCGTTTCCAAGACGACGAGCTTAATATTAGCTCGAACAACCGCAGCAGCAGCAGTCATCATCACGATCCAGACTATGACGATAGCCATGTCCCGAGCAAGCCCGTCACTTTCTCGTCGTCACTCTACATCTGGCTCCTGACCTTCTCAGCTGGGATTTCAGGCTTGCTCTTTGGGTGTAGGTCTCTTATCTCCTTCCCCTCGCACACTCCAAACTCTAATCTATTCCTTCCAACCATACAGACGACACAGGCGTCATCTCCTCGACCCTCGTCTCCCTCGGCACCTCTCTCTCGCCCGAGCCGCTCACACCCCTCGACAAGTCGATCATCACGTCATCGACGTCCCTCTTCGCCCTGCTCATCACACCCTTCACCTCAGTGATGGCTGACCGCATGGGCCGGCGCCAGGTCATCCTCCTCGCCGATGCCGTCTTCATCCTGGGCGCTTTGATCCAGGCCGCCAGTCACTCCGTGTTTGCCATGACCTTCGGCCGGTCCGTGGTTGGCATGGGCGTCGGTGCTGCCAGCGCCGTCACCCCGCTGTACCTGGCCGAGCTGGCTCCGGCAGCGATCCGCGGCCAATTGGTGACGATGAACGTAATTTTCGTCACGCTGGGCCAGGTCGCGGCGTATGTCATTGGTTGGCTCCTAGGCGAGTATGGTGGGGAGGACACTGCTTGGCGCTGGATGGTTGGACTGGGCGCCGTGCCGGCGGTGTTCCAGGCTGTGATTATGGTCTGGATGCCGGAGACGCCGCGCTGGCTGGTGATGGTTGGGAAGGCTGAGCAGGCTAGGAGGGTGGTGGCCAAAGTGCTTGGTGGAGATGATGGGAAAGAAGTGGATGCGATTGTGAAGGCGATCGAGATTGAAGTTAGGGAAGAGCGGGAAGCAAGGAGGCTGCGGACAATACGAGGCGGTCCTGGCAGAGGGGACGATACTGCCGGATGGGTTGAGCTACTCGGAGAGCTGCTGAGAGTGAAAAGAAATCGCAGAGCGTTGGCCATCGCTTGCTTGCTGCAGGGCCTGCAGCAGCTTTGCGGCTTCGTAAGTAACCCTCTTCCCCTCTACACACTGCATGTGACCCCGACATGCAGGCCCGAGACTGCTAATATCTTGCTCTATAGAACTCACTCATGTACTTTTCTGCAACCATCTTCGCGATGCTCGGATTCCCGGTCCCAACACTCACCTCGTTGGTTGTGGCTGTCACCAACTTCATCTTCACTGTGGCTGCGCTGTTCCTGATCGACCGGGTCGGACGGAGAAGAATCCTGCTATGGACGGTGCCCCTGATGGTAGTCGGGCTGCTGCTCGCCGCATGGGGCTTCGCCTTCATCGACATCTCACAAGTCTTCCTGACAGAACCCAGCACCAGCGACGGGCCGAGCAACCAGACGGCGGCCGTGACCATCGTCTTCGCCATCATGATGTATGTGGCCGGGTACGCCATGGGCTTGGGAAACGTGCCGTGGATGCAGAGCGAGCTGTTTGCGCTCAACGTGCGGTCTCTGGGCAGCGGCATTGCCACGGCCACAAACTGGGGCGCCAACTTTGTCATCGGCCTGACCTTCTTGCTACTAATGGAGGCGCTGACGCCGTCGTGGACCTTCGTGCTCTACGCGGCTATCTGTGCCGGCGGGTACTGGCTGATCTACAGGCTGTATCCCGAGACAGCTGGGCTCAGTCTGGAAGAGGCGGCCGCGCTGCTGGAGGACGACAACTGGGGCGTGAGGTGAGCCTTGCCCCCACGAATGGACCGTGTAGAGGTCGATGTGGTCTGTCAGTCATCGGTTTGCGGTTTAGGTTTTGTCTTGTGGGCCGAGTCCAGAAGGTTCATGATTCATCGATGAAGGAGCGGATACACCGGGTGAGGTTAAGCTTCTTTAGGTTTGTATCTCTTGTGTTCCACAGATCTTCTAGGCACCTAATTGGATAATAATTCTGCACACATGGCGAGTGGGAACTGAGGTCGGGTGCAAAAAAAGGCAACATGGTTCGATAGCTTTGATAGCTTCGATAGCTTCGACGGTGCTTCCATGTCCTCTGTAGGGCTGATGAGGACCTTGAAGGTTACCGTCGGCCAGCAGCGGCAACTCTCGGCTTATTTGCCTTAAGACAGTGACAGCAGCAGGCCGCCAGGTTTTGTTTTTTCTTTCCGCCCTTAGAGACCCTCTTGACACGGAGCAAAAAAATTTTTTTGAAAAAAAAAAATTTCCCATGACAGCAGCTTAGCAAGTCCCACCGCAATGACGGCGCAAGCTGGAACAGGGCCAGCCAGGGCCAGCGGGAGCCTAAAGGAGTCAGCAAGGCCCAAGCGGCAAGGGCAGATGGCGCCGCCGCATGTGGCCGATGGGGCTTCATGTCCTGCGGGACCAGCCGCTGCCGGCCATGAGGTGGCGTTTTTAGGCTCTGATTGGATGAAACCTTGCTGTGGAATTGAGGAATTTGACGTAATTTTGCAGCAGAGCCACGCTGATGTACGGCCCAGAACCAGCAGGCCGGGATTTAAGGCAGATCTCATTTTATGGAGGGGAAAGGGGACGAGACGGGAGAACACCAGATGAACTATTGGAGACAGGAGGGAAAATTTGGGGAAAAGATGGGATGAGATAGGGAAGATCAGCGTTATCGCCGACGCCAGCATCACTGGCCTTCCTGCTGCGGCATCTCGCTTCGGCGATCGATAAGGAGGAAGAGTGACACTGATCGATGCTAGAACGGCTGCCGGGAGAATCAATGCCGACCCGGCTGGAGCCCGTTGCAGCCCGTTGCAGTGCTGTTGGGTCTGCTGGAGTCTTTTGCTCTGACTGGACTGCTGGCTGGAAGGGATACCGTCGCCACCGTCAACTGATACGACACGGGGAAGTGCATTGGTCAGCAGGGACACGAGCCAGTTCCCACTTCAAAGCCCACAGTTCCCACCATCGAAGCGCGAAGGCCGAGGCCGGGCCGAGGAGTCGTTGGGGTTCACTCGCTTGTTCTTGCTGGGGCCAGCTGGGAATCCGGCATCCATCGCGGCGACAGAACCTGTCCGATAGGGAAACGGGACAACTGTGGTAGGTTATGTAAATCCATCGTTGGTTTATAATAGAGGGGCCCTTTCCTGAAGAGAGGCAAAGTTTGGGTTTGATCTCCATCTCCCATAACTATCCCCATCATCATCACCACCTACACCATCGCCGACCATCTGTGCACGGGACTGGCCGGGATCCTTTCTCTATAACCGATCTCCATCCCCGGAGACTTCTTTTAACTGTCTATCTGCCTGCTTGTCAAGACGTGTTGCACCGCTCGCTCGCTCCCATAATTGCCAGCTGTGCCGTGTGCCCTGTTGCTCACTCGCCCCTGAACAAACCAGTGGGTAGATACAAGAATCGTAACCCAAGACTTCACTAGCACATACCAAGCAAGGAGGAGAGAACAAACCAATGGTCCACGACATTGTCGACCCCGCCCTCGGGGCCGAACGCCACGGGCGCGCCAGCAATACATACCCAGAGCGCCGGAGCGAGGAGATCGAACGGGTGGCCACAGCGTCGTCCGTGTCCTCCTCGTCGTCCGAATGCTCCCATCATCACGCCGCCTCCGCCATCGGGTCTCGTATGAGCCGCGTCCCGACTCAGAGAGACCTGGAGCGCCACCAAACCGAGCTGAGCCGCATCCAGACCGCCCGGAGCCAGCACAGTGCCACTGTCGGCCGCGACGGCTCCCGGCCGAAGAAGTGGGACACTCCGCTTCCCGCCTTCGGCGCTGGCAAGCCATACCCGCCACCACTGCCGAACCAGGAGGACTATGTTGTAGAGTTTGATGGGCCTGATGACCCGCTCCATGCACAGAATTGGCCCTTGAGAAAGAAGTACGTGACTGCCCTTCTGCGAAGCTAGGCCCTGAACTCGGGGGTAGACAGACAGAATGCTGACTGGGCTCTTTGTTCATCAGGATGTTCACCGCTGCCATCCTCGGTTTCACCACCATGACTGCCGCCTTCGGCTCCAGTATCTTCTCTTCCGCAACCCGTGCTGTCGGCAAGGAGTTCCATGTCTCGTCCGACGTCTCCCTTCTCGGCGTCTCCTTCTACGTCCTGGGCTTCGCCACAGGCCCGACCTTCTGGGCTCCCCTCTCCGAGCTGAAGGGCCGACGTCTGCCCCTCATCATCTCCATGTTTGGCTTCTCCATCTTCAACATTTCCAATGCCGTCGCCAAGGACCTACAGACCGTCCTCATCACCCGCTTCTTCAGCGGCTTCTTCGGCGCCTGCCCTCTGGCCGTCGTCGCCGCCGTCTTCTCTGACATGTTCGACAACCGCACGCGCGGCATCGCCATTACTGTCTTCTCCATGACCGTGTTCACAGGCCCCATGCTAGCACCCTTCGTCGGTGGCTTCATCGTTGAGTCCTACCTTGGCTGGCGCTGGACCTCGTACATCGTCTCCTTCATGGGCTTCCTGGCCTTCGTGCTCGACCTGCTCTTCCTGCGCGAAACCTACCCACCCCAGATCCTCGTTCAAAAGGCTGCAGAGCTCCGCCGGCGCACCCTCAACTGGGGCATCCACGCCAAGCAAGAAGAAATTGAGATCGACGTGCGCGAGCTCATCACGAAGAACTTCTCGCGTCCCATGCGCCTCCTCTTCTGCGAGCCCATCGTCACCCTCCTCTCCATCTACATGGCTTTCATCTACGGCCTGCTCTATCTCTTCCTGACCGCCTACCCCTTCGTCTTCCAGGGCGTGCACGGCTTCAACGCCGGTGAATCCGGTCTGACCTTCTTCGGCATGGTCACCGGCCAGATTCTCGCCGGTTTCTCTGTCCTCCTCCAACAGCCCTGGTACCAGCGCAAGCTGGCCGCCAATAACGGTGTGCCCGTTCCCGAGTGGCGCCTCCCCTCCGTCATCGCCGGCGGCGTCGCTTTCGCGGGCGGTCTCTTTTGGTTTGGCTGGTCCGGTTACCGCAAGGATATCCACTGGATTGTGCCCGCGCTGTCGGGTCTGCTGTCTGGCTTTGGCCTCGCCTCCATCTTCCTGCAGGCCCTCAATTACCTGGTCGATTCCTACCTCATGTTCGCGGCGTCCGCCATCGCGGGCAACACATTTCTGCGCTCGCTGGCCGGCGCCGGGTTTCCGCTCTTTTCGCGCTTCATGTTCGAGGGCATGGGCATTCAGTGGGCATCAACACTACTGGGTTGTGTGGCGGCTGCCCTGGTGCCAATTCCAATTGTGTTTTATTACTATGGGCATAAGATTCGTGCGAAAAGCTCGTATGCCCCGACTTTTCCTCCCAGGCCTCCACAAGGAGAGATGCCGCCCGGGACGGCCAGCAGCGAGTCTAGCACTGCGACTGAAACACATGATGAAGTGACGAATGAGAAGGATGTGATCGAGAGGGCAGTGGATGCCTCGGTACCAAATATTGATGGCAATCGGGCGGAGAGGGCCGTTTAAGGAACAGTTCAGCAGTGTTTAAACTGGACAATTAAGAGTCTGGTATTTTCAGGCGAAGAAGGGGAGTTTTTTTAAGCACCATTTGCTGAAATTGGTCTGATTTTCTTATATCATTCATTTCATCGACGATACGGCGCTCTGGTTTGGGAAAGCAAAAAAAAAAAAAAAAGGACAAGTGAATCAAGAATGTATGGGTGGGTGAAAGAACTCGATACCACGGATAGAGTTTTGCTTCATGTTCTGCTTCATTAATACCATACCCAGGGGAGAGATATGATACGAGCAATACTTTGTTGGATACATGATCATTGAGACATGTATGTAAGGGTTATGAGGGAAGGGAATCTCAATCAAATAATGTCTTAAGCTTGCGAATGGTATCAAACGAGACTCCATGTTGAAGCATGCTACTGTAAATAACCGAAAGTCAAACGAGGTAGGTACTCCGTACGTAACGGCCAGATCAAAGATTGATATCAACCCTTTTATTTCACCTTGTCCCCAGTCATATAAGAATCTCCTGTCGCCGCCGCCATCGCCGTCTCTCCCAAAAGTCCAAGTCCATTCCATTCCAGAATCTAAGACCCCTGAGCCACTCGTTATATTCTGGAAGGTAAATAACCCATCCATTTATTGTTTCATTCCAAAGAAAACAAGACGAGATGTTAGAACACAAATCGCCGCCCCACAGTAGTTCCCCACCGAATTCAACCATCCGTCCATCCATCCATCCATTCCATGTTCCGTTGTTTATCAACCTCCAATCATCCAGCTTCAGGCCGAGGAAGCCAGATTTGTTCACCATTTTTGTGATATCTCAAAGTTGTCGCTTTCGTTTAGGACCCGCCTGTGCGACATGACAGCTCTCCCTTGTTCCTCTTTATCCAGAACAGCAGCAGAGAGAGACCTTGCGACAAGCATTCCCAGCTCATCGCACCGTTCATTCTGTTGTCGTAGTCAATCCTCGAGTTCTCCTATTGATATACTGATACTCAAATAACGGTATGAATGGCCCTGAGGCCCACTTTCAAAGCAACTGGGTAGCGTTCGATGGGTGACAGAGCCCAATCAGAACGAACAGGGCGATGACCGATTCGGGACTCTAAGAGGAGCCCTTCTTGATCGCAATCGCTCGTAACCGTGGGAGCAACCTCCAATAACTCATCCATTCCGGAAAGGAATGAAGATGTCAAAGGGATACTTGTGTTGGTATTCTCGGGGGTAGTCCGGACCGGAGTGCACCACGATTGGATTCATGAATCAGTAGATCTTTACCGAAAGTTAATGATGGCAAGCTAAATGATTCAGTTAGCAACTACCCGTCACACTTGAAGTCATGCTGATATCACTTACGCGGTTGTCCAGCCCATAAACCAGCCTGTTCCCCTCCATATCCCAATCCAAGCACGGGATACCATCCTCGGTATCTCCATTGGCATTCGGGCTCTGCCAGCCCGGCTGAGGCTCCCACGTAGCCTTCGGCAACACATGGTCATCTATCTGCCAAACAAGGACCCTGTCGTGCGTCGCAACGGCAATGAACTGCCCATCCGGGCTCAACGACAAATTGTTGACAGCCAGAGGGGGCGGCATAGTGATGGCGAACTTGGGTTTGGTGTCTGTTCCGCGCACGTTCCAGACCATAATAGAGCCGTCTTCGCCGCCGGTGACCAACAGCCTCTCGTCTTCAGTCGGCTCAGACTGCAAAGGCTGCCACTTGAGGCTGGTGATGGGGCCATCGTGGGCAGGAAATGTGCGGCGCTTTCCGCTCTCGTCCCAGATCTGAGAAGTGTCAGTACCACACAAACTGTCACCTGCTCTTTCGTGAATTCAACTTACATCGACAGTGCCCTTGTCGCTAGCAGTAGCAACCAATTTGGAACGGCAGTCAAATTGGACCAGGCTGAAGCGTTCGTCCTTGCCCGTAGCAAACTCCTTCATTGGGACAATCCCCTGCTCCGTGCAGCGGAACGAAACCAGGAGGTTACCGCCGCAGAGGATAAACTCGGTCTCGCTGATCCAAGCAGCATCGAGGCTGTCGGCACGCAGGTCGTGCTCCAGAACATGAGACATAGAGTTGGGAGTGGAGGGCGACGACACGTGGATTAGCGTGCCCGTGTTCTCAGGGCCGTTGCTAACATCCGGACTGATGGCGAGCAAATAGTTGTTATTCGGGCTCCAGCATAGGTTAGTGATAGGCGAGTCCAGGCCGTCGAATCCCTGAACACGGGTACCGCTTGCTGTCCAGATGCTCACGCGCGACTTGCTGCCGAGCTCTGCGCCAGTGGCCAGAAACTCGCCACTAGCGCTCCAGGCCATGGCCGAGATAGTCGCATTCTTGGGCAGGTCCTCCTCGACAATGTTGATGGATGCTGCCGATGTGCGGGTAGGTGTGGTCACGTGATTGTTGGCTATCTCATCGGAAATGGTATCTGGGGCAGACCCACTTATGGAGGTCTTAGGCAAGGTCCAAATGCGGGCTAGCGCATCTGTGCCGGCAGTCGCCAAGACGGATGGATCCCGAGGGTTCCACTCGCTGAGAAGCACGATAGGGTTGTCGCTGGGCTCTGTCGATTCATCGCTGGACAGGCGCAAAAACACGGTCCCATGCGTCAGATCGCGCACCTTTTCGACCTGCGTGCCCCGTGACGGGCCTTCAGTGCGCGCAAGTGGTGATTCAGGTTGCTCTCCCTCGAGCGGCGATGGATATGCGTGGCCATTGCTTTCTGCCGGATGGTCGACATCCATGGGCGTCGTGGCCGAATCGGCTGCTGCCCCATTGTCGTAGCCGTTACTAAGCCGCTTCCTCTTGGCGGGGGACCCTTGCGACAAATCGTGATGCGGCCGGTCAACCAGGCGCTTCCGTGGGTTCTCAATCTCTTCGGGTTCCGGTTCGGGCTCTGATTCTTCATCGTCCTCCTCATCCTCGTCCACAGGCTGGTCGGTGTGATATTTTAACGGCCCAAACACGCCCCGTGGCTCTGGTATTTCGGTTCCTGGTGCCGCAAGACGAGCCTGTGAGCAAAATGTTAGCGGACTTACCCCGGCAATTAGCGCCACGAGGACTGCCCCCAAGGCTCTCAGGCCCCCCATCCTGCCAGCTCATCGGCCCCTCAGACGCACATCCGCCTTCCCATCTACTTCACGCCGGGTGCTATCCCGGCAGCAATGGAAGATCACCAGCTCCATGCGGAGAAAAAGCGAGGGCGGCTCGTCGGAGCTGTGCGCGTGGAGTCTTGGAAAAAATTGGGGAAAACGAGAAAAGGGACCATTATCGTACCTGTTCCGCGGCAAATTGCCTTTGGTAGTCCTCATAGATCAGGCCTTTGTTCAACAGCGACACCAGAGCATAGGTATTGACATGTGGCGCAAAGTCAAACTGCCTGTGAGGCTGGTGGACCCTCCATTCCTTCTGCAGCTTGGCGGCCGTCTCGCGGTAATCTGTGATGGTCAGTCAGCCCGTCTCACCTTGCTCCCCAAGCCTTGGTAGGGGCAGCAAAAACACAGCACTGAGGCTGCACGTGCCCAAAGTTGCGAGCCGCAAACTAGATACACATACTTGACTCGAGGAGATACCTAGAAAGCGAGCAGCAGGCTCAAATGTTAGCACTTCAACGGCGCGTCATCCCGGCGCACCGCAGACACGAAGGCCGGGCGTAGAGACGGCAGGAGAGAATCACGAGGCACACACCTCCAGACGAGAAAATTCACCCGATCGGTGTCGAGCAATTCCTTCATGGTTGCTGGCGGGGTTTGTGGCGCCGACGCCGGCAGTTGCGGGAAACGAAGCGTAGCAGCTGAGCAGCGAAGGTGAGAGTGAGAGGTGAGGGTGGTGATGGAATCCGGCAGTGTGGTTGGTGCGGCGATGTCGACAATGACAGGCGCGCCGTCAAATGGGATGGTGGAAGATTGCAGATTAAATGCTTTGGCGTTTCGTTGACGTTCGGGACCGGCGATCTGGATTCTGGGCTGTCTGGGGAAGTTTGTTGGTCGGTCGGTGTTGCAGAGATGAAAAGGCGCCAGAGTTCGAGATGCAGAGTTCGGCCCACGGGCCACACCCACGGGCCACGGGCCCAGTGTGGGTTTGGCGCTGTTGCCATTGTCCCTGGGGCCTGCGGCTTGTTTAGGCGGGCAACTAAAACAGAAGCTCGGACGCTAAGCCTATCAGAGCAACACCCTCACAGCCAAGCCGACTCTTTCACAACCACTGTCCAGCACAACACAAACACTACTGCTCTTTCGCTGCCCACTTCCATCCCGAGATGTCCGCATTTGCATCCACAGCCTCCCATCCTGGGCATCTCTCATCGCAAGTGTCTCGATTGCCACGCTTGCAACGGCTTGCTGCTGGCCGAAATTGACAGCTGTCGTTGGGCACTGCGCGAAATTGTGCTTGTGTCACGTTCAGCCCAGGAGATCCATCTATTGACCCTGGTGGGTCACCGGTCCCAGATTGCCAGCCCTCGTTTGTGCAGGCAAGCCCAGTCCTGCACGCCATTTGGAAGTAAATTACGGTAATTACACCGTCGCGGTGACGCAACCCAACCAATCCCGCAGCAGACAAGGTCGGCTTGTTGTGATCAAGAGCTCATTAGCACATCAAAACACGTTGAGCCATTGGCTTGCAAACAAACAATTGGCGTTGAAACAAATAGCGGGCTTGCATCTCAGCAAACTGGCAGCGTGTCCCGTAGCGCAGCCGTTTTGGCTGTATGTTACTGTGACATAACCGATGCGGACACATCCGGGGCTGATGGGGGGCCCGCATTCTTGGCTCCATGTTCAGTACGCCAAAGTCCAACAGTGTGTGGCTGATCCTCCACGCGACACTCCGGCAGAGAACTTGCAGCTTCGCATCCATCATCCACGATGCTCCGATCCGGCGGGCAAGGCTTGTGCTGGGACAGACGTTATCCGCTCTGGGTTGACAGCTTCTCATGGCTGCTGGTAGAAAGCTGCCGAGTTATCCATAGTCCTGCAAGAGTGCGATGGTTTGGTGCTGAGCTTTGAGATGGGCCGAGAGCAAGAGCTATGCTTGGATGGGTGTGGTGCACACATTAGCGTTCTGGGTTAGCGCAACGCGCAACGCGCAACTGCTGTGGGCAAGTGGAGGGGCAAAAAGCCGATCTGTTGTGGAACACAGGTGTCATTCTTTCCATCTCAAACATCGGGGGATGCTGACCACCGTGGTACTGTGTCTCGTGCAACCATCCAGTAATGGGAGAGCAGCCCTGTGCCGGGAAAAAGGTTACTTGAAAACACAGTTAGGTAACTGTAAATACCTTATTATCAACGATACCGCAGCAGGTCTTCTGCCGCTGTTGCATCAAATGTCCATACATAGGCCTTTGTCTTCATCGAGCTGAGGTGCATTGTTTTATCAAGGGTCAAGGACGCGGCTGCAGAACACCCAAGAATGTTGAGCTGCCAAGCCACTTCTGATCTAGCCTGCACTTGGAGGAGCCTCTTTGTTTTTCATTAGGAACCAAACACCAAGAGGAAGCCATCGACCAGACATCCGCCCATTTGGACTTCGGCTACGACCGCATATCGATTGCTACCAGGCCAGAGACTTGTTGGGGATATATGGTCTGACGCCTTCGGGAAAATCTGGGAGCATTCACAAGTGCAACGGAAACAGTACAAGTCGGGCCGAGCCTTGAGGTGATCTATTGGGGCTCGATGCCGGCTGCTATTCACGGGAATCGTGCACAACCATCAAATAATTTCACTGAGAGCCGACCAATGGGGTCCAGTGAATTGTGACTCTGGGATGACTTATGTGTTTGCTGTATTTGAATACTCCAATTCTCAATTTTTTTTGGTTGGAAGGAAGGATGTGTTCCTTTTTCTTTCGATTCCAATCGAAGAATCTTAGCCGGCGATCGAAAATCGGGATCTGCTGGCAGCTCGGGAAACTGTATGGAACTCGGACGCCGGCCTGTGCTCCAGTAATGCCATGTGGTCCATGGGCTTCTGCGAGTCCCGCCTGCGGCAACCAGCGCCACGGATTGGGCACTTGAATTCTGAGTTTTGCGCCGTGCTTGTGAGGCAGCAACGGGGCCCACCAAGATCTGTGCTGGCCTCGGCCCAGACAAACCCCAGCATAGAGCCCTGCGAACCCTGTGTCCTGCCCTTGGCACCTGGCAGCTGGCCCGAGCGCAAAAAAAAACGGGACGGCAGGGTAACCGCGACCCGTGATACATGATCAGTGATCCATCAGCGATCTGTCGGTCCAGTGCCACTGCCAAACCTGACCGTCTGGCAGCCATCGCAACTGCAACTGCACAACCCTGCACTGCAGCCGACTCGACGATAGGGGAGACAGGACAGGACCGTCGCGGTCGCCCTCTCTCGCAGAACAGACAAGAAAACTCACACCAAAATCCAGGCCGACTTTCGACTCCTAACTGCGGACCCAACCAACGCCAGCTCGCCCCCTGCTGCTGCCAGCCCGAGCCGCCGTCGCCATGCCCCCGCGAATAAACCTCCCGCCGGTGACGCGCATCGTGCTGATTGTGCTCGGCCTGCAGTCAGTACTGAGCGCCGCCATCCGCTATCGCCAGTGGACCGCTCACTCCGATATCGTCATCCCCTATCTCAACCTGATCCCCCAGCTCTCGCTCAGCTACCCCTGGACCTTCCTGACAACGACCTTCGTCGAGAGCAACATCTTCACCCTATCTATCGCCTGCCTCACCCTCTACCATGGCGGCCGTTACCTGGAACGCGCCTGGTCATCTCGCGAGTTCGCCAAGTTCCTCGTCATCGCTTCGCTGATCCCCAACGCCCTGTGCTTCGCTACCTCCATCTTCTTCTTTGCCCTGACCCGCAACGAGCAATGGACGTACGTACTCACACGTGTCCAGATGTCTTGATATTCGCTCCTACGGTTTTATTTCGGTCTAACTTGTGCTTCTCTACAGTCTCCTGGTCATTGCTGGCACCATCCCTCTTCAAATCTCTTTCCTCGTCGCCTTTAGCCAGCTCCTCCCAGCTCACACCGTGACGCTCTTCCGGGGCCTGCTCTCCCTGCGCGTGCCACGTTTCCCGCTGCTCTACATCGGCGTTGTAACGCTACTTTGCATGACCCCCATGCTCTCAATTGCTTCCTTCTTCCTCGCCATCTACGGTTTCTTCGTGAGCTGGACCTACCTGCGCTTCTACAAGGTCGCCTTCCCAGACCTGGACACTTCCCAGCCAAGCTCTCTCCGCGGCGACGCCAGCGAAACCTTTGCCATCGCCGAGTTCTTTCCGGGCCCGGTGCGTCCCATCGTCGCGACCATCTCGACCCACGTCTTCAACCTCTTGGTCGCTATGCGCATCTGCGTGCCCTTCAGCGCCGCTGACATTGCTGCCGCCCGCGGCGACCACCGTTTCGGCCACCGAGCCACTCCCGGTAGTGTCCGCGCCGAGGCTGAGCGCCGTCGTGCCCTTGCTTTGCGCGCCCTCGACCAACGCCTGCATGCCGCCACTGCCAACGCCGCCGCTCGTGCTCAGAGCGCTCCCGTGCCCCATGCCGTTTCCCCTCCTGTGCCGACCGCCGCCGGACCGACCGTCCACAGCCAACCACAGCCGGTTACGCAACCCATGACTACGCAGGCGGCTGGGAATGCGACCCTGCTGGGTCAGACGAATTATAACCCTGACGACCGCTCGTAAAGGGAAATAGAATTTGTCGAGGAAGATCAAGAGCAGGATAGGCCTTTAGAGACGCATGCACGGGATCTTTTTGGCGTTCTTCGAAAAAAAAATTATTTATGGCACAACTATTAGCGTCGTATGCGCAAGCAATCAAATCTAACCAGAACTATTCTACTGACTGATTAGGTTGGGGACTGTCATTTGGTGACAACTTGCCTCACCCTGTCCTTTGATCTCACTAGCTGAAGTAGGTGGTACTCAGAAAGTCAAGGCAGATATGGCACTCTGGGTCCGCTGTCCTAGAGTCACGCAAGGTGACGACACCTTCACTTCTGAGGGTCAACCCTTTAGGCATGTGAGCGCGCAAGCTAAGTTGGAAAATGGATTGACGAGGGGAAGTTGGGACTGCGATGCAGTGATCTTGCTTCGGAGTCTCTGCGGTTCTCGTATAAGCCCTCGCAAAGAGGGGTATCGACATCGCCATCGGTGAACGATATGTGGTTGTTAGCACACATAACCGTCGGAGATTTAATTTAACCAGGGGTGAGGATAGAAGAGAGATCGTTGTGGAATGGTAATGGGATGATAGATGCCCTGCTAGGTAGTAATGGATGAAGGAGTGATTGTGTATTGATTTAACATGGAAACGTTGATATTTGTGGCTACCGATAGAAACTTCGAGGTCAGTATCGGATGCGCGAAGATGACAAGACTTTCTGCGACGCTGGGTTGAAAATGTGATATCAATACTCTGACATTTAAACCTCCGGGACAGACGAGGTATGTGTCTGGGGATGAGCAAGTGGTATAGGACCACTTTCATTTTAGAAGTAGAGAAGTCGAGTTGCGATAGAACGATGCACAAGCAAGCGGTGATGCGCCTCTTAACCTCTGTGTGGAGTTCAACACGCTAAAATCTTAGTTCGATTGTGGGAACTAATAGACCCTATATATCCAGGAGAGCACTAGCGGTACATATACTTGTTTTTGCTGATCTTCGGGCAATTAACAAAACCAAAATATATTAGAGAATGACAAGGTTAAATCTTGTTTCCCACAAGGACACACATAGTCACGAGGCCTTGAGATGCACTTGGAAGTTATCGTTTGAGTCGAAGTTTCGCTCTGAGCTGCCTTCGAGGTCAGTCAATCTTTGATAGACCAATAGGGTGAGCAATTGTAGTTATAGGACCTATGTACAACATCAGCTGTGAAGGAAGTTTCGGAGAGTAATGTGGCTTTCGGCCTATGGCTGATAATAAGCCCACAGTGTCATATATGAACACATATATGCCGGTTACGCTTGCCGGCAGAAGAAAGCTCAAAGAAGCCGAATGTTCGAATACGTGGACTCTGTCTTGAAGTATGATCGAGTCACACGGCATCCGAGCTGAAATTGACACAGCCATCCTTACTCTCCCCTTGTTCTCAAGAACTTCGGTTTGTGCTCTCGTAACTAAGACATATCTTAAGCTGCTCAGGCTCTCCGTTATAGAGGAAGAAGGGCAAATGTCGTCTACAATAGGCCAATCCCTTCGAGCTATAAAGCACAAAAAACTGATTTATCTCCAAACTCACCGAGCTTAGCCGAGGTGTAGCAAGGAAGGTAAATCAAAAATAGGCAATGGCCCGCAACAAAATCAAAGGACCTGGGATGGCAGACGATCTAGTGCTCCAAATCCTCCGTTTCACCAGCCATTTCCGTCGGGCCCATGTAGCCGGGAAAAGGTCCGTTGCAGCTTGTCTGAGATTGGCTGCTTCTACGTATGCCGATGCTGCTGCTGCTGCCCACCACCAACAACTGCTAAAACTATTCGATCACGACCTACACACTTGCTTACCCTCAGAATACCAATATCAGTGCTCTTACGAAGCGCTGCGGATCGCAAATCGTCCCTTTTGTAGGGCCCAAGCTTCCATGCTGACCAAACATTCTGTGGGATGAAGGAGAGAGATATGCTCGTAGAAGCATCATGGGCCAGCTGCATACAAGCGAAGCGGCAGTCAGGCTATGAAACGAAGCGCTCCCGTGGTTTGGGGGTGTTTGATGTGCGTGGCTGTTATATAAAGATTGTTATGGCATTCATCATGAACAAAATCGACGCGGTGGTCGCAGAATCATCCAGACTTTGTCTGCGACGATGCGCAAGGGATGCCGTGGGCAGTCGCATCTCGGGGTGGGGACCAACGAGGTGGCATTGGAAGCCAACAGGATGTGAGGGCACTCGGCTGGATCGTCTGGAACGCCTGAGCGTTTTGCGTAGGTTTGTGCTGGGGTCCGGAGACTTTCACTGTCTTCACTTGTTTGGTTCCTGTGCCAATCTGTTGCCAGGCCTGCCGCACGCCGCGGGCCGGCAGGGGGCTGATTAAGCCTTCTGGGCAATTTCTTGGCATTCCCATGCGAACTCCAAGCAAGACACAAAGCCTAACCCTTAACGTACTGCCCTGCTGGACAAGGCCGGGCTCGGCGGGCGTTCCACGCCAACCAACCGTCAACACGCAAGCGCGCCCTCCCGTTCTGAGATGGCTGCCGTTGGGGGCACTGGGCTGCGCATGCCTGCAGCCAAACCCTATCGACGTCCACTATACCCACAATGCGGGCGTGTGTGATCATTAGCAGAACAACATGACAAGAAATTGGCTCGGATTACCAAGACGGGATGCCGCTAAGATGGCTAAAGATGGATGGACTGAAAATGGGGGGGATGAACTGGCCAAAATGGCCCGTGAGATGGAGGAGTGTTCTGTTTTGAGTTGGCAACAAACAGTTCATTTCCAACGGCGGCTGAGAGAACCTTGGCACTCGTTGACAATCTTGCTGTGCCGCCGCCAAGGATCGGGTCACGTTAGAAGGACGATCTTTGCCTGTCCGACGGTCGATCGGAGTAAAGGACAAGAACTGGGGGCCACAGCACGGAGAAGTGTGGGCGACGAGCCAACTGATACTTATCGTTTGCTCATCGTTCACCATATGCTCAGGAAGAATGGGTGGGCGTCGTCCTCTCTGCACCAGACGACGACACACGTGGAGATCAAAAACTGGGCCGGTCCCGCTGATTATTGGCTGAGCCTGATGGATGCTGGTGATTTGCTGGGTGGACAGTCGGTTGGCGGAGAAGTGGAAGGTCCTCTCAAGGATGCAGGGTTCCACAGGGGCCCCAGAGAAGAAAAGAAACCGCGCAGGCCGGTGCAGGGAACAGTGAGCGAACGGTCCGCCAAGCGCCAAGCAGCCAAGAGCCAGACAAGCTGCTGGCATGCTGCGGCAATGTGCCATCATGCAACCACGGTTGTCGCTTGTGCGGCCTGCAGTTGCGAAGAAATGATGCACGGTGATTCCAGCGGTCTGTGGGTGCGGACGGCCGATCTCCGGTATTTCACATTCACGTGATAATTCACGTGACTATAGGGACCCGTCGCAGAACCCTTGTCCGCCAGATGATGCCGGGGCATCTTCCAGATCTTACCAACAGCAGACGGGTACGTCTGGAAATGGAACCCAGCCAGGGGACCCACTCACGGCTCGAAACCTACCAGCCCCAGCAGACAGTTTTCCCAGTCGGTTGCCCCAGCTCTCTCCCGTCTTACCCACCAGTTTTGGAGCCAGACCAACAGCGTTGCATCGAGCCCCTCGAGCAAAGGCCACTTGCAGGTGCAGGCGAACAAAAATTGGAAAATGGCAGCAGTGAGCGCAGCGTCATGCATTCTACTGGCTGCCACACAACCAAACAAAAAAGACAAGCCATCCTGCAGAGCTGCGTCGCTTGCAGAAGCCTCATCGCCGCTGGTTGCTTTCCCCTCCCTGTCGACAAACAAGGACCTTTTTCCTTGGCCTCTCGCTTCAGCCGAGCCAAGCTCGAGCAGGACAGTCAGGGCAAAGGGGAGATCGCCGGTAGATCACCACCCGACCCGAAACCTACCCTAGCTCAGCCATCTCCGCCGATAATGTGCAATGCCACTGTGTCCGTGGTATCTCGCTGATTGCATGATTTCATGTGACTCAGATCGATCATGAATGATATTGTCCGGTGCTCTCTTGGGAGTGAGGTGCTCGCCCGTCCACTTGGCTGTGTGTTACCGACTGTTCCCAGGACTAGGTCATTGCCAGTGATTGGTTAGACTTTGGAAATTTCTTATCGAGCGCCACCATCACCTTGAGTGGACGAATCGCGTGGAGAGGAATGTTTTTTTTCTCTTTAATAAGCGGCGCTGGATGCCTGATGTGGGAAAAGGACGGTAAACATGCGTTTTCTCATAGGCCATATGCGTGGTGCTTACCTTTCCCATGCGATGGCTTGCGCAGGGAACCTTTTTTTCAGGGCACAGGTTGAATCTTTTCGGACCGCTTGGTTTCTGTCGCCTCTCTCATCTTAAATTTCAGCAGCAGTCTGCTGAGCTGTCTGACGTCGCACTTGGCCAGATCCAAACAGCAGCAGGGTCAGGAGAGGTTTTACAACACCGATAGCGAGTGCACCCTCGGAAAGAAGGCGAGGAATATGTATATATGTAAGTACGACAGACTGGTATGTTCATTTATATACCGAACCCTCACTATATATACCGCCGGGTTATATGCTGTGGTAAAACAAGCCCAGATGGAATAATATGCGGGTAATAGATTGGTGCCGAATGTTGCAAGTGCCTTGGCACCCAAGCCCTCGCTGTCCCCGACGTCTGTCTTATCCCGTCACACGGGCCGAGCTCGCACGACATACAGTGGAGGAGGTTGAGTTGTGTACGCCTGAGAGACCCTGAGGAGATTGAATTGCCGGAGAAAACGGCGTCACTCTTGTCCTTGCTTCCACCAGTCGTTACGGCCTCTTGGTGTTTCCGTGCTCTGTGTGCCTACGCGGTGCTGTGCTAGCATCATCTTAGAGTGGCAAACAGCGTTGTGTTTCGCTCTGTGTTGTCGGGCTTTGTATGATCGATCACCCGGACGGATCTGGTCGCACCGACCAGGCGGTGCACCCGATCGGGTGCATCAGCTTGGATATATTATGGGGCTGAACTTCTGTCGTGGAGTGTCAGGTTCTTCAGAACACACACTTTATATTGTGTGAGAAGGAATATCTCTTTATCTGTTGAGCTGCGTCGTCTCACTGAGACTCCCCAACGTGCAATCTCTATCCCAGCCCTACCTCCCCATGCTCCCTGCTCCAATCGTCAAATTGGCTGCTGGAGGGGGTATGCTTGAACGCTATGCTGAAGATGACGCTTCGCCCCGGACACGTCTCCTGCTGTACCGCGGCCTATTCAACGGACAACGACATTATCTCCTTAAAGGGACCTGTTAGGCATCCAGTTTTGCTCAACCGAAGTGCGTCACAGGAGTCGAGAAAACTGTGTAACCTTCGGTTTCGGGCAACCCCTCCATCCGCTGTTAAATTACTAGGGTGATGGGTCTAGGCCAGCAGCGGGCCAACGCAAAGCTCAATCAGGGGTCTCTTCAGAGCTTATCCATGCATCTGGGATTGATGTCTCCATAGCATCTGATGAAAGAGTTTCTCTGATGGCCGGTTGGCAATCAAGGATGGGCAATGCAGGAAGCAGATTACCTACGTAGACAGCCCCGAAGTTGCCGTTTCCATTCCACATGAGTGAGGAAATTCCAAGTCAATCAGCCAGTCTGCCCGCAGATGCATGCGTCCAGTTTCGATCCGGGTGCCAACAGACCAAACCACTATCCAGCCCGTTCCCGCTGTCGGAAGCAAGCAATAAGAAGCAGTAGGTCCGGTGTCGTCACCCACACCATCCCTCACCCACAAACCACCACAAAAAAAAACACACAGCGCAACCACTGCATACCGCATCCAATCCGGATCGTTGCAACAAGGCACAGATGTAGCCTGTTACCTAACGTCGTAGCTGTGCGCAATGCAGTGCCCGCGTTGGTATGAGCCATTTGGGGAACACTGGACGCAGCTTGGGTCGACTGTCCTCTCGGGGCCCATCTCGTTATTTTCCGAGCGAACGAGGCCACGGTGACCCACCCCGCATCATAACACACCGACACCGACACCCCATCGTCGACAGAACCACACACCTCTCCCATTTCCATCTCATTTTGGGGGGTGGAGACACCAGGGTGTGTGATGGACAGGAAAAAAGTGGGTATCCGCAGGATGCAGGCGTTAGTCCGGCCCAGGGGGGCGTGAGGACCCACATACACACCCACACACAGCTCCACCACGGGAAAGGGTGGGATGGGACCGGCGTGTCTTGGAGTCTTGGCGCTTATGTGGAGGGGGGGGGGAAGGAGTGCATGGTTGGAGACCATCGGCGCGCCGTGGAACCAAGCCGTGGGCGGGCGTCGCCACAGGCCCACAGGACAACAGCCTCCACACGCTAAAACGAAATGGCGTAGCCGCTCGCTCCGGAAACACCCTCCCCTTGGAAAAGGCTGGGCCCGTACGGCGTACCGGACCGTATCAGGTACTTGGTACATGCCGCCCCTGGCATGACCTCACTATGGGTCCATCCTCACACAACCCACAGCCCCAATTTTCTAGGCTCGCGTCGCCTGCATGGATAACAGAGAAGGGGCACGTGAGGGATGTGCATCTTCGACGCCATGACAAGTGGCCGATCATGGACAACATGAAGAAATGCTTTGAGCTCGACTCATCTTGTCAGATGTAATTGTGACTTTCGCTTGGACTCTGCCAAAATTTAATCCGTAGAGGGCTTGGGAGAGTTTTGCTTTTGTCGTTTGTTTACAGGCTCCTGTGGCTTAGAGCATGCCTATTAAGCTCTTGCCTCATGTGGCTTAAGCACGGTCTCTTTAGCGAGCTTATCCCAATTCGGCAGTCCTCGCCATGCGGCTACAATGTACCAGGACTTTTTGACGACCTCTCGTGCCAATGCTTGGCAGCTCTGCGAGACATGAACGGGAAGACAATTGTCAGATCCCTGTCATCTTGTGGGTAAGGTATTTTGCATGCCTCAGACGGCCAGCCGCTCTCAATCGACCCAAAGCCCGACTCCTCCCCATTCCGAGATTTCTTCCCCGGGATTCTTGCTGCCTCCCGTTTCTCTCTCCTTTCTTCCCTTCTCTCCCTCTTGCCCTCTGGTGACCTCGGGGCAACTGCACCTGCATTTCACCTGCCCAACGAAGCAACCAGAGCTGTTCGATTCTTTCCTCCCTTTTCTCCCTTTGCTATCCATCCCTCTTTCATCACCGCACTGTCGCGCAGCACGAGCCTGCGTGTCGCTGCTTGTTCGTGGCCTAACCCTGTTGGCACGGGCGAGCTGACGTTGGTCGTTGGGCATTCATTCATCACGACTCTTGCATCCGACGAAAGAGTGTGCTCACTTTTTGACGAAGTCTGCACCGATCAACAAAAAAAAGGGCGTAGCAACCCGCGACGAAAAACGCTCAAAACATACTCGTTTCGTCGCGAAGTAACAAGAGACATCGTCGCAGCGCTAAGAGCAGCACCTGCATTCGTCGCGACTTTCAGCCATATCTGTCATATCTGTGGCAGCACTTCCCGACGAAACGACGATTTTCTGCAGACATCGGTTTTGTGATAGAGTTTTCAATTAGTTGCAAAATCGGTACATGTCGAGCATCATGGCCAACCACCATCCTTCTCCGCCAATGCCGATGCCGATGCATCACGGTGCTCTGGGCCCGGCGCGTCCTCCGCCGGCGCAGTCCTTCTCGGCTGCGCGCCAGACACTTGCTCAATTGAACGAGAGCGTCTGGATCCAAATCGGTAGGATTTGGCAGTTACTTGGAACAGATGGCGTCGGTCGTTAACACTTTGATCCAGGTCAACTCGCCGAGCTGATGGGCAATCTCGATGATGCCATGGGGGCTTATGAGCGCGCGCTCCGGCACAACCCCCAGTCTATCCCCGCCATGACTGCGATCAGCTGTGTTCTGCGAACGCGCGAAGAGTTCCAAAAGGCAGCTGAGTATCTGCAGGCCATTCTTAGGCTGGACGAGACGAACGGTGAAGCTTGGGGCAACCTTGGTATGTTGACAATCAAGCGACTAAGTTTGGATCTAGTATTAACCCTTCGCGCAGGTCACTGCTTCTTGATGATGGACGATCTCCAGCAGGCCTATAACGCGTACCAGAACGCGTTGGTCCATCTACCAAGCCCAAAGGTAAGTTCTTGTAAATGTTACTTGGCACTTCAAGATGCTTACACCTATTGTTTAGGATCCTCGCCTGTGGTATGGCATCGGTATCCTTTACGATCGGTATGGTTCTCTGGACCATGCCGAGGAGGCGTTCGCCAACGTCATGGCCATGGCCCCCGATTTTGACAAGGCCCACGAAATCTACTTCCGTCTTGGCATCATCTACAAGACTCAGCAGAAGTACCAGCAGTCGCTTGACGTAAGTAACAGGTGTCAACGCATGTTCAAAGCTGTTTACTAACGGTGACCAGTGCTTCAAATACATTGTCAATTCCCCTCCGCCGCCGCTTACTGAGGAGGATATCTGGTTCCAGATTGGCCATGTCTATGAGCAGCAGAAAGACGTAAGTAGCCGGTCAACTTGGGCTCTGTCTCTAAGCTCTCGCTCTAACAGTTGCGCAGTTCGAAAACGCCAAGGCCGCGTACCATCGTGTGCTGGAGACCAATCCCAACCATGCTAAGGTGCTCCAGCAGCTTGGTTGGTTGTATCACAACTCCAGCCCGTCGTATGAGGCCCAGGAGCGGGCCATTGAGTACCTGGAGAAGTCTGTCGCAGCCAGTATGTCTCCTCCTAACCCTCTCAACTCCCCCAAAGCGTATTGATACTGACTTTGCTTAGACCAGGCTGATGCGCAAAGCTGGTATCTCTTGGGCCGGTGCTACATGCAACTGCAGAAGTACCCTAAGGCCTATGAGGCTTACCAGCAAGCCGTGTACCGTGATGGCCGCAACCCGACCTTCTGGTGCTCTATTGGCGTCCTCTACTACCAGATCAACCAGTACCGTGATGCCCTGGATGCGTACTCACGCGCCATCCGGCTCAATCCCGATATCTCGGAGGTGTGGTATGACCTGGGTACTTTGTACGAGTCCTGCAACAACCAGATCGCCGATGCGCTCGACGCGTATCAGCGTGCGCTCGAGCTCGATCCGAATAATCCGCACATCAAAACCCGTCTCCAGCTCCTGCGTAGTGGACAGGCCAACGGCGCTCCGCCGCCGCAGCCTGTGCCTGCCGATGTTCACCCACAAGCGTACCAGGCTCCGGGCACGGTTGGCCCCCCGGCTCCGCAGTGGACTGGCTCCGGTCCTGCGGCCCCTCCTCCGCAGCCGCAGCAACCGCCCATTAACGGCTCCTCAGGCCCGGGTAGCACCTGGGGAAGCAGCAGAGTATCGAGCCTGAATCCCCCTCCACAGCCTCGCAACCCCTACGAGCGCGACTCCTTTCGTGGCCAACAACCTCCCAGCCAGCGCCAACCCAGCCCGCAGCCGGAACAGCACATGAGGCCATATCCGGAGACCAACAGAGTGCAGGAGCAGCAGCAGCCTCGGCGGGGCCCTTCCCCTCCTCCACCGGCTCACTATGCGGCTCCTCCTCCGCCCCCGCCGCAACAGGCTCAGCAGCAACCCCCGGCACAGGCGCAGACTCCGGCTCAGTCCCAGGCTCAGGCCCCACCGTCGCAGCCCCCATCCCGGGTCAGAAACCCTAACTACAGCGGACACACCCCTGCGCCGGTCCTCCCGGCAAGCACACCGTCCAGCCAGGCTGGCTCCGCTCCAAACCCTCTGATGCCGTACCGCACTGGCAGCCCTCGTCAGGAGAGGCAAGCGATTCATGATAACCGTATGCCATCTCCTAAGTCGGCGTACCCTCAGTACCAATCGCATCCCGAGCAGAATGGCCCTAACGGTGCTGAGCCAGGCGCTCCTCACGCTTCGCAGTCGGCTATGCCGCCGCCGGATACAACTCCCCATCGCGAGCACGACCAACGCCCTCCTTCCGTTGGCCCGAAGCGGATGCGTGAGTGGGAAGATGAGCGGGATGTTAAGAAGCCCATGACGGAGGAATCGCGTGCCCGTATGGAGGACCTGCGTCACCGCCGCCCTTCGACCCCTCCTCGCATGGAGCCTTATCGCCGTAATTCGTCCGAGGCGCGCCGCTTCGATGAACGGCGTCTCGAGGACCCTCGCCGGGTCGAGGAGCAGCGCCGCGCTGATGAGATGCGTCGTGCCGATGAGCAGCGTCATGCGAACGAGGGCTACCACCCTTCTGATGCTGCCCATCACCCGCAGTCCCACTCCGTACCTGCTCACCTCCCTCCCATGCAGCAGGGCCCGTCCCAGATGCAGGGTCTCATACATGACGGCCCGAGTGCCCAAGCCGGCCCTGGCCCTGTCAAGAAGGAGTACCCAACTAGCGGCCCCGAGGAGAGACGGATTGAGCACCCGCCTGCTTCGCTCCCTCCAATGACCAATGAGCCTGAGAGGGCCGCGCGCAAGATGGATGTCGATGAGGACTATGATGATAGCGGTGAGGAGGACAAGAAGACCGGGCCGGCGCCTGCGTCGTCGTCGGGCCCGTCTACAGCGGGCGAGTTGAAGAATGGTGCGTCTTCGGCTAGCACCAGCATCAATGGCATCATGGCCCACAAGCCGGACGGCAACTAAGTGGACAGAAAGAGATGGAGCGGGGCTTGGTGGTTCAAATGGGATAGTTTTCTTGTGTTGTAGGTTGTTTCGGCGTATCTTCTTCTTACAAAGCTGAAGTTTAGCTTTTATGTGATTTCGATATGGAATGGCTTTACACTGGCTTTTTGCTCGCACAAATGGATGACAATTTTCCCCTTTTGTCTTGTGTCCTAGACCTTTCTACTACTACACTTTGCTCTGCCGGTTGGTGCATCTGTAAGCCTTCTGGGTTTTGTTTGGGGGGGGGGGTACCGGGGTTCTGACCTTCCTGCTCGTCTCATGGCGTCTGCTATATCGGCATCTGGTTTTTGGTAGTGGTCATGGGGAAAATGAAAACCAAGGTATACCTCCAAAGATGTTCACAAACTATCTGGGCGATGCTGTGATGTTTTGAAAGCTCGAAGCCTCTCCCTCTAGCACTTTCCTTATGGTGTTAATGGCTAGGTAGTGCTTCGATACTGGGTCCAATTATAATTTAATCTAATTTGCATACCCAGAATGGTTACCTGAAGGCTTCGAGACCATCATCTCTCATGTGCCGTTGATTGACCCTGGACCGTCTGCGTTGAGTTGGAAAAAGCGAGCACCGAATCCTGACGCATTGGTAATATTTCACGTAACGGGCCTGTAACGAAGGTATGCATTACGGGTGGGTGTGTCACGTGAAAATCCCACCAGCCGTTTAGGGCTCTGCTGCGATTGGTCCCTGGACAGGCTCCAGTCCACACAAAATTCAACACCACCAAATTTCTTTGTAGTTTCTTTTCTGAACTTCGTGGCCGGACCAGGGGGATTTTTTTCCATCATACAACCACGCCCAACCGCGGACATCAGCAACCATGTCGCACCGCAGTGAGTATCTCCCATCATGTCGACGTCGGTTCTTCACACGCAGCGCATCGCATTTCTATGCAATCGAGTTTAGAGTTCGAGCAAGAGATTCGAGCGATTGCGGGACGTTTGGGACCGACGGAGGACAAAATCTGGAATTCGCACAGATCGAACGGGAACTGACAACACCAGAGTACGAGGCCCCTCGCCATGGCTCTCTGGCTTTCCTGCCGCGGAAGCGCGCTGCCCGCCACCGTGGCCGGGTCAAGTCGTAAGTGAAATCCTCATTTGCACCAGTATTCTATCTACTTGGAAGACGGCAGTTCCAGAGCTGACGGCGAGTATCATGACAGCTTCCCTAAGGATGACCCCAAGAAGCCCGTCCACCTGACCGCCGCCATGGGCTACAAGGCCGGCATGACCACGATCGTCCGCGATCTCGACCGCCCTGGCGCCAAGGCCCACAAGAAGGAGGTCGTTGAGGCTGTGACAATCATTGACTGCCCACCTGTACGCACAACTCAGCCCGCTTGGCTCTTATTGTGTCAATGGCTAACATCTATTTTGCAAATAGATGGTGGTTGTGGGTCTGGTCGGGGTAAGTGATTGCTCTCTAGCCGCCGATGGCCAAGAACATACCGTCTAACGCACTTGCGAAATAGTATATCGAGACCCCTCGTGGCCTCCGCTCCCTGACCACTGTCTGGGCTGAGCATCTGTCGGACGAGGTCAAGCGCCGCTTCTACAAGAACTGGTACAAGAGCAAGAAGAAGGCATTTACCAAGTACGCCAAGAAGTACGCCGAGAACAACGGTGCCTCCATCACCCGCGAGCTGGAGCGTATCAAGAAGTACTGCACCGTTGTCCGCGTCCTGGCGCACACCCAGATCCGCAAGACTCCTCTCAAGCAGAAGAAGGCCCACCTCATGGAGATCCAAATCAACGGTGGCTCTGTCGCCGACAAGGTCGAGTTTGGCCGCAGCCTGTTCGAGAAGCCTGTCACGATCGATACCATCTTCGAGAAGGACGAGATGATCGACGTCATTGCCGTCACCAAGGGTCACGGCTTCGTTGGTGTCACCGCTCGCTGGGGTACCAAGAAGCTGCCCCGCAAGACTCACAAGGGTCTCCGCAAGGTTGCTTGCATTGGTGCCTGGCACCCGTCCCACGTCCAATGGACTGTTGCCCGTGCTGGTCAGATGGGTTACCACCACCGTACCTCGGTCAACCACAAGATCTACCGCATCGGCAAGGGCGACGACGAGGCCAACGCCTCGACCGAGACCGATCTCACCAAGAAGAAGATTACCCCGTATGTTCTCATCTCCCCCTCAAGAGAGGCTAGTACATACTGACGTCCAACAGCATGGGTGGCTTCGTTCGCTACGGCGAGGTCAACAACGACTACGTCATGATCAAGGGTTCTGTCCCTGGTGTTAAGAAGAGGATCATGACTCTCCGCAAGTCTCTTTTCACCCACACCTCTCGCAAGGCCCTCGAAAAGGTCGAGCTCAAGTGGATCGATACTTCGTCCGAGTTCGGCCACGGTGCCTTCCAGACCGCGGCCGAGAAGAAGCAGTTCATGGGTACCCTCAAGAAGGACCTGCAGACCAGCGCTTAAGCTGCTGTCAGTTCCTTTGTGCTTTTTCTCGGTTTTGCAATGGCATTGGTGTCTGGGTTTTCTCGCTCTTAGGTCGGGGTATTTCGGAATTCTTCTTAGCATTTCCAGGTAGTTGAGATCCGTGAGAGGAATGGGAAAATGAAGAACCAATTGCCATTGACTGCTCTTATGCCGTGATTATACGTACTGTTGTCCCTGAGGCGTCGGTGTTTTTGTAGGTAAGTTTCTAATACAAGTATTCTGTGTAGTTGACCTCTTTTTTCTTTCTGGAACCCGTTTTGTGGGGTCTGGTTGTTGTGGGGTTGAGGTGGGGGCTTCCAAAGAACTTGGCAACCGTCCAGTCAGACCTTGTGTGTTACATCATCGGTCAGCCAACCTGCATGCAGCCTTTTGATTCAGCCTTTCACCATGGCCGCGAGTCTACGCAGTTGCCTTCAGCGCTCGGTCGAAGCGAGTCCGCGTGGGGTTTTCACAGACACCCTCAACGGCTCAATTTTCAGGGTTAATACCGTCTCTCGCTTGCAAAACCTACAGTCGCCTGCGACGTTCGGCCTGGTTCTGTCCAGCTCTACCAGCTTCCCGAGCAGTGCGCGAACAACATCAACCCAACGGCGCGGCTTCTCTTCCCTCACACCTCTCACTATTACGACCTCCATAACACAGACACAACTCAACAGCAGCAGAGCGCAGTTCACTACATCTACAAAGATGGCCTCCGACGAGGACTACCTTGCCTTCCTCAACAAGGCGAACGAGCCTTTGGCTGCTAAGCCCCCGCAGAAGACGGATGCGACACGTGAGGAAGTGTTTCATGCTACGCAGGAGGGGGTGGAGGTGCCCGAGTGTTTGGTGAGCGCCTGTCAGCAAGCAGAGGAGAAGGGATTGTGCTATGTGAGTGAGACGGATGAGCCGTTTGAGCTTGTTGGGTTGGCGTTGGAGGGGGAGGAGGAGGTGTTGCCGGATGAGGGTAAGTTTTTTACCCTTTTTTCCCTGTTTTTCTGCTCGCCTACCTAGCTAAGTATCTGGCGGGGATTTTTTTTTCGTGGGGCTGCCCTTCGATTGAAGGGGGGCGATAAGAGAGCTGGCTGGTTGGGAAAGGAAGAGAAATACAGTCATTTCGCTGACAGCGCTGATACATTAACAGAGACTTTTGCCCGACTGATCGGACACCCGGCACCTACCGAAGCAGAGATTCAGATCCTTGACCCGGTCGAATGGGACAGTACTGGGCAGTACACCGAGATTGTCGATGCTGTGCGTGAAGCTGGTGAGGGCAGCGACGTGCGGGTATATCGAGTCGTGAAGGACCATGTCAGGGTTTACTATTGGGTTGTGACGGTTGCGAAGGGGAAGAGGCTGGTGGGGGTTAAGGCTTTGAGCGTGGAAAGTTGAGAAATGAGACTGTTGTAAGAAGGGAGAGATTCATGGGGATGAAGAGGCCAAGCGTGGGAATTTGAGGGGATGGTGGGATGAACGAGCAACGGGAACGGGGGATATGGTTGTGATTCAGGAGGGAGGGTGGATGGCGTTTTTTCTGGTTGGAGATGGGACTGATCAAGGTGTGATAGGGAATGGATGGTTTCACCCCTCTGGTTGGTGATGATGATCAAGAAGAGCGTGTTAGTCGGGGAGGTTCGGATTTTAGATCCGGCTGACTGGTCTCCGGCCGAATGCCGGGCTGGATATTGCCCTATCGCGATAGTGTACTATCTATTTGCCATTCTGTGGAAAAAAAAAAGGAAAAGAAAACCTGTGGTTTCCAGTGGACGTATTAGTGCGTTTCTGCACGTTGGTGGCTCCGTCACTGGTCTGTGGTTCGCTAGAGCTAAGCGCATGCGGTGGCCCGTTGGGGGTCTGGACCCTAAGGGAAGATCTCTACGCACGAAAATTGGCGTCGGGGCAAGATGGGTCCGAGTGCTCTTTGTCCCTGGGCTTCGTGAAATGGCCTACTAGTTTGTAAGCCGTCGTCCAAGCTGGTGATTCCCAGGTAGGTCAGTGACTGAGACGAGCTGAAATACATGCGCGCCAAGCAGCCTCGACCCTCACAGCCTTCAAGCAGGAATATGATAGATCTGCCCGTTTCATAGACTCCACGGAAGAGTTCGCAGCCATGGAACGGGGTGTTCTGACGCTTACTCGCAAGCTTTCCTGTTTCCATACGAGTAAATCAGTGATGGCGCCCCCCTCTAAACGCCACTGCGCAGCAATGGGGCCTGCTCTTTCTGCATCGGCCCGCAGCTTACTTAACCCCGGACCGATCGCTGTTAGGTAGCTTTGCTGGGCACGCAGCAAAACCTGCGAAAGAAGCTCGCAGAAACAGCCAGGCTGTGTCTCTCATGGGCTGCGGCACCACTACGGCGCTGGCGCTGTAGCTTCTTTGCATCTTTCTTCAGCCCCTTAATACTTCGGTGGAGGTGCCTTCCTGCCTTCAGGGAACACGTTTGGGTCAGGTGCCCCACCTTCCCAAGTCGGCCAGCGACTTGTCTTGTGTGAAGCCTTGTGTTGCCTGCCGGGGAAGTTGTGGGACATAAAGGAAAGGGTTCTCGAACTCGAGAAGCACATGAAGGGCACATCAGCTGCCATTCCCAGCTGAGTGATGGATTTTGCTATTTAATCCCAGCTGATCGATCCGATGTGATTTGGAATTCCTTAGTCCATTTCTCACAGGTGCCTGTCACCTTCAATTGGTCGGAGTAAAAAAAGGGTCCACCTGACTTCGACTCTCACCTCGCCATATCAAGACACAAACATCTTGTCCAGTCTCAGAAAAGGCATATAAGTTAAGATTCTGCCACGCCTTCTTGACCAACATAATCACTCAAACACTCAACCTTTATCCACGTAATTTGAATCGACTATCTGCTTCTGCGACAACCCCTTGAATAAACGGCCTACACTCACGCTCCACCACAACCGTGAGCATTGACAACCAAGACAAGGTGTGCTTTAACTCGAGAGACCAAGCAAGCCAGCAGCCATGTCGATGTTTCTCAACACGCCCGCGGGCATGCACAATGATAATGTGGGCTTCACAGAGGAGGATCGTGAGATCCAATCCCGTGGCCGCGACCCATACCGCGAGGGCGAAATGGCTGGGGCTGAGAGAGACGGGAATAAGGAGCCGACTAGGGGCAGATGTGGAAAGTAAGTTCTTATCGGTTCTTTCTGTTCATGTTCAAGTACAGTTCCAAGTGATTGGATCATATGGAAGAAGCAGGCCTATCTGTGAATATATGGTTTGCCGTTTTATTTCTTGTCATGGGATACGCGTCCCTCTTCTTAAGAGAATCTATTGATCTGACGATTGCAACTCCCAGGTTTGGCCTCAGAGCTGCCATAGACTACCGCGAAAAGTCGAAAAAGGATCAAGCAGGCAAGACCCTTGTCGACAGTGAAAAGTTGCTGCAGTACGCAACTGACATAGGAATTGTAATGCCCCCTCCCCCGGGTCTTCACAACCTGCCAAGCTATCATTTCAAAACATACTTGCTAATAGATTCGCTCCCCAACAAAACAGACCGTTGCAGAAGCCAGGCATAATCTGATGCACCAGCTCCATCAGCTACCAAAGGCCATTGGTCAGGGAGAGAGTGAGGACAAGGCCAAGGAAAAGCAACAGGAAGGGAAGGATAAGCAGCCTGAGTCATAGGCATCGGGAGCTGTGAGTTCGAGGCAGCTGAGCTAGGCCGAGGGGAGCCAGAGTGGTAGTAGAGATTGTTTCTTGTTAAAACTTGACCGGAGGTTTGGGTTTGATGGAAGAGCGTAATTTTTGGATCAATCTTGGCAAAATAAGGGATTTTGAGACTTGGTATGGATGGACATAGTTGATTCAGAAATAATGACGAAAGGTATCGGTTGGCTCAGGGTAGAGAGAATAAAGCGCAAAAGGCAAGGTCTCGCGATATTGACAGGACTCAATGTAACTGCTCAGGTTTGATATCAGAAGAATATGTTCTCATGGCCCCTTCAAGCCTCTAGACCAAGCCCTGGGTTGCTAGATCCGTGCAAAAATTCTAATCAACCTAGATAGGTTACAGCCTTCTAATGATTTGAGGCCTCTTTCAACGTAGGGACAGAATACAATCCTGTATTTTCCCTTTCCGAAACGCCGACACCCAAACTCGAACCCCCCTTCCACAACGCCGTGAGGATGGAAATCCCAACTCAAACCAATTAACACATTAGCATATGTGCATGACCCAACCCTTCCCCCCCTTCCCTTCCCCCCCAACAACAACCAAAACAACAACAAACACACAGGCATCTACATACCCTAGATCTCCCCATTAGTCCCAGCCTTCCGTTTCTCCTTCCTCGCCGAAGGCGACGTCGCCCCGTTTTCTGCCCCAGCCTTAGCTTGAATCAGCTTAGCAACAGCCTCCACTGCAGCAGCCGGCATCTTTCCGTAATCCCCCAACGCCAGTTTCGTCCCGCATGTCATGCATTCGCCCCCCGGAGGCACCTCACAAAAAATGCTGAGACACACAGAACACACAAACCCTGTATCAACCACATTCCGGTGACAGAAGCAGGCTGCCCGGAAGTCGACTGCCTCGGCGCTGGGAGTCATCAACAGATCCGTGACTGCCGCCCCGGGGGGTAGCTTGCCAGCTGCACCAGGCTTCGTTGTGCCAGCAGCAGGCTGGGCAGCAGCGGCACCTGATGGCTTGGGACCCCCAATTGTCGACTTCTCCGCGGCAGCGGCCGCTGCAGCAGGGTTCGATGGCGCACTACCGCTGCCAAAGCCGAACATGAGGTACTGCAGCAAGCCACGAGGCTCAGCGGCGCGGATGAAGGTGCCGCGCGTGATGAAACTTGCCTGCTCGAGAAACGTAGCGCTTCCGCGGAGTGCGAGCGTGTCAATGGCGATGCGGGCGTGAGCTGCGGCGAAGACGGCGTTCATCGTGGGGATGTACTGCGCTGCGGAGCTGTCGCTGACTGAAATGATGAGGATGCGCGCGTGTAGGCCGGCCAGGCCGGCGCTGGTCGAGGTGCTGGCTGCTTTGGCGGCTACGCTGGCTGCACTGCCAGCTGTGAGAGAATGCCCCGTTGCGACAGCCGCAGCAGCGGTGTTGGAGGCGGTCAGGGAGAGGGCAGTCTTGTTAATGTGAGCGAGGGCGAGAGTCAAGGCCCCGGAGATCTGGGTCGTGGTGGTATCGAGGTCGGAGGGGGTTGTGTCGTCCATGAGAGCGCGGATGGATGACAGCAGGGACTTCTCGATCTGGGCGAACTGGGGGTACTTGCCGATGGTGGCGCTCTTGCGAGCAGCGGCATCGTGGGACGACGAACCGGACGGCAGCGGCTCGGGGGGCTGAGGGTACAGCCAGACGGCGCGGTTGGTATGTGACGCGATGATGGCGACCTGATTTGAATTACTGAAGGCTAAGTGGGCGTTGACAAAAATGAGAATGTTGGCAATAGCCTTGGACAGTGGCAGCACGTCGGCGAGGGCGGCCCAGGCGCGGGGGTTCGTGTCGATGATGATGGTGCGCAGCGACGGGATGTCGTCCGTGTTCCACACCTCGTAGTGCTCCGAGGCGTCGACGGCGTCCTGGGCGCTCATGGTGGCAGTGTACTTTGGCGCTCACTTCATACGGTCAATAGCGCTGGGTGGAGGAGGGTGGGGTGATGGACGATTGACGTCGGCAGGGACTTGAAAAAAAAAAAAAGACAAAAAAGTCGACGGGCGTCTCTCAACCCGAGAGCATTGGCTGCAGTCAGTCAATCAGGCCCAATGCAATGCCGCTTCAGCCGCCGCTTCGAGGAGGATGCGCATCAGCAGGCTCGGAAGCACTGTCGCTTGTCATGAACCTGGATGGCAATCTCAATGGATGGCGGACCGGATGCTTCGCGGTTGAGAGGGTCAAAGGTCGAACGCGTTGTCGCGAAAGCCAAGGCCCCTGTCAATGTCGAGTCGCCCCACCCAGCCCTGCAGCCGGACAAAGCCCCACTTGAACTCGGCTGTCCTCCGCATGCTCTTTGTGAGTTTTGTATTTTTGTGTACAGAGTAACAATACAAGGATCTTGGGAAAAAGAGAAGCACCAATCCTCATAACAATGTATGATGTTTCCAAAACAAGAGCGAAGTTGACACTGAAATAAGTTTTGAATGACAATAGAATGGCAGTTTTTCAAGTTCTATCAGACAAGTTTGCGTGGAGCCGCCCTCATACGTGGGCAGCTTCGTCGCCTATTTGGGTTCTTGTACGTAACATCGTATTGCCTGTAATTACGGCCTCCAGACAGAATCACGTCCTTGACAGGCTGCCAGATGACACAAGTGGGGGGGGGGGGGAGCAAGTATCGAAGGTTCCATCCATGTGATGGCGGGGCACTGCCGCCTGACTGGGCAGAGGTCACCTTATCGCTCTCCTGTTACTGTTACGCTACGGTTCTCTTATCCACACAACTTCAAGACTTGGGAGTTGATCAAACAAGCGAGGCAATAAGGCGAGGTAGTAGGGTAGGACCACGCCTGCGTTGTCAGCGAATTAATATTTGTCTGGGTCGGTCGCTCTGGTCAACTGTCAACTGTCGACCCATTTTTTTTCCTTCCCCAGCTTAGCTCATGGGTTGGTCGGCCATGAGAGCGTTGATTGTGTAGTCGACTTAGCTCCTGCTCAACTCTTCCATACTCATATCCAGGAAACTCGATTCTGCTTCCCTCCAAGATGTCGTCCACAGACCAGCCCCCCTTCGACGATCTCAGCCGGCAGGACAAGACACTCCTGTTGTTCGCCCGCCTGATGGAGGGCGGCAAGGAGGATGAGGAGACGGTAGCTAGCCTGGACACGCTGACGGGCCTGCTCAACGATGACCCCGACGCTGTCAAGAAAGGCGAGCAGAGCATCGTGGCCGTCATCGACGCCGACTGTCTTGACACCATCCTGGGTTACCTGGACATGCGCCAGGCCGAGACGGTGCGTGCCCATGCCACGCTCTGCACGTCAGCCTTCCTCAACGCCGCCGGAGACCACGGCCGCAAGATGCTCTCCGAATTCTTTCTTGCCCGCATCCGCCGCAGCACCTACGATGACTACATCGTGGCATTTTGCGTGGCTACCGCCATGTTCCCCGTCGTCCCCGACCTGACGTCCGAGCTCTTCCTGACCGAGGGCTTTCTGCCTAGCTTAGGCCCGCTGATGCGGCGTAAGTTCAAGAGCCGCAAGGTCGAGACCGCCTGTCTCGAGATGCTCAACGCCGCCTGCATGCATGCCGCCTGCCGTGAGGCTGTTGAGAGGTACTGCATCGACTGGCTCGAAGAGATCGTCGACCAAGATCCCGACGAAGTCGTGTGCTCGGCGCAGCACACCGGAGACCCTGACGTTAATAACCACGAGGGTTCGTTGTACATGCGCCGCCATTCGCAACACGTCCAGAACCTGGCCGCCGTGGTCTTGGCCAAGCTCAGGGTGAGCCACGATCAGCCTTCTTCGTCCGGCACGAAGCCTGATTGCTGATGCTGATGGTGTTCCTCTGTGCTTTCAAGGCCGTTCCCAAGCAACCTGCTCCTAAGAAACCTGGCGACAAGGGCAGTGACGAAAACGATGAACCTAGGGTCCAGCAAGCCGAAACCAGCATCGAGGACTTGTCCAAGAGGTTCAGCAAGATGCTCGTCGACGATCCGGATCATGCCCAAGTGTCGGTCGAGGGCCTGGCATACGCCTCTCTGCAGTCTAAGGTCAAGGAAGAGCTCTCCCAGGACAAAGAGACCCTGAAAAGACTGGTCAGGACGCTCGAGAAGGCCCCTCCCAAATCCCCTCTTGCCTATGGCGCGCTCAGCATTTTCGTCAACCTGACTCGATACCTCCCCCGCGAGACTGAAGAGCAGGAGAAGCTGCGCCAGCTCAAGGCCTACGCCGATGCAGCCGGCAAGTTGCAGCCGGATTCCCTCATGGATGACGCCCACGTTGCGGCACGTTGCAAGCGTGTTTTCGAAGCTGGCATCACCCCCGTGCTGGCTATCCACAGCAAAGAGTCCTCTGTTGCCTCACTGACCCTTATTATCTCCATTCTCCATTCCATCTCCGTAACTCAGTCCCTGCGCGGCCAACTCGCCCAGCAGGGAGCCGTGCGCGTGCTTCTGTCCTCCTGGTCTGCCCTCCCTGAGAAGGAAGCCCTCGCCCGCCGCACAGCTGCTCAAGCCCTAGCGCGCATCCTCATCTCTATCAACCCGGCCCTCGTCTTCGGCGGCTCGCGGCCCGTCTCCCAGACATCTGCCGTACGCCCCCTCACGACCCTACTTACTCCTGACGACAGCTCGGACACACGCGACCTGCTCCCAACCTTCGAGTCCCTCCTGGCCCTGACGAACCTCGCCTCAACCGACCACGATACGCGCCGCACTATCGTCCGTGCGGCATGGGACAAGATCGAGGAACTGCTCTTTAACAGCAATTCCCGCGTCTCGACTGCAGCCGCCGAGCTCGTGTGTAACATTGTGCAAGCGCCAGAGCAAGCTCATGAACTGTTTGCAGACGAGGAGAAAAACGCCGTGAAATGCGCGAATAGGGTGAAGGTGATGCTTGCTCTCTGCGACGCAGAGGATCCCAAGGCCCGCTCTGCGGCGGGAGGAGCGATGGCTGCGCTGACGCAATTCGAATTTGTGGTCAAGACTGTCATCGCCCATCCCAGGGGAGTCGACATTATATTGGGCCTGTGCCGTGAGCAGGATGATGAGGGATTGCGGCATCGCGGAGCGGTGATTGTGGGGAATATGGTCACTGCTGAGGGGGATGTGGGCAAGGCTGCGAGGGATGCCATGGTAAAGGGGGGAGCGGTACAGGTGCTTGTGGATTGTGCGAAACGGAGTAGGACTGCCGAAGTCGTGCAGGCCTGTGTTGGGGGGTTAGAGGTGCTTATGGGGAAAGGGGAGTAATCTCCCTGATACCTAAAACGTATCGAGGAGAGAATGAGGATGATGGGTAGGGGAAGTAGATAGGGTAATGGTAATGGCTATGATTATGATTATTTTTGTTTTTTTTTTTTTTGGCTCATGAACCTGCTTCTCTGATGGGCAAGGGTTTGGCGAGCTAGATGGGAGCAGATACATTCGCCTAATTCCATAAAGTCTATAGTAGAATACTGTGTGTCTATGTATCCGACAGCCCTTACATCCAGCAATCACCACAACTGCGCATCCTCACATCAATAGAACCAAATCAACCATCACGACAACAGTCCCTTTAAATATCCATACTAGTCTCATCCCTTCCCAAAAAGATCTTCCACATCCTCCGACTAACCGCCGGCCCAACCACCCGATCCCCCCTGCCCCCCATCCGGCCTACACACCTCCTCACTTTCTCCAATGCCAACGGCCCCTTCTCTTCCAGTCCCTTAACCAACTTCCTCACGCTCGGATACTCCTCGGCAATGCCGTACGCAATCGGCGCGGTAACCCTCCCAATCTCCTGCAGCATGCGCACATAGATCTCGCGCGGGCTGTCCGCCGTCCGGACCTGCCCGCTGTCCATGCAGAAGGAAGCAGCTGAGTCGAGGTAGGCGTCGCGCTGTCGGCGGTAGGGCACGGTGCTGATGTGCTGGGTGAATATGGCGATCCAGCGAGCGGTATCGAGTGGGAGGGTGGTGTGGTGGATTTGTAGGTTGGGGCTGTGGTGGATTTGGAGGTGCAGGAGGGAGTAAGAGATGACATTTTCGTCTATGTAGCTTTGGGGGGAAGGGTTTTGTTTGCGGCGGCGGGATTGGGTTGAAGGAGGGGGTTCGGATGGGTTGTTATCGAGGTTATTATCGAGGCCAGAGCGGACAGCTGAAACGAACTGTCTGTTGCGCGCGGTGCGGTTCTTGCGGAGCCAGAGGTTGAGGCCCTCGATCATGTAGATGAGGGTGTCGCCTGGGAAGGCGGAGCGCATGCGCGTGACGTGGGCGTCGATGCCAGTTGAGTCGAATACGGTTGGGTCGTCGCTATCGCCAAGGACGATGTCGACATACCTCTGCGCCGTCATTATCACCATCGCGAAACCCTCTTTTTCGATCCTCTCTGGGACCGGCTCCCACAACCCTAATTCTTCGTTGTAATTCGCCTTGACTTTCCTCCGCCAGCGCACGACGTTCTCAACGGGGCTGTTCCATGTCGTGCAGAAAACCCCCAGATCGCGCAGTAAGGTTTCGGCTTGCACCCGAACGGCTTCGTCGAGCGATAACGGTAGATCGACAATCATCTCTGGCGTGGACAGCTTCTTGTCGGTGCGCATCTTGTTGGCTTCGGCGAGGGCTTTCTCACGGGCCTTTTGTTCTTTCGCGCGCTCCTTCTCCTGGAGCTTGTGCTTACGTTTGGCTTCACGTTCTTTGGTCCTTTCTTCCCTCTCTCTGGCCTTCTCCTCACGCTCCCGGGCCCTCTCCTGGGCAGTCTTTTTGGGCTCGCTACCGGACTTGGACTTAGGTTTGGACTGGGGGAGGGGTTTTGAGGAAGAGCTGCAGCTGTACGAGTCGGGTTTAGTGGAGGATGCGAATATGGGGAGCGGTCTGGAAGCCAAATCTATGAGGTCGGGGAAATCATCGTCGCTGTTGTCGTCGTCTCCGTCGTCGTCGATATCGACATCATCGATATCATCAACATCGATAGGCCTTGAATTCTTGGAAGCTTGACAATCGTCCGAATCATCATCGATGGTAATGACCACAGATCGCACCTTACTAGGCCCGCGGGACGGACTGCCTGGACGAGAGTGAAATGTAGAAGGAGGGGCAGAGCTCGAAATCGGATCCCATGCTGCTACCGTCGGCTTAGGCAACTCTCGTCGACGTGAAGGCCCGGGCATGTCGTCAAAAAAGTCAATGTCATCGATCTCATCGATCACAATCGGATCTCGCTTTTTAGCCGGTCCCTCCGCCGGCACAACTTCTTTTTCTTTTCCCTTCCCCTTCTCCTTGGCCAAGGGGACCGAACTCGGAATAATCTCATCGCTATCCAATAAGCCCAAGTCGTCGTAGCTGAAATTACTAAATTGCGAGTCGGGTCCATTGGACGTCTTCCATCCGCTAACCTGAACCGAACTCTTTCCCCAGTCGACTTCCTTCAATTTTTGCCCCCTCTGTTTTCGAGGCGGAGAAAGTGATGAAGCCCTCGATTCTGGCGCAGGCGGGAGGATCGGGCTTAGGGGGCTACTTGGCTCGATAGGACTGAGGCGGCGTCTCTTTCTGGCAGGTTCCTCGGTCGTGGTGCGCAGGGGGGCTGCGAAGCTTGACTGGGGGATGATAGCTTCATCCCATTTAAAGAAGTCATCATGGTCAACGGCTACCGATCGGCTGCTGGTGTTGCGCGTGGGCGATGTGGGTCGTGAACGTTGCCGTGCTCTTGCGCGAGGCGGCGGTCTTGATTCAGACTCGGAGTCAGAAAGGAGGGAGATCACTTCAGGCATTGTGGCTGTAACTGGTGATCTGTAATCTGTATCGGCAGGAGAGATTCCTTCTCGGTGTCTGTTATCCCGAGAAACGAGTCGGAATGGCGTCGTCAATTGTCATCGATGGTCTTGGTCTCGACTCTTGCGAGTCAATTGATGATGGTGACACAGATGGATTTCCACCCCACAAGCCGAACGCAACAGGAAGGCAGTCTCAGAGGGGTACCGGGGATCGCTACACAGTACACTACAGCAAACGCGAACAGACGCGACGCCCAGCGCGACTGCTTCGCCTACTCACGTGATCAACACGAGTGGGGCTCACATCCGCAACCGATGTCATGCGAAAAGTGGGCTACTACCGTTGCTTTTCCTCCAATCATCAATGAGCGTCACATCACGGCACGATCGTTGCTTGTTTCCAACCGGATCGCCAACTGCGCCGGCTCCTCCAACATTCCAGCGAGGGCTCCAGCGTTCTGCCTGGCTGACTAGCCGCGAAACACACCCCGGAAGGGCGGATCAAGCGTCAATCTGCACTTCATGTTTCAAGCCTTCCCCATCGCCACGTGGGGCTCCTAGGCCTCTTCCGAGCTCCCACTCGCTGGCCTGCCCTAAAATCACGAAAGATCAGCGCTGGATGGCTTCGTCGCTCATCTGCTTGTCTGGGTCAGAGAGGGGCCGAGAAAGACCAGAATGGTCCTGTTGATGTGTCTCTGCGCTTTTCCTCAGCCGCTGCTAGCGACGCCAGCGTTGCGCACGGTCGGGCGGGTTGCTGCTGCTGCAGGGCGGGCCGTCATCCCCTTTGGGAAGTATGGAGTACGGAGCAGCAGCAGAGAACTTTTTTGAGAAGCTGGATGAGGGGAATCGTGGATGACTGACTGACTGGCAAAGTGGACAAATCGACAAACCAACAGCACATCTACAGCATGTTATGTCTCGTGCGCATACTCGAGAGCACTGTCGCTTTTTGTCAAGCCGCTGCAGGACGGGACATGTGCCACATCTCGAAATTGCTGCCAGCTAGTAGTGGTGATGGAGGTCGGGACAGCTTGCTGCTGTGGACGCTGAGCATCCTGCCGGACTCTGTCCTCCGAGGATGTCCCGCATAGAGGAGGTCATGGCGCATGCTCGTCGAAGCCCTTTGCTAACGGACGAGGACCCAGACCGAAACTCTGTGCTTGCTTGCCGTGTTCGGTCCTGTGATCATGAATCCTGCACATCATGCTACTGCGTGAGATACAGATTCTTCTTCTTCTTCTTCTTCTTCTTCTTCTTCTTCTTCTTCTTCTACTACTACTACTACTACTACTACTACTACTACTACTACTACTACTACTACTAGGGGCACTCGTCGCTGCAGCGGCCGAGACCAAGTTTAATGACGTGGGGACTCTGGCAGTAGAAGGGCGCATCGTCGACTGGCCTTGCCATTGTCATCGGCCTCCATCACGGTGCTGGCTGCGCATATCGCACTGATAGCGTACCAGACTTTGGAAATTGAAGGAACTCTCAGTCTCCGCTGGTTCAAACGTTTGCTGGCTCTCTTCGCCTGGAACGTTGCGCTCAGCCGTTTCGGCCTCCGATCAACCTTAACCTCAATGGCCAGGTCGCGGTTTAGTGCAGTGTCGTCATGCCCAGGGCGGGGTACATAGCTGGTGGTTTGGCTGTCATTGCACGTTTGCACGCTGGCATGTGTCAACTTGGGCCGCCACAACATGGAACACAACTGAGCACTCGGCCAGGAACTCGATGCCCATTGGGTTAACATCTTCGTGGGTATGGAAGCACAGGTATGTCTCATGCGGGGGAGGGGAACTCGACGAGTCTCGAATGCCGCAGATTGGATGAAATACGTAACTTATGCCGGATTGGATGGAAAAGATGGGCGCATCCGTAGAGTTGGATATGAGTCGAAAACGCTCTTCCAGATCTTCAGATGAAAATCCCCGAGACTCTACCTCAGATCGACTTCAAAGAGTTGATCAGATTTTCATTTTTTTTTTCTTCGCAAGACCAATCGGCTGGCCCCCGGCGCCCAACTTGGAAATACCCTAAAAGCGGCAAGCACAGGCATATGGGCCGGGCGCCTAACCGCATCTGGACACACACATCTGCATCGGGAGAGGGGGGACGATGGGGGGAGGGCCAGCGCTCGGGCCAATGTGCGGCCATAACCCTTCTCGTTTGCTGCACGGGATGGGTTCTGTGGGTGGTTCCGTGGGTGCTGTTGCATGATGGAAGTTGCGCCCGTTGCCCTGCAAACCCTGCAATTGTGACGGCTTCCACCTTGCAGTAATGTCTCTCCTCTTCAGCTGCATTTCCCTTTTTTTTTTTTCGTTTCCTGGCGACATGCCGCCTATCTGCGGCCAGCGTTTCTGGCCACAGGAGACCGGGGGGCCTGTTTCAACTCAGCTGCTCGATTCTGGATGATAACGAGGGGGCAAATCCATCAAATCTATAAACATCGATCGATGAAACAAACATCCTCAGGCCATCCAGCACAGGGTCATCCAGTCCATCCAAGGCATCCAGATTCCTTTTTAGTGATTGCAATCCCCATTCATCCACAGCGTCGGTGTTGCTTCTTCGACTCGCTAGCTTTGGTTGCACTGCAGCCGATTCACTTGCATCGACCTCAGAATTACTTCAGAATCCCAGTGACTTAGATATGGCGCACCTGAAGTGGTGCTACCAGTCAGTTGCACTACCTACCTGAAAAGGCTTTTCTCCAAGCTCTCAACCAAACATTCATTCTACTTGTAGTCCGCCTGTATATTATAGCAGGCAAAAAAAAAAAGATGCCAGTCTCGACAGCATGGTTGCATCGAAGTAAAGTTGACGAAGGATCGAACTGCCTCCTTGAGTGCAGGTAACTTCAAGGTTGGTTTCTGCGTGTGCCTGGCACCAAACCCACAGCGTAGCACCCACCAAGAGTCCACCGCACCCACTGTCCAGGGACTGGTGGGCTCCCCGTAGCGGCCCCTGGACTCCGGCACCCACTCTCCCCTCATCACGCCCCAATCAGCATCGCAACCCATCGCAAGCGTCGAATCACAACTCTCGTTGCTCCGGACTGTCGGGCTGCTTGGCTACTTGGTCTCTTCACCCATCGCCCAAGAACGTCCAGGGACACGTTTGTCATCGCGCAGACCCCTGTCGGCAAAGTCTCTAGCTCGACCAAATAAACAAGGGGCAGCTCCCCAGACCAGCCCCCCGAAAGGAAAGCGACCGACCATTTCCCACTGCACCCCGTCCGACCGACCATCGCCAATCTCCAGAAGCACGAGCACTGCACGTCTGCAACATCTGCAACTGCAGCTGCCGACTGCCCATCGCATCGCCATCGCCATCGCCCCAGATCGATCGGTCATCGTCGCCTGCTGTTGCTACGTGGACGGCAGGCCGATTCGAGGCATATGACGGCGATCGTAGAGACGTGACACCGGCGGGGTGAGATTCAGGGAAAAAAGGTACAGCCCGGATACGGAGACAAGCAAGACTTTCGCCCGGAATTCCGTATACTGTCTGTGCTAGCATACAATCATTCCAGCGTACATCGTACATCACAGACACACATCCAATCGCTCCTGAGCACAAATCGCATCGAAGGTTCGACGTCGGATAACCGTACGGGTTAGGAAAAAATAGGGGAGAACGAACGCACGATTTCTCGTAGCGTGAGGTAGCAGTCAGTTATTGCTGGCTCGTGGTTCGTGCTTCGCGCCCACACTCGCTCGTTCGCTCGGCTGCTCTCGGTTCGTGCCGCCTGATCAGCCCAGCATCGCGCCCAGCTTCCAGCATCCAGCATCCATACTGCCATACGGTCCCTACCAGCATACCAGCATACCAGCATACCAGCTGTCGTCCTCTCTACCACGATCAGCCTTGTTGCTACCCACTACCGTTCGTTCGCCGTGTTTTGTGTGTGTGTGTGTGTGTGTGTGTGTGCATCAACGCATTGCCACAAGGACGGGTTGCTGCGCTGCCGCCGGGAAATTACCCTCCCAGCACTCTGGCACACTGCATACGAGTCAGGTTGACAGACTTGAGACGAGGCGCCGACAATCACAAGCCGCAGGCCTCAAACGAGACGAAACCCGACGTCCCTACGCCCTGATTCCCCGATAACAAGGCACACAGCGCCCACTCCCCCAAGCCGCCATCATGGCGAGCTCACCGCCAGCTTCTCCAGGGAGTAGTCTGCCCACACGCCCACTGAGTGCTATGGTCCGTCCAGCTCCAGCTCCAGCTCCCACTTCCGCTCCGCGAAGCAGCAGCCGCATGAGCCTGGGCAGCAGAACCCGGCGGGAGCAAGGCGTCCGACGAGGACTCTCGCACCGCCGTCAAAGTTGGTGAGTACTTGCTGTCGACTTCTCGGCACTCTTCCGTGTCACCTGTTCCAGTCTCGGACAGCCGCATACCTTGTCTGCATCGTGACTTTGACTTGACCTCTGCCACGCCTCGCATCGCATAGCTATCCGCGTCCGGCCGCCGCTCAAGCCGACCGACCCAGGCTATGAACTTATTCCTCAGCGCTTCCAGCGACCTGTTGTTCAGGTCCACTCAAACACCAGCCTGTCTATCGAGTCGCCCCAAGGCCGCAAGCTTTTTGTCTTTGACCGTGTCTTTGGGCCCGAGGTTGACCAGGCCGGGATATGGGAGTATCTCGAAGACGCGATCAACGCCTTCACCGAGGGCTACAATGTATCCATCCTTGCCTATGGCCAGTCTGGCGCTGGCAAGTCTTATACTATGGGCACCGCAGGGCCCGCTGAACAGGAGAACCCCGACTCCATGGGTAAGTGAGACCTCCTTGAAAAAAAAAAAAAGAGTGAGAAAGAGTGAGAATGCGGTTCTAACTGGGCATTAGGCGTGATCCCGCGTGCTGCGCATGTTCTGTTCGAGAAACTATGGGGTCCCAAAGAGAGGAATCCCAACAGAAATTCAATGTCGGGGTTGCGTGCGCCAACGCGGTATTCTACTCCTCCCGGCACGCTCAACCGAGAAAAGAACTGGACCCTGCGCGCCTCGTATGTCGAAATCTACAACGAGCAGCTGCGGGACCTGCTAGTCCCCGAGCATATCCCGATGCATGAGCGCGAACAGGTCGGCATCCGCCAGGATACCAAGGGCAATATTATTCTGACTGGCTTGCGTCACGTCGAGGTTAACTCGGTTGAGGAACTGATGGCTGTGCTGGCCCAGGGCTCGACCTTGCGCCAGACTGACGCGACTGCTGTCAACGCCCGCTCCTCACGTTCGCATGCCGTCTTTAGTTTGAACCTTATGCAGAAGAAGAATCGGCTCCAGTCAACTGAAGGCCAGGAGAAGCGGTATTCTATGCCACTTGAGGCCCTGACTGGCGGTGATTTAACAGTAACTATTGACAGCAAGATGCACTTTGTTGATCTGGCTGGTAGCGAGCGTCTCAAGAACACTGGTGCCCAGGGTGAACGCGCCAAGGAGGGTATCTCCATCAACGGCGGTCTGGCTGCCTTGGGCAAGGTCATCTCGCAGCTGTCATCGAGACAGCCCGGTGCCCACGTATCATACCGTGATTCCAAGCTCACACGCTTGCTTCAGGATTCACTGGGCGGCAACGCTATCACATACATGATCGCATGCGTGAACCCAGTTGAGTTCCATCTGAGTGAGACGCTGAACACGGTTCAATATGCACAACGCGCCCGGGCCATCCAGAGCAAACCCCGCATCCAGCAAGTGGATGAGGGTGGTGACAAGCAAGCTATAATCGACCGGCTCAAGGCTGAGGTAGAATTCCTGCGGGAACAGATCCGAAGCGCAGAGCGCAAGGGTGGGACCCTGGCCCCAGGGGAGAGATCTGAGCGCGAGATCGAGCTGCAGAACCGCCTGCTGGACGCCGAGGAAAATTACCGTGCCCTCAGCACTCGCCACGCGAAGCTCATCGCCGAGATGGCTAAGGCCCGCGAAGCTGAGGTCGCCGAGCGCGAGCTTGCTGAGAGCGCCGAGACTGCCGACGAGCGCATCAACCGCTCCAACAGCTTCGCCCAGGCTGTCGAACAGGTCGTCCTCGAGTATGAGAAGACCATCCAGGCGTTGGAGCACTCCCTTGCCAGCACCCGTGCTACTCTTGCTATCACCGAGGGTAACCTGCTGGAGAAGGAGACGCGCTGTGCCTATACTGAGACGATCAACAGCCAGCTGCAGGCCCGCCTGCAGAAGCTTATGGACCGCGAGGCCAGTACCGAGCACTACCTGCACGATCTCGAGGCCAAGCTCGACGGCTACACCGATATTGACGAACGCAATGCCGCCATCATTGCCGAGCTTCGTAAGGAGGTTGCCCGCGCCCGTGAGGCCGAGGCCAACTGCGAGGACTACATCTCGACCCTTGAGGAACGTCTGGCTGAGGCCGACCAGGACGCCGAACTGATGCAGCGTGAGATTGACCGTCTTGAGCAGATCGTTGAGCGCCAACGTAGCCTTGGAAAGCTCGACTCGTTGTTGTACGAACTCGACAATATTCAGCAACAGGATGGCGTCGAGGATCCAGCTGCTCCCGGTCTGAGCAACGGCGCCGGCCATCGTCGTACTGCCAGCCGAAGCATCGAGCACCACTCGCGCAGCCAGAGTCACGTCAGCCGCCACAGCCAGCTCGAAGATACCATTCCGGAGAGCGAGCAGGAAGACATGGAGGATGGCGCTGTCGCGCCGCCGCCGCCGCCTGCGACGACCGTCCGTGGCCATGGGCGGAAGAAGGCTGCCTCGATCGGGTCTCGTACTGGTCACTCCGTCGACTACTCAGCCAACGCCGCCCAGAACAAGTTCATGGCTGACAAGCTCGAGTCCGTCACCCAGGAGCTGCTTGACCTGCGTGCCGAACACGAGAACACGCTCAACGAGATGGACCTGCTGCAGGCTAAGTACGAGGAAGCCCTGCGTGCGCTTGCTGAGCTGCAGGATGTTGTTGACGAGACTCGTCATCCTGCCCCCCGCCCGAGAGACTCGATCCTGTCGGTTGCTGAGAACACTCGCCCGCCGTCGCTCCTGTCGGATTCCAGGACGCACGAGACCCGCGAGGGTGCCCAGCCCTCGTCGAGGTCTTTGTCGTCGGAGCTCTCCTCGGCCATGGAGACCCCCGCTACGCCGGTCGATACGTCGGCTTCGGATGCCGAGACTGCTGTCCTCCCTCCCAAGTCCTCGCCGCCGCTGCCAGTACATGAGGCTACTCAGGCCGAGATCCTGGCTACCGAACTCGAGCGTCTCAAGGCCATCGCTGCTGAGCGTGAGGCAGCCGAGAAGGAGCTTGCTGAGCGCTATGCGCAGCTCGAGGCGCAGCACCAGCAGACGCTGGATATGGTCGAAGAGCTCAAGACTGAGGTTGCCAAGGCCCAGGCCCAGGCAGCAGCCGCTAGTAGTGGCCCGACCTCGCCCTCCCCTGTCATCCGCCGCAAGTCGAGCCAGAATATCGTTGGTATTGACCGTGCACACCGCTCCTTCGCCTCACTGCGCAATATTGCCGCCGAAAACTTTGAGAACCAGCCCGAAGTCATGCAGAACTTCGAGCTCAACCTCAACGCGGCCATGCACGAGTTGCACTCCAAGGCGGAGCGCATACAGGAGCTTGAGGCCGATGTCGCGACGGCGAAGAGGGAGATGGAGACCAAGATGACCATCATTTCGGGCCTGACGCGCGAACGGTCTAGCCTCAACCTGGACCACGCTATGGTCTCGGGTTTGAGGGAACAACTCGAGAAGAGCGAGGAGAGGATCCGTGAGCTTCAGGAGAGCCACGCCAAGAGGGAGAAGGAGCTTGAGGAGAAGGTAGCCGAGTTGAATGAGAGCTTGAGGCTGATGAAGGAGGCCGCGGAGAAGCAGGAGAGTGAGGCGAAGAAGGCTGCTGAGGAGGCGGAGAAGAAGGTTGAGCAGATGAGAAATGAGCTGGAGAAGGTCAAGGAGGAGGCTGCTGCTGCCAGAGAGGTCGCAGAGGAGAATGTTGCCAAGGAGCCTGCGGCTGAGGATCCTCCTAAGCAGGCTCCTGAAGAGAAGGTCGCGGATGGATCCTCCAAGGAGGATGTCTTTGACAAGGACGATGCTACCGCTGTGGCGGCTGAGGTTGCCTCTCTGCGCGAGTCGCTCAAGAAGGCTGAGGAGTCTGAGGCTAGCGCTAAGGCTGCTGCTGCTGACTCGGCCGCTCTGGTTGAGAAGCGTGAGCAGCGTATTGCTGAGCTCGAGACCGAGCTTGTCCAGTGGGAGGAGCGCCATAAGGCGGCGCTACAGAGCGCTACAGAGGCCGAAGGCCGGCTTAAGGATACAATCAGCGACCTCGAGGCCAAGATTGCGTCCATCTCGGCGCAGCTGGCCGAGGCTGAAATCAACCAGAAGGCTGTCGAACAGACGCCCCAGGTGGATCCCGAGGAGTTGGTCCAGAAGGCACTCCAGGAAGCCGAAGAGAAGCACAAGAAGCTGGTCGAGTTCCTGCGCAACGAGATTGATGAGTACAAGGAGCTCATCAATACCAACCAGGGCAAGGTCGCTGAGGCCGAGGCCCAGCACGCCGCCACCAAGAAGCTGCTCGAGATTGCGGCTGCTGATCGTGATGCCGCCGCAAGCGAGGCCCAGGCCAGCAGGGATCTGGTGGCCAAGCTCGAAGCCCAGGTTGCTGACTACGAGCTGACCATCAAGGCCCATCAGGAAAGCTTGCATGAGTTGCAGAGCAAGCATGAGCAGGAGATCGAGCAGATCATGGCTACCTCGAAGCAGGAACACGAGGCTGAGATCGCCAAGATCAAGGCTGAGCATGCCATCCGCGTGCGCCAGCTTGAGAGCGATCTGACGGAGGCCCGGGAGGACCTGATGAAGGTGGCCACTCAGGTTGCTTGGACAATGGGCCTTGAGGTCAGTGTTGAGAAGTTGTCAGAGCGCATTGAGGAGTTGGCTGCCGACCAACGGGCGCTAGTGGCTGAACAGGAGAAGAGGGCCGAGTTGGAACAGCAGTTTGTTGAGCTCAGCAATATCAACGATACCATTCTGCGGGATCTAGAGACCGTGAGGATGGGTCTGGCCGAAATTATTGAGAGCGACAGCACGGGCAAGCCGACACGGGCGAAGAGTCCATACCAGCTCGTTGACCAGGTGGCCATGGTCAAGCAGCGGGTTGCCGAGCTCGAAGCCAAGAACGAGAAGAACTCGCGCGTGGTTGAAGAGCTCGAGCAGCAGTTGCAGAATAATTTTGACCAGAATAACCGGCTGTCAACCCTGCAGATGGAGAAGAATGCTCAGCTTCAGGAGGCTACCGCGGCCAAGCAGCGCCTGGAGAGGGAGTTGGAAGCTATCAAGGAGGATTACAACGCCCTGCAGGTGAGTTTTCGACCAGTTCTAAGTCAATCATCACAGACACTAACAGCAAACCAGGCCAAATACGAATCTCTTCTAACCGGCCGTGCCGACTCCCCCAACAAGGTCCGCAAGTCCTCGTCGGTTACCTCGCTGCCGTCCCCGCCGCCAGCTATCCCACTGCCACCGCTCCCCAACGGCGCGACGGCCTCCGGCTTAGGCACCACCTCGCCCACGCCACGTCCACCCAGCAAAGACATCGGCCCGGCCTCCTCAGCCGCTACTCTCGCCTCCCAGATCCAAGAAGATCAGGAAGCCCGCATCCGCCTCATCGAAAAGCACCTCAAGGCCGAAAAACAGCTCACAGCGACCCTCGAAGAGGCCCTCACCGACCTGGAGCGGCAGCAGGCCGCTCTCCGGCAGGAAACAGACATGTGGAAGCGGCGCGCCGAGGCGCTCGAGACGGAGTGCAAGGAGCTGCGCGAGAAGGCGACGCAGTGGGAACGCCAACAGGAGAGCAACCGCTGGAGCATGCAGCAGGTCGAGGAAGAACGGCGCAAGAGGCGCGATGCCGAGATCGCCCGGCAGCATCTGGAGGAGAGGATGCAGGCGATTGGAAAGAAGAAGAAGAAGGGAAGCTTGAACTGCTTTTAGGAGGGCAGTTCTTCGAAAAGGGGTTTACGCAGTGGAAAAGTGGGGTTGGCGGTTTTGGGGCTCATTTTGGTGTGGGGTCTGGTTTTGGTGGGGTTGGTTGCCTGGTGGGTTTGGAGTCAAGCCTCCTCTTCTCAGTCATTCCCTCCTCCTTGGTTTGATGGATTGGTGAGATTCGCGAAAAGGGGACAGGACCGGAATAGTGAAGAAGAAGACCGACAAAGGCTGGTAAAGGAAGTAGAAGGGTCAGCTGCTGGGTGGTTGTCGTGGTTCAAGCAGTTTTTCTCGGGGATTTCCTTTTCCTGTTCTTTTCTCGGTGGTGGTGAACAAAGCTTGCACATGCACTTGACGTTGACTGATGCGATGGACTGATGGATGGACGGAATGAATGGATGGGTGGAATTGTTTGATGGAAGAATGAAAGGATGGACGGGTTGTCTGATTTTGTTTTGATATTTTTGTCTTTTGATTCCCCCTATCGTTTTTTGACGAGATATCTGGGAAGCGTTTTTGATTCCTCATTCTGACTGGTACCTGATTTTTTTTTAGTAAAGTTAATTTTCGATATCCCTGATGTTATTGCACCTTAGAGATTTTTTTTTATATATTTATCCTTTTCCCCCCTTTTATATCCCGTATTTACCTTATCGTTAGCTCCCTAGCCAACGACACTCTAATATTCTTCATACCTAGCATTGAGATCCAGAGACACACCCGCAGCGAAGAAAAGCAACAGGATGGCTACCTGCCTAGCTAGCTAGTTTACTGAAACTATACCCTTGTGTATATGTACCTAGATATTTACTAGGCTTAAATGAATGTATGTATTCATGTGCATGAGTCTATGAAAAGATCAGTCACGTCGGTCATTGTTTTCTGAATGTTTCGGCTGAGAAAACTATCTATGACAGGACATCAGCCTTTCTACAACACTAATCTGTCGCTCAGTCGAATTTAATGCTCCTTTCCCCAAGGTGTCGTCTCCTTGAGTCTTGGAGAGAGCAGGCAAATGCCAGGTAATTAATCACTTCCAAGTCTATCCGTGAACATGACCTCTACACGTGACAAACTTTTGGGTGTCAAATTGTGCTTCACTTCCCCAGATTGCCTGGAGCCCCAGAAAATCCGTTTATCCATCTATCCATCCCACAATCCGGGGATCAATCAATAATCAGCGATCAATGTCCCTCCATCGCTCTGTGGTCTGGAGGCGGGTAAGGAATAATGGACGTCCGGCTAATCTGTCCTGCAAGGATGACCGTCTCTTCGGTCCTGCGGCAGCCGACACGATGGACGGGCACCGCAGATCACATTCATCTGTTCTTTTTAATGTACTATCACTTTCAACCGAACTGCTCGAACAAGCAAAACTTTTAGAAAGTTCTTCCCGGACCAGACCTTTTCTTTTCAGTTTGGCGTTGAAGATTGCGATGCAGAGACCCCACATTTTATTAGCTCCAGCCTTGGAGCCGCTTTGGAGAAGGAGGATGGGGTCAACCTTCTGGGGGATCCATCAAGTTGGAGAGAAGGATGTCTTGGCCCGACCGAGGACCGAACGAAGAGCCCAGGGGTCGTCTGAACGGCGTGGGGAGGCCATCACGGTTATTGGATGGCTCCGATGCGAGCCCGGTGTCCATCTGCTTTGGCCGGCCATCACGATTGACCTGAGCTTTGATGGACGCTGGTAATCCGTAGTTCCCTACTATAAGTACGGTACCGTATTCAAGGCATATTATCCAGGAATGCGAGGGCGATGTCGTGTGTGGACAGTCGTCCATGGAGGGGTTCGGGCCCCGCGGTCAGAGGTGTCATCCATCATCGCCAAGCATTTCGCGAACCAGCTGATAAAAGTTGGAGCACGTGCTTGGAGGTTGTGTGACAGTGCGGACTAAACTTGGTGGGATGGACGTCACACCTCGCTCCCAAAGGTTAGAGGATGCTTACACCGACGTTCTCACCTTTCGATCGCATAAGCCTGCGTGTTTCACCGTTACGGTGAGCACCCGCACCGCTCACTGCTAGATCTGTCATGGCCTGGTTTTGCTTGGGTCTGGCTCATCATGCGGGGCATTCGTGTGCCCTCATCCCCCACTCCCTCCATGGCAGGGTATTGCACACACACACACACATCTCATTCCCAATCTCGTCCTGCTGCGTTCTCCCCAGTCGTTCCCCGCTGGCAGTAATGCAATGAGGGCGGCCAAGACTCGCTCTCTTGAAGGGAGCTTAACAATATCAAAACCGGGTTGGGACATGAGTAGAAGGAGTAGAAGGGAGAACATGACTGCCATCTACCATGCTTGCCATGCCGTCTGGCTGCAGCATCGACCCTTCCGTTCTGTTTGTGAGAAAGGGGGGGGAGGGGCGGCGGGACCTTGGGGAGCCCGCCAATCGCGGGGAGTCGCGGGGGAAAACCTGGAGGTCTCATAGTCTCTCAGTGGCTGCTTGTCATCGGACGCCTTCCTTTTCCAGGGGCGGTGGGTGCATCTGGGGTTGGTGTGGCCATCGATGACTGGCAGATAGCATGTAGATGGTGGTGGCTTCCAATCCAGGCCAGCCCATGGGGAAGGTGGATTCTTAAAGGGAGCTGGCATCGTGGCAGTTGCGCCTCCATCGCGCCTACGCCCACGGGGGCGGAATCCTGGAAGGGAGTTGAGAAGGGGAGTTTTCCCGAGGGTTAAGAACTTAAAAAAAAGGCTTCTGTCGTACCGAGAAAGCATTCACATGTTTGATGATTCAACGGGAACGGCGGGATTGTGACAGCTAGACTAAGCAAGATGGAATATGGAGGGCCCCGGTGTTTTCGATCGTTACATGTCAAGCCGAGCTCCGTTGGTGACTCCGCGCTCGGCGTCGCGAAGGAACAGACACGGAAGCTTTGGTTGTGAATGAGTGAGTATTGAGGTGTGCTGTGTTATTGTCTCACAGCCATCCTCGGGGCGCTCGGAATTTTCCACGCGTCAAGCATGCCCTCCGTTTTCGTGCTCTCGTTCGCTCTTTGATGCAGGTGGCTCTTCTCCCCACAATCCGAAGACCACCTCAAGAGCCGGACCAGGACATGGATCTCGCGCTCTGTGCAAGGGCTCGGAGCAATTTGAGCCATTGGACCCTTAGGTATCCTGCAACAGCGCAGAGTAGCGCAGCCCACGGAGCACGTCAGGCCCGGCCGGCGTTTTGTTGAGGCTCGTCTCGACTGGCAGGAGAGATCCCCGTCTCCATGATCCGAGGAGTGACAGGGTTACCCGGGATTGGCCGCACTGGTGTCCCGGTTGCAGTATGTTACGGTCTGTAATGACACTTACAGGTATGGATGGCGTTGTGTTGGGGAAAGACGAGAAACCGTTGGTTGCAGCATTCCCATCTGTTGGGAACTCGGATGTCATCAATTCAACTCATCATGCAAGAATATATTGTGGGTAGGACGCTGCTGCTGCGCAAAATTGTCTGCTAAACAGTGAGCCAAAACAGCCGGCTGGCATAGCGAGGACCCTGCAGAAGCCAAGCAGGGCTCAGGGCTGCAGAAGAGCCAGCGGCTCAGCGGTCTTGTCCCGAAGAGTGCGCTTTGGGCAACCCCGCCAGACACGATGGGCCCGGGCTTCCCGCCCCGCGCTTGGCCATGCCGGGGAGAAACGGGGCGATCAAGTCCAACGCTTGTCAAGGAGGAAGGGGGACTAGGCCAGGCCCAAGGCTGCTGGAAGAGTGGGTGGCTCGGGCGCTCGCTCTGATGACTCCAGGCCAGTGAAGTGGAATGGGGAGAATGGAGAATTGGGGCTCAAACAACCCCGGCTAAGCACGGCAAGGGCGGGTGTAAGGGATATTTTGGCGCTTTCGCTGAGGATTGAGGTGAAGAGCAGCGACACCAAGAACCATCGAGACTCGAGTTTGGCAGCCCGGACAGCCGTGCCGTCGCATCAAGTCCCAGGAACCGGGTAGCCACCATGAAATGACAGTACCTATACAAGCTACGGGCTACAGGCGGCAGAGACTTGGCTGGCACCCCACGCCGTCCGGCAGAGCTGTAACGTGCTGTCGTCGGTCAGCAGAACCGGAGATCGGATCCCAGGGCATTGGGACGGATCAGAGACGGTCGAGGCACAAGGCACAAGGCACGGCTAATAGCAACGCGGGCACGGGCGACGCCATGGGTGTTTGTCGGACGGAGGGAAAGCTCACACGTGCCGGCCGGGCGGCGTCCCTACCTACCTATGTAGTAGTGCTGGGCGCTACGGTAATTATCCCTGCTGGCTGCTACTCCATCACCAGCGTCATCGCTGCCAATCTTGTAAGTGTTGTGCTGTACGTACCTACCAAGTGTAACGTGCAGCAGCATGGAGCATGGTGTATCGCTGTACCGTTACCGGCTCGCAATGGAGCACAGAGAGGGCGAGAGTCCACCGGACCATGGAACATCGAGCTGCGTAGCCAGCGCTGCGTCCGTCACCCATGCAGGTTCTGCAAGCCGCTGGCCCAAAAGACCCAATTTGGCGGGTATGCCTCTGGTTCGTGTCGACGTCGGCCATCATACTCCTCACACTCCTCACACACACGCTCACACGCCCTCCGCATCCTCCGTGTCCGTCTCCGCCTCCGCTTCCGCCGGCTGCTGGCTCTGGCTCCTACAAAAGCCGCGCTCCCGCCCCGTCGCTCCCCTGGTGCTGACCTTCCCGCTCTCTCCTCTTGCTACTGCTCTTGTTGCCAACTTCTTTTTTGCATCTCGCTGGTCCTCGTCCCTGACGTCGCCTGCTCCTCATCCTTCCCTTTCTCCCTCCTCGACCTGTGCCCGTCGCATTTCGCGTCGCCGTTGCTGTGGCTGTCGCTGCCGCTTTTCGACTTTCCCCGGCAATCCCACGCTCTTCTGCGCTAATACACTCGCCGATTCCTCGCGATCGCTGCCCCGCCATCGCGCCCCCCCCTCTCTCTCTCTCTCACAGCAGCCCCGCCACATCCGCACGCTTCAGACCCTCTCTACCACCCCCAAAATGAGCCAAGGATCTCCCAAGGCGCCCGTCGTGGCCGAGGCCCACGAGGTCGACACATACCGTAAGTTTTGCCCCGTCAAGACAGCGTGCAAGGGTTGGCCCCGGGGCGAATGCGAGTTCGTGGGGCAGGGCCTGGTTCCAAATCGCGAATGTAACACAGCGGCTGACCCACGGTTTCTGGATTCTAGACCCCCCAAAGAAGATGTTTGCGAGTACGTTGTGCGCACCAGACACAGCCCAACTAGCCCGTCTCGGGTTTCCAGAAACCATGAAGATATGAAAATGCACTAGGAGAACAGGCAGATGCTAATACTGGCCGCGCGCAGAGCACCCGAGCAAGCCGCATCTGAGTGGTAAGCAAACCCTTCCCCTCCGCCCCTCTCCCTCTTCCCCCCCCCCCCCCCGAAAGAAACCCCGTGAAGCCCACTGAGGCGTCCCTGCGAACTGGGAACCCATCCCGACCCACCCAAATCTCGTCGCCTCCGCAATCGGCGCCGTTCAGGTCTCTTGCTGGCTCGCTGGCTCGCTGGCTCACTGGCTGGCGCTGGTTCCGGGGCTGCCCCTCCCCCGCACTACGGGTTACTCGCGTCCCGAGAAAAACAAATGTCACACACGTCACGTCATGTCACATTCCGCGCTAACAGTTGTCGACCCGCTCTTCGTTAGGCCTTGAGGAGTACCAGAAGCTCTACAAGGAATCCATTACACAGCCCGACAAGTTCTGGGGGCGGCTGGCGCGTGAGCTGCTGACCTGGCACCGTGACTTCCAGACCGTGCGGTCCGGCTCGCTGGTCAATGGCGATGTGGCTTGGTTTCTCGAGGGAGAGATCAATGCTTCGTATAACTGCGTCGACCGCCATGCTTTTGCCGACCCCAACCGCGTTGCCATCATCTATGAGGCCGACGAGCCGACCGACGGCCGCTCTGTCACGTACGGCGAGCTGTTGCGTGAGGTCTCTCGCGTCGCCCACGTCCTGAAGGCCATGGGCGTGCGCAAGGGCGACACCGTTGCCATCTACCTTCCCATGATTCCCGAAGCGGTCGTCGCGCTCATGGCCTGCGCCCGTATCGGTGCCATTCACTCTGTCGTCTTCGCCGGTTTCTCAGCCGACTCCCTGCGCGACCGCGTGCTGGATGCCCGCTGCAAGGTCGTCATCACCACCGACGAGGGCAAACGTGGTGGGAAGCTGATTGGCACCAAGAAGATTGTCGATGAGGCCCTGAAGCAGTGCCCGGAGGTCAAGCACGTCCTGGTTTACAAGCGCACCGGCGCCGACATCCCCATGACCCCTGGCCGCGACCTCTGGTGGCACGAGGAGGTGCAGAAGTACCCCAACTACATCCCTCCGGAGCCCATGAACTCCGAGGACCCTCTCTTCCTTCTCTACACCTCCGGCTCGACCGGCAAGCCCAAGGGTGTCATGCACACTACCGGTGGTTATCTGGTTGGTGCTGCTGCGACTGGCAAGTATGTCTTTGACATTCACCCCGGCGACCGCTACTTCTGCGGTGGTGACGTCGGCTGGATTACTGGCCACACGTACGTGGTGTATGCGCCGCTGCTGCTCGGTGTGACGACCGTCGTGTTCGAGGGTACTCCCGCGTACCCGAACTTCTCGAGGTATTGGGATATCATTGAGAAGCATGGCGTCACCCAGTTCTATGTTGCACCGACTGCGCTGCGTCTGCTCAAGAGGGCGGGCGATCAGTTCGTCAAGGGTGACTTCAACAAGCATCTGCGTGTGCTCGGGTCTGTTGGTGAGCCAATTGCCGCTGAAGTGTGGAAGTGGTACTTTGAGGTTGTGGGTAAGGAGGAGGCGCAGGTTGTCGATGTATGCTCCCCGTTTTCCCCTGACATCTCTTTCACCTCGACGTTTGCTGACTGGCCACAGACTTACTGGCAGACCGAGACTGGTTCGCACGTCATCGCCCCTCTGGCCGGTGTTACCCCGACCAAGCCCGGCTCGGCATCGCTGCCCTTCTTCGGCATTGAGCCCGCCATCATCGACCCCGTCTCTGGCGAGGAGATCCACGGTAACGACGTGGAGGGCGTGCTGGCCTTCAAGCAGCCCTGGCCCAGCATGGCCCGCACCGTCTGGGGAGCCCACAAGCGCTACATGGAGACCTACCTGAACGTGTACAAGGGGTACTACGTATGTTGACTTCCCTCCGTTCATTACACAGACAGGCAAGATGACTAACATCCGTCCAGTTCACCGGTGACGGCGCAGGCCGCGACCACGAAGGCTTCTACTGGATCCGGGGCCGTGTTGACGACGTGGTCAACGTCAGCGGCCACCGTCTCTCGACCGCCGAGATCGAGGCCGCCCTGATCGAGCATCCCATCATTGCTGAGGCGGCCGTCGTCGGCGTCGCCGACGAGCTCACCGGCCAGGCCGTCAACGCCTTCGTCTCCATCAAGGAGGGCCACGAGGCGAGCGACGCCCTACGTAAGGAGTTCATCTTGCAGGTGCGCCGCAGCATCGGTCCCTTTGCTGCGCCCAAGGCCGTCTACATCGTTCCTGATCTGCCCAAGACCAGGAGCGGTAAGATCATGAGGCGTATTCTGAGGAAGGTGCTTGCCGGTGAGGAGGATCAGTTGGGTGATGTTACCACGCTGAGCGATCCTAGCGTGGTTGGGAGGATTATTGATGTCGTTAGAGAGGCGAGGAGGAAGTAAAGTGTTATAAGACGTGTTGAGTGGCAAGGTCTTCGTGAGATGTTTATTGTACGGGTCCAAATTCGGGTTATTTCCTGGTTTATGTGTTGTCTATCAAGCAATTAGGGAGACCAACGGGTTTTACTATTACTAAAGGCTAAGGGGAAAGAGGTGCACTACAAGTTACTGCATGCCTGTTTAGGTTTAATCAGGAGGCCTGTCGGGTTATTTGTGTTAAACATAATTGGGTTGCTGAGACCACCCAGGAAGGGGATGTAATTGAAGTGCAGTTGTTAGTTCAGACCTATGGAACACACATCACATGCCGTGAAACACGACAGCGTTTTTTTTTGTCTGTATCCACCGACATTTTTTGGTATGTTATGTTAGGAGACTTAATTCTTCGATCCTAATGCTGCCTAAGTTAGTCGATAGTTCAAGATCGATGCTTATTGACCATGGTAGACTCAAGCCTGTTAATAACCCTTCACAGTTCCCAGGAGACTGAATACCTACGCTGTCAACACTGGATTCAGCTGTGAGAACAGTGTGCTTAATTCAAGACCACAACAACGCTATAATGGCATCGAAAATCGCCTTCTCCCTCTGATCGGAGTCTCCTGGATCTGTTGAGATGAGGGAGTGGTTAGATATCGCGAAGCAAGGCAAAGCCTAGCCTTGCTCAGAGGGGCCGAATTAGGGATTTTGTAGACAAGTAAATGCTTCAAGTGTGAGATTCCCCCTTTTCCCCCCCCCCCTTCTTCTCTCCCAAGACAAAGATCATTGCCTAACTGCCGAATAGTGTGGTCCAACTGTAGAACGTTCCAAAACAGTTACAAAGCGATTCCTTTTCTGCCCCAGACAATACGACGAAACAGCCATGAATTCACGCCAGACTTGCCGAACTGGGCACACATATGGGTAGTAGCCAAAGCCCTAGGCGTCCTCCTCGTCCCAGCCAATAATCACTGTAAAGACATACATGGCAGAACCTAACATGCAGTCAGCAACTTGTTCACGAACATTGAGATAAGGAGGGAGCACATGCCTTCCAGGCCACTATGCAAGGCCTACTTTGTCACCACACCAACCTGTTTCTGTACAGGGTCCTTCGGCCAGTTGCCCAACAAGAACTTGAGCTTCTTCTCCTCCAAACTGACAATTTCAGCCATCTTTATGCACTTCATGTGGACATGGTCCTCCACCATGTGGATGGCATGCCCGATCTTCTCGCCCGCTGCCGAAAATAGCTTGATCATTTGGCTGATTGGTATCTCGGGGTTGAGGGTAACAGTAAGTCCCCAAGAGGCAAGTCCCTGCGGTCCTTGATCTCCAGAAGCAAGATGACCAGTCGCAAGAGCTGTGACCCGCTCGCGAACTCGAGATGCAGCTGGCTTAGACGCCCTCACTGGACTGGATAATCGCGTTTTCCATGCGTAGGTAAAATCTGGCGGCTACATCTCCCCCTCAGCTAGAACAGCAATGCCAACGTGGCACAAACTACCTGTACATTCACGGCATGTCGAAAGAAACAGCGGCAAATGGTGAATATGAAGTCTCGAAGATGGCAGATGGATGCCGTGAGGAAACCGGCAGAGGAGTACGGGACATAGTTGTGCAGCGAAGGGACGCACTACCGCACGAGTTTGAACAGGAGTCAGCAAACAGTGGACTCTGTAAAAGGAGGTGGCCCGAGCCGTATGTAAAATGTCAAGTCTCTCTGCCTAGTGGAACAGCACGACGTGGTCTGAGGAGCACGCCGGACTCAGAACAGACAAGGTTCTGTTTTGGGCCGTGGTGGATGTTAGCGCTCTTCTTCTATCCATGTGGGTGGCTCCTCAGGAAGCAGATGTGCCGCTTGGGACCTTAACATTTACAAGCAGCATCAACTTGCTCTAACAACCTCAAGTGTTATATAAGGATTGCACTGTGCTGCGGGGAGTCTCGGACGCTAGGAAACAAAGCAATCTAGTCGAGTCCCACTGTATCACCCGATTTTGTTCGGGCAATCGCTGAACTACAACTAAACTTAGGACCAACAACGGAACCTGCAGCGGACCCGAGAATGATACCTCTTCTTGTGCACTGTGAGCCCTAGATGGATTGATTAAATTGACATCCTGCATCGTGGGAGCCGGGTGAGCCTAAAACGGTCGAGTTTGTCAGGTTCCATCCGTCGTGCCAAGTTTGGCATACGGCTCCGGGCTTCGCGCCCTACATTTGCTTTACAGGCTTACTATTTCCCGGTAGGCTTGAAGGGAAAACCACATCCAACGGTCTTGTGGCCACAAGGACGGTCAAAAGTCTGATGTTTGTCGTTCAATTATCTTTCTAAGGGTTATCCTATGGTCTTGTCTTGTTTCTGTTGCCGCCGCGGCCAAGTCGAGTCCCAGCGGCCCTTGCTGGGCGCCAAGCGGCCAGGGACCTGGGAATGGTTTGGCTGCCGTTTCTGAAACCGAGACGGGTGGGGTCTGGGGGCCCCAGGAGCAAGGTTACCAACAAAGTGGAGCCGCTGGGATGCGGGCGTCTGCCATCGTGATCTCGGTCCAAATGCTGAAGATAGTTCATCAGAATCAAAGGGTGAGTAGAAAACATTTCGAAGCAGCTCAACAACGTTCATCTAGTTTGCATATGCGATGTGTAAATGGTCACCTTCGGGCTTACGAGGCCATCTTTCGGTATTCGTCTAGCCCCGCAGCTGACGACAGCTGCTGACGAGTCCCCTCTGCTGAGCCTGCTTTGTGCTTCCAACAAAAAATCGAAACGCTTGTGCTTCCGCAAAACCAGACCCCTGCTGCAGCACCGTGCATCACAGTGCATCACAGTGCTTGGCACTGCTTGGCCCAGTCAGCGGCCGTCCTTCCTCCAAGAGTTGCAGGTGGGAGAATGGAGGAGGGCTGCTTAGGTTCCTGCTGGTGGCCAGCGGCAGTGCAGCACCTGCCAAAGCCCAGCGCCCAGCGCTGGCCGGCACGGTGTAGTGGTTGCACTGCCACTGTTTCCTCCCCTCCCCCCTCCCTCTTCGGAGCCCATTTCCATTCTCATCAGGTCTCACCATCCAATGTTGATCGCTGATCTATTGCCGTAATCCGTAAACCAACATAGCACTCGCCCTTTTTCTGCTCTTCCCTCCTGTTCTGTCCTTTTACGTGATTCCCGTCACCCGACCGATCCGATCACTCCTTGTTTCCACTTGCCAATCGGCGTCTTTGCCAGCTGCTTCATCGCCCGCTTGCTGAGCTTACTTGACACTAAACTTGCTTGCTCTTGACTTCGGGTCCATCAGCCATCCGAACCAGACACCTCCTCACATAATAGTATCTGCCTAGCCGTTCATCCAGCTGTCGCCTGCCTCGCTTCTCTCCTTTGCTGGCAGCCAGGAATGTGCCTCGACAGACGGGCGTGCTAGAATTATGATCTTTAGCAAGGCCCTCGCGGCCATAATAGCAGTCGGGGCTGGACTACTCCAGGGCTCGCTGGGTATGTGCTCTTGAACTGGGGTCACCTCCTCTTTGACAAGCGTGCATTCTGACTGGATTTTGCAGCCCACTCGCTCAAGCGGAGCCCGCTCTCCTCAGTCACTCGCCTTGAAGATGCCGTCATCCATACCCCTTCACACAGGGTCCATGCTCACACATCCTTCACTATCACCTTCACTCTGCCCGACCGGCAGCAGAAAGTCCGCCTGGCCCTAGAGCCCAACCACGACATCTTCGGCGCCGACGCCGCCATCCAGGTTCTTGCCGCCGACGGTACTGTTCGTAGTATTGAGCCCATCGACCGGGCTGCTCATCGCGTCTTCAAGGGAGACAGCTTTGTCCAGCAGGTCGGGTCCGACGAGTGGCAGCATGTCGGCTGGACCCGCATTACCGTGCGCCGGGATGGCGCTCGGCCCATCTTTGACGGCGTCTTTACCGTCCACGGCGACAATCATCACATCCAGACGAAGACGAACTACCGCGATACCACCGTCACCGGTGACCCCGATATTGACGACGCCGACGATGAGTTTATGGTCGTGTGGCGTGATAGCGATATCCAAAAGCATGGAGACCTCAAGGCCCGAGATGCTGCCCCTATCTGTGGCTCGGACCGCCTGGAGTACAACAGGGATCGCAGTAACCTCTTCTACCGCAGCCTCGACGAAGCGACCGGTGAGTCCGAAGACACATCTCCGTGGTACATGAGTCCGAAGATGTTGTTTGGCCGACAGTTCTGGGACAATATCCCCGGTGGAAACGGTGCTGGCGTGAACCTGATCAGCTCGATCGGCTCGACTGCGGGCTGTCCGACTACCCGCAAAGTTGCTCTGGTCGGTATTGCCACTGACTGTACTTACACGGCTGCTCTTAAGACGAAGGAGGCCGTGCAGCAAAACGTCATTAATCTGGTGAACTCGGCCTCGCAGCTGTACGAGGCCACGTTCAACATCTCTCTGGCCATCCAGAATCTGACCATCAGTGAGCCCGAATGCCCCAATACCCCGCCCAATTCAGCCCCGTGGAACACCCCATGTGCTGGCGTCGACATCGAGCAGCGTCTTAGCCTGTTCTCTAAGTGGCGCGGCCAATGGAAGGACACGAATGCCTACTGGACCCTCTTGACGACTTGCAACACTGGTCCCGCTGTCGGTTTGGCTTGGCTAGGTGCCGTTTGCCAGGAAGGCTCGGTAACGCGTAACAACAACGAGACAAGTGCTGGCGCGAACGTCGTTGTCCGTACCTCCACCGAATGGCTTGTTTTTGCCCATGAGACCGGTCATACTTTCGGCGCCGTCCACGACTGCAGTGCTTCGACCTGCCTCGATGGTAGCGTGAACCGCCAGGAGTGTTGCCCTCTGTCACGCTCGACCTGCGATGCCAGCGCCCAATTCATCATGAACCCGTCGACCGGCGATCGCATCACCCAGTTCTCCCCCTGCAGTATCGGCAATATCTGCAGCTTTCTCGGCCGCAGCCCCAACCGTATGAGCTGCTTGACCAGCAACCGTGGTGTCACCACCTTCACGGCCAGTCAGTGCGGCAACGGCATTGTAGAGAAGGGCGAAGACTGTGACTGTGGCGGCGACGAGGGCTGCGCCAACAACCCTTGTTGCGACCCACAAACCTGCAAGTATACCGCGGGCAGTGTCTGCGACCCGAGCAATGAGGAGTGCTGCACACCGCAGTGCCAGTTTATGCCTGCCGGCTCGATCTGTCGTCAGAGCACCGGCCCGTGCGATCCCCAGGAAGTCTGTTCCGGCACGTCAGCTGGCTGTCCTGCCGACGAGGCAGCCCCCGACGGTCAGGAATGCGGCGAACCGGGAGCCGGGCTCACCTGTGCCTCTGGCCGGTGCACCTCTCGCGACCAACAATGCAAGACCTTCCTCTCGGGGTCCGTTGCTAACGGCAATGAGACCACATCCTGCTCTTCATCCGGCTGTGACCTCTCGTGTGCTTCTCCTCGACTCGGTCCCCAACAGTGCTACGTCCTCAATCAGTGGTTCCTCGATGGCACCCCCTGCGAAGCCGGCGGCCGCTGCTACAACGGCGTGTGCAAGGGCGCCTCGGCAACTAAGCAGTTCGTTGGCTGGTTCAAGGACAATCCGCAGATCGCCATTCCCGTGGCGTGTGTCGTTGGCGGCCTGATCTTCCTTGCGCTGGTAAGCTGCTGCTGGAGCTGTGTCTGTGGTGCGGCCAGAAGAAGGAGATCTGCGGCGAGGAGCAGGGCTAGGGCTGCAGCCATGGCGGCTGCTGCTGCTCTGCCTAGGTCGAGGTCCAGTCACAGGAGGGGATGGAGTTCGACTGCTGTGCGTGGGGGATCGGTGTCGACTGCTCCCGGAGCCATGCCCATGGGAGTAGTGGGCAACGTAGGATATGCGCCTGTGCCGACGCCGCCGGCAAATGTGGTTACTGAGCCATATCAGTATACGGGGTGGGAGAGGGGAAGGTCGTTTCGGTATGCGTGAGACTTTTCAGATGAAAGAGAGGTGTCAGTGGCTTGTTGGTTTATGACGACGATAGATACCCCTCTTGTTACGCATTCTGGAACGTAATTCATTGGCTCGAGATTCTACCTAAGCCAAGCACGACATGGGTTCTGGCTGCCTGGGTGGGATTTGGATGGCTGGGATTACATTCTGCCTCCTTCACATGATGATTACTTGACTTGTTTTGGTTACGCGGATGGACTTGCTGGGTCGATGATCGGATGGTTGACTGGTTGCATAGCCGGCGTTGTATCTGATTTGTTTTTTTCCCCCTTACGTCTGTGTTTATCTTCTTGGTCGGGTTAAGGATTGAAGTGACTTTTAAATAGACAGAAAAAACACAAATAGCTGTCACTCCGTTGGGAGTGGATGTACATGTGCCTATGTGAGTTAAGAAGAGTATGTCATGGTTAACCGTGGTATATCTGGACACCTGAGGGCATGCATCATATTGTGGGTAATGTGTTCTCAAAAAACAAATTTCTCTGTATCTTTGATGCCAGCTCTCAGCAGTAGTAGACCACTGTGATATTTACTGAATTTCTTTTTGCTAAGGGGCCAGTTTCCTTTTCAGGACTCAGCGCCAGTACAACCGCCAGTTGCACATGCACACCGAGTTCTTTGTCTCTACAAGGAGCAGACTTGGCTGCATTTTATCTCTACCAAGGATACTCTGCCTTAGTCCTAGAGCCAAATGACCCCAAAAGGGATAGGTTAAGCTCAGCCCCAGACAAGATGCCAATGTGGTTATGGCCTAAGGCCAGGCTGTGAACAGTTCTTAGACTCATCTTATTCGAAGTAATCACAGTGAGCCAAGCCCAATTCCATGATTTGTCGTGCAATGGGATAAGTGCTTTGAAACCATAGCCTAGCTCTTTTTCACGATCCAAGATGATTAGGCCAGACAAGCAAGAGCTTCTCAGTGACTATCAGCATCAGCACAGCATCAACCCTAACTTCTTTTTGCAGCGAAAGCATAAGGTATAGTCCCATATCCTCCATATCCCAACATCCCATCAGCCACAACGTCTTCCCAAATTCCATACTCCTTCGCCAACCGGCTGCAGTTCCTCAAGTAACAGCACTAGCCTCCTTTGGCTGATGCATACCGGCGCCCCCTTCACCCCTGATGCCTGTGACGACCGGCATCGCATCGATAATTAACCAGCTGTATCCGTCCAACCCAATGGTGGTAGATAAGCCGCTCTGGAAGTGGATGGTTGCCCATCTGGAAGTTAATGCCGTGGTGACGAGGGAGAAGCTGAGGCTGCCGCCGTAATTGGAGGGTTACGCGACTCTTAAGGAGCAGATGATAGAGGGATGGTATGAAGAAAAGTAGTTCGAGTTATTTTTGAAGATTTTTGCTCAGAGGGGGGTGAAACTGATGAAGGGGAGAAGGATGTGGGCAAGGACGAGGGGGAAGATGCCTTATCTTTATCATGCTTTAGTGTTTCGCGTTCTGAGAGGAGATGCTTCTGGGAGTAATGAGGACGCTGGGGATGGGAATTAAAATGAGAATGCGCCGTCTTCGTACTATTTCAGCGGCTCATGTTCGGATGAGTGTGCCCCTCAAGGGCATGAGGAGGGCTACAAGTCAAAAAATGACCTCTCTGGCTTTGAATTCAGCGACCCGTCCTTTTTTTTTTTAAAAAAAAAAAGAAAGCTTGCCCCTCACAAATCTCTCTTCGGCCACTCACCTCTCACCACGCTCCCTTTCTATCTCCTTACTGATTCCTCACACGCGGGGCAGGGCATGTAGCGGTCTACTGGCAGCGTCCATTGGGGGACGAGTATATCTGGATCTTTGCGGGCGGGGATGGCTGCACAGAGACGTATCGGTTGGGTCTGCAGGACTTTTCCATCAGGCATATTGAGTTTGACTCCTCAAAGACCCGAGCCTATCTCGAAGCTTGGCGTGAAAAAGGTGAGATTATGAAACTTTCTTGGAGGGAAGGTCGAAGACTTTGTAAGTTCAGGGTCAGAAGACATCTGGACTGATCAGGGGTTCAGTCTGCTAGAAGGGTAACATGTGGGCAAGATATCTTTCAGGTAAGTCAATGAACATCAATACATTGTAGTTATCGTTGTCGATCAGAAATTGGTGATAGTGAATCGCGTCCTCGTGAGGTATATCATGGTCTATCTCCACATTCCTTACGTAAGCCAAGCATTCTTCCACACATGTGGTTTGAAGAGGCCCTTCAGGCGCCCCGGGGATTTGGACTGTCGATGAGCGTGCTCTTTCGGAACCCAAGCGAACCAAGACAGGATATTTATGATGGGGATGCTATATCAAAAGGTGATCTTATACAAATTGATGAATGTACTTGAATCTGGTAGGAGAGGAAATCGGGGTAAAGCCCGTGTCGGTAACTACACTACAGGAGACTAACTGCGCATATCAGCTGCAGAGGTTGACATGCTTCGTCAGGAATAACAGTGGAGATAGGATATATACAGCCAGTCTATTTAACAATCGCTAGAGCAGCTCCGCCAACACAAGCATGATTGTTCGAAAACTGAATCCCCAAGAGCTTTGTTGAGCCAGAAAAGGATGAGACTTGTTACGGACTCCATTTACTCAGGCTTCCTGCCGTAGACAACACGGCGGATCCAATAAGGGTTGACACCGGGCTTGCGGAACTGGGCGCGGGCATGGGCAGCCAGCGCCCTGGCGCCGTCCTCAGACCAACCCAGGATGTTGACGAGCATGTACAGCAGATAGCCTGTAGGGAGAGTCAGCAAACGGCCAAAATCCTGGAAATCTAACAAGGAAACTAAACTCACCCTCGAGGTCACCAAGAATAGCCTCGGAAACAAGCATACCAATCTGCTTCTGCTCCGGGTCTTCAGGCCAAGTGCCCAGAGGAACACGCACATCCTTGACAACGATATCGACGAAGCCAACCTCTTCCATATACTTTTTTTGCAGCCCTTCCTCAACAACCTGGAACGTGCGGCCGGTCTTGTCGCCCGCAGCACGGAAGGCTTTCAAACCCTGGGCGATGGGCGACTCATCGGGAATGCCGCCAGTGTCGCTGTACCACTTGCCGGAGGACTCTTCGTGCTCGAAGTAGCCGCCGGGCTTGAGGCAGCGGAACGCGTTCTCATAGAACTTTTTCCAATCGCTGATGCAGCCAATCATGTACCGGGTGCGGATGAAGTCGAAGGTGTTGCTGCTCCAGGTCCAGTCCTGGTTTGCGTCGTCGAGTTCGAAGGAAACATTTGGAGGGACCCAGGTCGGCTGGATGGGTGTGATATCGGTGCCGGTGACTTGGGCGTTGGGGAATTGATCCGCGAAGTCGCTTTTGAGACAGATGAATTGTTAGTTGAGAGTGGCAGAAACAAAAATATCGCATGTGTCGGTCGATATGTCCGTCGGGGCTGGCCGCGAGCAGCCAACGGACAGTGTCAAAAGAAGAAAAATGAGAGAGAGCGTTGATCACTCACATAACCCAAAGACCCGAGCCGGTACCAACGTCGAGGACCTTTCTGATCCTGTCCTTATCCAGAGGCGCGAGGAAGAGCTTGTTCCCCAATGCGAGGATGCTGGCATAATGTCTGCGACCTGATGTTAGCGGCTGTTTTCAAAGACAATCTGACCGACTGACTATCAAGGAGCTGAAGATGGTCAGAACGAGATTGACTTCTAACATGGCTTGTAGTTCTTTAGGCCAAGACGGAGAAGCGAAGGACGGGTTGAGAATACGGTATAGTATATGGCTTGTAGAAGAAGTACCGACTTACAGAATTTCCATGCTATCTAAATGCTTGTCGTCGTTGGGAATCCAGCTCTCAGCATCACCGATCTCATGGTGATAAGTCCGACCGTAAAGCCTGCGATATTCTAGGATGCTGTCCCTGACAGATGTGGTACTGCTCGCTTTACTGCTGCACAGAGAGTCTGTGTCATCATCTTCATTTTCCACGGGAATCTGGGAGTGGATGTTTTGGTGGTTAGTAAACATTACTTTCCCAACCCATCCAAGACTGTACTGTGAGTGCTGCGCAGAGACCTACCGACGCCCAATGGGAGCTCGGGAGAAGACCCGGGACGTCAACCGGCTGCTGCGGCTGTTGCTGCTCCTTCTTCTCTTCTGCTTCTTTCGTCATAGTGTGATCCGTACACCAAGCTCGCTGCGGATGGGCGAGGAACTACAGGTGACAACTTGTCTGGGCAGGGACAGGAGACGGCGGGAAAGGGCGGGAGGGGGGGAGAGAAACGAGGATACCCACGACAACGAGTGGAGGAAAACGGCACAAGGTGATATACGCAACAGATGCGGGGTCGCCAGCGTGCACACCGGCTCTGCTATCAAATCAGAAAAGAGTAAGATGGGTATATCGGGTGGGAGTGTGACTGGGCATGGTGGTGCAAGCAAAACCAAATCTAGTATGGCATAAGTACGCTCTACGTAGATCCGGCTCCGTTAGTCTGGTACCTCATGCAGCCCAAGCCATCCCAGGCTCTGGAGCAGCATACACAGGGCTGCATGCTCTGGAGACACACGCAAGTACAAGGCGCAGCAAGCTGTGAAGTATTGGGGAGTGCCTAGATGCGGCTCTTAGCAAGCTACCATAACAGTAGCCAGGTAAACGTTCTTGATCACGTAAACAAGCTTATATCTGGGGAGTTTCCGAGAAGTTGTCGGCAGGGAGGATTTGAAGAAGTACACATTGGTAGCGGAGGCTTCGGGAGCAACTGGTCCATCCCAATCCGTCAACACCAGGAGATCTGTCTGCGTTTGTTATGTTAGTCTCTTGGCACAATCTGGCGTATCGACAGCAGATGGTTGCTGACAAAGCGAACCCCCGGTATCCCTGTACCTAACGTTTGGCCATTAACGCGGCTGGTCTTCCGGCCATGCACGTCGTCTTTAGTTCTTGGCTCCTCCTGGCCACGTTTCGGACTTCGGTGGAGACTGGGAAGGCTGGTGCCCAGTCGAGCGGGGAGGTAAGAGAAAAATCTCCATTTGCTTGCCCTAGGGCGTGGGTAGGGTTCGTTCGGCTGTGCGTCCGGGGTCCAGAGTCATTGGAAACTCCAGCAAAAGGATGCTCAGGTAGATGGAAGTCATCATCTTGGAGATCCAATAAGCTCAGAATGGAGAATGGTGTTCATCTCTGCCTGCGGTTTCTGGATTTCTGTTTCGCAGATTGCTCTCTCTGTTTACACTTAAAAGGCTGGGGAAGACAGCTTGTGGTGCTCAAGCCAGCCGCCGGGCTTTAGGCAGCGGTAGGCCTCTCTGGAGATTTTCTTCCAGTCACGGATGCAAATGCACAGAGAGCGGATGTGGATGTAGTCGAAGGCGTCTTGGGGCCAAGTCCAGTCTTCGTTGGCATCGTCGATTTCCCAGGAAACGCTCGGCGGTGACCAAAGGGGCCGGATGCCGGATGGGGGTGATGTCGGCTCCGGTTACTTGGTTGTGAGGGTACTGATCAGCGAAGTTTAGCGAAGTTACTATTGTAGAGGTGGCTTGATTTTAGGTTTTTTGGTTTTTTTTTTTTTTTTTTTTTTTGCAGACAGTTGAGCCGGTACATAGGGCGGAGAGAAAATGCTCCCAAGGTTCGCTTGAGGAAGGGCAAAATAATGTCCCAACTTACACTGCTCAATGACCTGTACCGGTGCCAATGTCGACAACTTGCGTGGCATTATCGGGCTCTAGGGTGTCATGTAGAGCTTGTTATCCATGGCCAGCAGAAAGAGATAATGCCTGAGTTGATCAGCCTCGCTGTCCAGACGACCTCGGCCAACAGGGGCATAGACGGCCAACTGATGACGCACCTATGCCAATTTCCATGTAGTCACTGTGATTCTCATCGTTTGGAATCTACGACTCGGCGTCGGCCAGCTCGTGATGATAGGTTCTACCGAAGAGTCCACGGTATTCGAGGATGCTGTTCCCCAGAGACGAAGTGCTAGTGGCTTTGCTGCTCACCGCAGAGCCTGATTCAGATTCCTCATCTGCCACCGGGATCTGTCAAGAAGGGAAACACATTATTGCCCTGGCCAGAATAGGCACAATCGGTTTTTTTTAAAAAAAAAACTTACAGACAGCAAAAGAAGCGATACCACAGCACGTACCAATTTCCAATGGGATGCCGGAAGCACACCAGGAAGAGACTGGACGCTGTTGGCCTCCTGTGATTCAGACGTCTCGAAGGGGTCAAAGAGGGAGGACACAGGCGGGCAAAACCGCAAAGGACTCAAGGAGGGAGACCCAAGCAGAGAAGATGGTAAAAGAGAAAGAAAGCTATCTGCGAGTAACTCGAGTCGGCAATAGAACTTGCAGCGCATGTACATCCGGTATGTACAGCACTGCGCTGATATCTGCACACAGACAGCCTACACCAGAGTCCCGCCTGTGTGGTTTACAGCTTTTGAGATGGATGGCAACCTCTCTGCTCCTCGGGCTCAGGCTGGGAACTTTGTGTCACCCTCACATCGTAAGTCTGAAATAAAACCCTCCAGCGGGTAAATCAGATTGTTGCCAAGACGGCATTGTTGTCGGCAGTCCATTCCTGCAAGCCCAAGCGCGCTCCCACTCAGATGGATGGATGGAATGGTGTGGCGCAACCCCACGGCCAGTCAGTGATAATCCAACGGGACGAGTAACGAGCCGCGGCCAGCCGTATCTGTGCTGCTCGCTGTGCTGCTGTGCTTTGCTGCTGCCCGTGTAGGATGCGTGAGATGGGACACCAGCCCTCCCCAGAACGCAAGCTCCAAGTGCGTGAAACGTCCACGGCCCCAGCCGCCCGAGCTGGGACGCTTTCCCCAGATCTTAGGGGTGCAGAGCCGCATCCTCGACGTCAGGACTTCATCATCCCGTTTGCATCTTCCGAAGACAACGCCGTTGACCGCTGACAACGTCGGTCATCGCATCGACCAGCACCTACTGTCTCCTGCGCAAAACATTGACAAAAGTGACGCGCCTGTTGCGGCGATAACAGCGATACGGTTTTGACATTCGTGTTCATACGTACGTTTCCCCGCGCGCGACCTAACGCGACGAAAAGCGTCTCGCCGATCCTCCTCCCAGCCGATCGAACGGCGCGTCGCCTGTGTGTCTGCCGCGGTCTGATCGGAAGATTCGTCGCATTGTTGCCGTCGCATGCGTTGTCTGAAGCTTTGAGGTCTAACAGACAGTTAAGAGCACTGCTAAAAGCGCGGCGTCAATACATACTGAGAGGTAAAGGCCCTTTTGACTGTTGGCGCTCCCTTTCTTTTATCCATTGTCAGCAGTTGGGACGGGATGGGATACAACTGTGTGGTTTTTGTGCTGCGTGATGAAAGTGAGCATCATGACGTTGGCTCTTTGGCCGTCCTCAAGTGCCAGGTGACTCTGCCCCATGGGATCCATGATGCTGCCCGTTCAGGTTGATCGGTGACAGATGCCTGGAGCCCTGGAGCTGCGCTTGAATAGGCCCTATATTCAGTGGTGCAGAGCAACCTGGAGCCACTGGCAGAGCGGGGTCGCAGGCGTTGTAGGCGCTGTGTGGTTGCTGGGGTTGCTTGGGCCTAGGGCGATGGAGCATCGCCAAGGTCGCTGGCCCCAGCGTGTCAGCGTGTCCCGAACGGTCCCCTTGTTTGGTGTTCGCTGCTACCAGCTGCCGGGGTAGCCAGGCTGCCGCGCCTTCCTGCCTGTTGCTCTTTTCCATCGCAACTTCCTCACCACCCCGCCAAACCATCACCACGCCTGCCGGCGCGCACGCGTGCCCACCCATCGCACCGCACTTTCCTTGACTGCGATCCTTCCGTCTGTTGCCTGCCCGCCTAACAACACCCCATGCAGTGGCCGCAATTGGCTGCGCACTCCCCGCCTGCCCTGCTAAAGTTTTCAGATTTCAATTTTATGGTGGGAGGTTTCTTTCCTCTCTCTTTTTCTTTCTTTTTTTCTCCAGGAAGCATCGCGACGACCCGTTTTTTCGCGCCCTTCGACAACAAATTTTTTGTTAGTTTTTTTTTCAAAAAATTTGTTACGAAGCTGACAAGATGCCGTCCCAGGCATCTTCGACTCCGCGCACCACGCGGAACTCTCGGGGCCTCCGTGCGGGCCCCTACCCTGCGCCGTCGTTGTCGCCATCGTCGCGTCTCTCTACCGCTGGCCCTGTGCCAGTACCCTCGACGCCGACTCCTCGGAGTCGGAGGAGGTGAGTCTCCTCAGGCATCCCCAGCTAATCCCTCTAGCGCGCAGGCCGCAGTCGTGTTTGGCGTCGTCAGCGGGCTGTTGTTCTCGCCGCACGCGTCTTTTGGCGGTCGGCCGGCCGGCGTGGCAAGCCGTTAGTGATGGTGGTCGATGGGGCAGAGTCGGCAGGAGTCGACCAGGTCATCCCAATCGCTTCAGCTTCGGCCATTGCAGCCACCGCGGACCTTTGTCTGGTCTTGCCATGACAGAAGCTGACTTTTCTCGTCCGATTCTGCAGCTCTCGACCCCGCGCCTCAACTCCCTCTGGCCGCCCAACTCGTGCTGGTGCTTCGTCGTCTTGTCTGGGCCTCAAGGCGGTTGAAGAAGAGCCCGCCGCTTCGCCTGCCGCTCCCATCACACCGTCTCCCCCCTCGTCTCCCTCCTCACCCGCCTCGAGCCTGAGGCACAAGCCGGTATACCCACGTACACCGAGCAAGCCGCGCGCCAATTTCCGGCGCCGCTACGTCTACGCCGAGCCTTCGATCCCTCCCAAGCCAAGGTCGCCCGGCGACGAGACTCATCGCTTCACTAGCCGCCGGGACGAGGAAGGCGAAGACAAGTTTGCCCGGGAGTTGTGGATCGCGATCCGCAACGACCATTACATGCGTGGGTGCTGGTGCGGCTCGCCCAAGATCTACAACAGCAAGGAAGAGGCCGAGGCCGGTGCCGGTCATCTTCGTTTCTACATCGCCGGCAACGAGAAGAAGAAGAACCTTCGCGTACTGCAGAAGAAGTACGATTTCATCTGGCACTGCATGTGCTCCGCCGGCAAGGAATACCTGCCGGCTTATAAAGCCCTTCTCAATTCAAACGGCAAGCGCCCCGCCGAAGACGACGAGTTCGAGTTGCTCGCCCAGAACGAAGATTCCGGCGACAAAACCAAGACCATCAAGCGCGTCGTGACCAAAATTCCCGACGCCACTACCGATGACGACAGCACGCCCGAGGACGAAGAGAAGCCCGCCGTTCCGGAACAGGCTACAGATACGCCCGCCCAAGGTTTCTGGGACCAGGCGCGCAGCCTGTTCAACCGCGCCATCGAAAGCATGACCACCCCGATCACCTCCCTCTTCAACAAGATCCGCAAGCACATCAGCATCAGCTTGATGGATTACGATACCCTCGACATCCGCAGCAAGGATGCTGCCAACAACATTGTCGTCAAGCGCGTCCGCCGCGTGCAGCCCCTAATTAACGTGAACAAGGAGCAGCTTCCTGGCCGCGAAATTGAGGATGACCTTTATGCCTTTGAAGACCTCGAATGGGCCGAGAGCGCAACCAGCGCCATTGGTTTTGACCAGCTCCGCCAGATCGTTATTACCTTTACTTCTCAGAAGAGCAGCCTCGAGAGAGGCATGATCGCCATGGGCGAGTCCATCGAAGACATCAAGGCCAACGCCCCCTCGGAGTGTGATAAGACTGCCAGCGTGTGCCTGCACGCGTGGATTGAGCAGGAACACGGCTCATTGGCCGATCTTCCCTTTGCTGAGCGCGAGGAGAAGTTCAAGAACTACCTGGATGACTACCACGGCCAGCTCGGAAAAACTATCGAGTTCATCAAGCAAATTTACGACAGCAACCTGCTCGCCGCCCTTCGCGCAAAGCATCCGAAGCCCATCTATCCTCTTAAGCTCGGCCACGTCTTCTTTAGAGACGGTGCGCGCGATGTCGCAGAGTTTCTCTGTTTCTTCTGCTCTCTCGAGGCCCTCTTTGACATACCCGCTTTCATGATGGAGGCCCTCTACAAGATGGTCGTGGATGCTAATGCCATCCACAAGCAGGAGCTTCCGCCAAGCTTTATTAAGCTCCGCCGCGAACCCACCGCGGACATGCCTGGTTACTTTCCCGATGACAAGGCCTCACCTCTGGAGGAAATTCCCGCTCACCAATGCAACGTCGTCTCACGCTACGATTATCTGCACCCGTCCCAAGAGGCCATCGAGAGCCGGGCTGATCCCGACGAGCGTAAACTTGTCCGCAAGCCAAAAGGCATCTTGAAGCCCTCTAAACAGTGGCCCACTCCCGCATCGCCGGCAAAATACGTCCCCACTCCACAGAAACCGAGAAAGCTCGTCTTCCTGAATCCCGTTTCCACTTTCGCACCACCTAAGAACATTCCCACCCGAGTCATGCGTCCCCACGACGAGGAAGAGATTAACTACTGGAAGATGAAGACCGAGCTTATCGGCGATGAGTACACCAAGAAGAAGTACGAGTCCAAGCTGAGCCTTACCCTGAACTGGGAGAAAATACGGGCCCGCATCAATCGCGACCGGTTCGCTCCTGAAAACGTCCAAGAAGACGACAAAGACATGGGCCTGTCCCACTATGCCAACAAATATGGTAACTTCCTCGACGAGCTGCACGATGACATGGTTAAGCGTGAGCAGAAAGAGAAGGAAGAGAAGCTGAACCGCGACAAGCCTGGCGAGGTTAAAGAGATTATCGAACCCATACCCACTCAAGTCCCGAGACCGTTTACCTCACCAGAGTTCCGTCGCATTACTGCTCACTGCCGTGAAGGCTACACCGGGACCGCGAGTCCCCTCTGGAAGGTCGACGTCTCGAAGGTGATCGAGAGGAAGCCCAAGGCTGAAGAAAAGCCGGAGCCCAAGAACCTCGATGAGTTCTTTGCACAAGATGATGACGACCTCGAAATCTCCATGCTCATGCTGAGCCACATTCAAATAAACGACGCCGTCATCAAGGATGCTCAGCGCAAGAAGCAAGAAGAAAAGCGGCGCAAAGAAGAAGAAGCCCTACTGGCCGAGGAGCGTCGCCTGGAAGCCCTCATCCGCGAACGCGAAGAGGAAGAACGCCTCAAGCGCGAGGCCGAAGAGAAAGCCCAGCGCGAGAGAAAGGCCGAGGAAGCCGCTGCCCGTTCGGGCCTGAGACCTCCGGCTCGCCAACTTATCACTCCGCTGTCCGAAGAGTGGCGTAGCCGCGTCGAGGCTGCCCGGAACGCCAACCCGGCGACTGAGCTGGCCAAGACCCTGGAGGGCCAGCCCCTTGTTCGCCGCGACTTCGAAGAGAAGCTCCTGCCAGCGACAGCCTGGCTTAACGACAACGTCATCATCGGTGCAATTTTTTACATCGCCGATTACGTCAACACCAAGAAGGGTGCCCCGAACCAAGAACCAAAGTGCACCGCCTTCACCTCGTTCTTCTGGCCCCGCCTTCTCTCCCACGGTCCGGGTGGCTGTGGTCGTCTGTTGCGCCGTGCAAACGTCCGCAAAGCAAATTTTCTCGATATCGACACCATTCTAATTCCGATCTGCGAGTCGTCCCACTGGACGCTCGCCGTTATCCGTCCCGGTCGGCGCACCGTCTCACATCTCGACTCGATGGCAGCGGGTCGAGGTTCCGAGCGCGTCAAGGCCAAGCTGCTCGAGCTGGTCAAGTTTGTGCTGGAGGACCAGTTCGTCGAGGCCGAGTGGCAGGCCGTCGACTTCCAGGCGCCCAGGCAGACCAACGGTTGGGACTGCGGCGTTTTCACCATCACCAACGCCATCTGTCTGGCGCTTGGTGTCGACCCTGCCCAGGCTTACACGGAGGCCCAGCTCCCCCTTCAACGGCAGCGCATTGCGGCTGTGCTGCTGAACGGTGGCTTCAAGGGAGATTTCACCCTTGATGACCTCTAAGGAGGCCACAGCTAAGATGCCTGCCTACGTACGCCGCAGCTGCTGCCCCGTCTCTGCTCGCCTTCCAGCTCGAGCACAAACACCCCGCACCCCTCCTTTCCCCCCCCCCTCCCCCAAAAAAAAAGTTCGCTGCGCGCCGCTGCTGTTCGCGCCCGCTGACCCGACCGTTGCTAATCTTGCCTTTTGCGCTTGGCCCTGTTGTCTTGCCCCCGCCCCTGCCTGCGCCTCTCGGCTCCCTTCCCCGGCGGTAGCAAGTTCTGTTAAGGTTGGCAGGTTCAATATCCTTTTAACAATTATGACTGGTGATTTCTTTAGGGTGCTTTTTTCGTTTATTTTTCTTTATCTTCCCCCCTTTTTGAATAAGTATGTATGGTGTGTGGGGTTTACATCGTTCTGTGGTTTTTATTTCTCTCTTTTCATGGTTTGGTTTGGTTCGGTTTGGTTTGGTTTGGTTTGGCCTAGCTGGTTTGGTCTGGTTTTCGTGTGGTTGGTGTGGTTTGTACATGGGATTGGTTCAGATGATACCCCCCCCCTTTTCCGTCAGGCGCAGCGATGCGTCCTTGACATGTGTTTGTCTTACTTTGTTTTTTGTGACTGATTACTGAATGTTTGTGTCTGGCATTTGGGATTTTTACTTTTTCAATGGCACTGGGATGGATGAAAGATTTCGAACGGGTTAACGGATTCTCCGGTTGTTTTATTTACGGGTTAACGGGAGAGAGGAAGTTAAAATAGACCAGAGTCAAAGGATTGATTACATCATGGAGTAAATGGACGGATTAAGCTGAGCACCTGTGTACATTGCTCTTTGATTGACTTTGATAGTCTCCCTTGCTCTTGACAAGGGACTTTATGGAATGGATCTGGTCCTAGCTCGCGGTTGACTTGCGTCTTGAGCTTGGTGATTTCTTCCTACATATGAATGAATGAACGGATGAATAATGTGTGCCTAAATGACTATTCCTCTGCATTGTTGGAGCATACTTTGCTTCTTGAATTTCGTGGAGTCCTGCCTCTCTGGCTGAGGAACTGTATATCCGGGCTGGGTTTATGATACTCAAGTCATTGGGCCGATGATCTTGACGTTGCCAGCTTCGTATGGACAATTGTTGAAGAATTCTCAGGACAACGACAATCTCATCATCACATAGAGGCAAATAACCGGCCGTGACATCGAACGAGATAAGATGCAATGTGTAATGTTAAGAATTGTCAGTATTATGCTACTGGTAGATATGTGGATGCCCTCGTGCTATCCAAAAATCCCCTTTATCAGCTCAACTCAAGACCATAAGCAAGAAAAGAAAGTGGCATTTACAATGAGAGTACCTATTTTCAAGGGAGGCGATTGTGTATGCACAGAATATGACAAGGCAAAGAGAGTAGTACAAGATTGGTAAAAGAGAAGAAAAAAAAAAGTGTGACAAGTCAAGTCAGTTATTCCATCCATCTGTTCTTTTCGCCGCATCACACACATATCACAAGAATAATAAAACGATGGCTAATGAATGCCAAGTTAGATATCAAAGTTATGATTTGATCATCTCATTTCCCGTGAGCATCGCGTCTTTTATGTGATTTAGAAAAAGTTTGGCGTACACCAACCCCAACCAAACCAAAACCCCGACCGACCGACCAGCCCAGACCAATCAACCAACCATCCAACCACCAAGTCTAGCAGTAGTTACTCCGTAAGCCTGCATACATGATAAGGAAAACAAAGATCAGAAATCCAAGTGATACAAAAAAGGGTATTTCCATCACATCACACCGCTCCATAACCATTCCCAAGTAATTTACCAAGAAAAAACATCAACAAATATGATAAAGTGCGTGGTAATTCCAGATCGTCAGGTAAGTGTGGATAATAGGTCATGGTAACACCCCTCTAAAGTCCCTCCCCGAGGCCAAGCTGAGCACCTTCTGTAACAGGCTCTTCTTCCCGCCTGAGGTCCCCGAACTCCCGGATGTCGTCCTAGAGCAGTTCTGCCCGCCAACAACAGCACTCGAACAGCAGTCACCGCCAACTGGACCTGGGTGTCTGTGATCGTAATGATGCTTCGCCAGCCGCTTTTGCAGCTCGGCATCCCATCCGTACGGATCGGCCTGCGGCATCAGGGCCGAGGCCTCAGGCGACGGCTGCTGCGGCGATGCTGCGTCCGCGTCAACCATGTTGAGTGACACGAACGAGCTGCGGTCAGCGTTGACGGTGACAGTCGAGCAGTTCTCGTGATGGATCGCGGTGATGGTCGACGGGGTCGGAGGGCCGCCAACCTTGAGGTAACCCGAGACGTCGTGGAGGGTTAGGCGGACGGGAAGGCGTTGGCGCTTGGAGGGGTTGGGGTCGTTAATAGAGGGGAAGGTGCCGTAATTGGGAAGAGGGCTGAGAGGGAACCCAGGGGAGTTGGCCAGACAGGCAGTTAGCGTCGGGGTCGTGCTCGTGGTGTTATTCGTGATATTGCTGTCCACTGTGTGGACTGAGAATCGAGCCGAGGACGAGTCCGAGTGTGTGCTGCCGGGCTCACCTCTAAACCCCTTGAGGCGAGATGCTGGGTAACGAAATCTGGGCCGGGCAAAGCGCCGTGCTCGAGCCGCCGACCCGCGGCTGGAGTATAGCGCATACGACTTTGCGGCCATGCCGACCTTACCGCCACCGTTGCAACAGTGATTGCAGGCATCGGGCACCGGGAGCGCGTCCTCTGCGAGCGTGTAGAGGTACCGCTGACCAGGGTGTGGCTCCTCCCACTTGTTGGGCAACGCATGTACCGTGTAAACCTCGGGGCATGCGTTCTCATTGGTCGTGGTATTCGTCTTCGAAACAGCGTCTGATGAAGATGATTGTTCTAGGGAGGCAACAACGGTGGTTTCAGAATTCGGCATGACCTCGAGTCCCTATAAGGGACTTGTCTTTCTCCGTTCCTGGTTCGTTTCCCGAGAGATCATGTCGCCTACAAGAGCAGCCGAGGTGACGCTCGCCCTTTGTGCATGTTTGCTACGACCCATCCTGTTCAGGCCGAGCTTCGCGCCCATCTTCTTCCAACTCAAGCTGGCTTTATGAAGCCCGCCAGGGGAGACGTTGAATGCCCAGTCTGTGGTCGGTGGGGTCACAGGAGGGGTGATTGGCTCATCCCTTAATGATGGGGGGTTGCCACTATCATCTGATAGCCCACCACGCTCTGCGAGGTCGCTTGTTGACGATGCAGAGCTCTTCGGAAGATCGCTTGGCCGAGGGATGTTGAGCATAGGCAGAAAGCTTGTCCTCGGTGACCGCCCTGACTCGGTAGAGCTCGATGGCTCTTTGGCTAACCTGAACCACGAACGTGCTGGCCGTTCTTGCACTTCAGTAGCCGCCGCAGCTTCGGCGGCAGCATTAACCGACGCAATGAACGGAGCAAGAACTGAGTCGTTCATGAGTTCATATGTTATCCTCGCAGCAGCATCGAGCTCGGATGGGTTCGGGGCGGTGCTGGTAACAGAAATCGACAGAAGGCGGTCCCGGATATGTGCTGGAAGATTGACCTCACGAGGAGCGCATGGCCGAATATAAGCATTCATGAGTTTCCTCCAGAGATTGGTCACGTATTCAACAGCCTCCTTCGAGTCGTTACCAGCCTCCATCATCTCATTGTAGGCAGCCCTGTAGCGCTCTGTGTCCATGGTGAATTCGAGGGTTTCAAGACAGTGGTTTTGTGACATGAAGGCGGTAAAGGCGCTCAGTGTGTAAGGTGGTTGTGCGGTGTTCGTAAGGATTTCTCGTAATGAGGGAGGTGAAGTCGGATTCGTCGTCGCAGAAGCGGGAGGCATAAGCGCTAGGCTAGCAGGTCGTGAAGCAGTCATGATGGAATCAGTATCGTCATCGTCCAAGGCCGACGAGGGCCGGGACGAGGGCCTTGAAGACGGCCGTGAGGACGGCTCCCCGAGAAACTGTGTCGGGGGCATTGGTGTGGGTGAGGTTGCCCGTGCTCTCGCCTTGGGCATGCTTCCCGTATTGCTACCGGGACCGTAAGGAAAAGGACGTAGTCAAGGATAAATGGCTTCTGCTTGTCCTCATAACTCTCTCTTCAGCATGATGGCAGGGAAAGCCACCACAACAGACCAGTTTGCTCGGGACGCAGGGAATTCCCAGAGCCAATTGCGTCCACAAGAGCGTAAAGCGTATCCGGCTCACTCCCGGACTATGCAGCTAACCTCCGTTTCCCAGCACAAGTGGCTGCGACACAACCAATTACGGTGATGTATCAGCGGGTAGGTGCAGGAAGGGCGCTGGAGGATGGTCCGGGCGGGGGTTATCGCCGGTCAGGGGACACCGGTCGCTGCGTGGTCGGGCAGATGCTGCTGATGGAGGGCGGTTGGGGTGACGCAGACGGGTGAGCAGCAGCAGTGGTTCACCGACGCTGAGACAAAAAAAAAAAAAAAATAAAAATAAAAAAATAAAAAATAAAAAAACAGGCGCTACCAGACTGTACCTGTGGCAGGTTTCGAGAGTCTAGATAGTCAAGAGCTGCCTGTCACCTCGCACTGGCCTGAGATCGGGAGCGAGATTCGCAGCTTCGTTGCACGACAACACAAGCGAGACACGGAATGGCAGTACAGCAGAGTCGTGTTGCGCGACCGTCTAAGCTAGAAGATCCAGAGCAAATCTGCAGCGAAATTAAGCCAACGAAGGACGGAATCCTCTTTATCTGTTCTCTTCGGTTGGGGGAAAAGCGGTTTGGAGTGGGTATCGCGGTAGTTCAACTAAGTAACGATGAGGGGCGAACGGCGACTGTACCGGAGGGTCGGTAACGGTTCCCTGTGTTGGCTGGTTGCATGCGGAAAGACGAAGGCAACACAAAGGAGTGCTCTATCGAAGAGAGAGAGGGCAGAAAGGTGAATCGATGGTCGTGAGAGGGACTTATGCCAAAGAGAACCACGCTGACAAAAACACAAGGAGCGTCGGCGGCATCGAGATGGGCTCAGGATGGCGAAATGTGGCCGTCCAGCGCTAATGTCGTCGTCACCTGTCGTCGAGACCAAAGGGCTTGAGTGCGTGTCCAGAGAAGTAAGGAGATGATGAGAGGAGGCGATGATGGCGGAGATAGTTGTTAAGAGACAAAGAGAAAGGAGGCCCAGGTCAGTGGAATTCCGCAGTCTGCTTTGGGCCAAGTCCAAAATTCTGTTTCAGTCGTCTGGATAGCAGTTGTGCTTTTTGAGAAAGGCGCCAGGAACTGGAAGGAAGTGGAGGAGAATACGATAATGAAAAAGGAGACACGACGAGCGCACAAGGACGTAAACAAAGACGTTCAGGCTGAAAGAGACCAAACAGCGAGCAGAAGAGTAATGTGCGGGTGTTGCTGGCCTTGAGATGCTTTTTGGGGGGTAGGCCGATGGCTGACGGCTGCCAGATGCGCGCTCGGGAGAGACCTGGCAGGGGGGAAATGGCAGGGAGACTAGATCGACCGGAAGGGAAAACGGGCGAAAAAAAAAAATAAAAAGGGAAATGAGGGGGCTTTGTCCCGCGGTTGGGCGAAAGTGCTACCTGTAGCGGTATGGTACCTCCCCAACTGGGCAGGAGTTAGGTAGCGCATCAATAAGAGAAATTCCAACGCTCTCGCCCCCTGTCGGTCCCCAGCTAGTACTTGCCTGCATTTGTGCCCCACCACGCTTCCCCCAAGGCCCGGCCCTTCCCCAACCTTCCTTGCTTTGCCTGCCTCTTTCTGGGCCATTCCCGATCAGTGCTAGGCCGCTCACGATAGCATACCAAGTTGCCGACCTGGATGCCTTGAGCATCGATGGCTGGTGGTCTGTGCCCAGGGGCATCCCTAGAGCGAATCCACTGATACGGAGGCCAGGTCGTGCCTCATCATGATGATGGTGCCACGACATTACGACAGATAGCTCTCTGGTCTTGTGTGCATGCGTCGCGTTTGCTGCTGCAATCTGTTGGGATGCTGCGCGTCTGGCCTCCAGAAGTTCGGACAACCGCCGACAGTCGACTCTTGTACCACGCCGGGAAACAAGTCACAAATCGAATGCACAATCCAGACAAGCGATGATGGTGACGCGAGTGGGGCGCACATAACTGCGATCACCGCAGCAGGAATGCTTCTAGAAGCCTTCCTTTTTGATGGTCTGCCCCCATCACCTAGGCCTAGCTTTGGCCCCTGATTTAACCAGGCTGTGGTCCGTGCTCTACTCATTTTATCCAATCAAATGACTTGCTTCTGGCGAGATTTCGTCCGCGTTTTCTCGAGTCGGACGACGACCCCGCTTGGGTTCCACGCTGCTTCTGGAAGTCTTCTTCCCCGACTCGCTGCATGGTAGCGGGTTGCATCGCTTTTACAGCTCGTTGAGATGGCGCAGCCATAGCATGACACGCAACACGATGTATTGTACGACACTGGAATTTTAGGGGAACATACTGTCCAACGTGCAGCTCTTTGTCACAACGCGTGTGTTCAGTGGTTCAGCGCTTCACTCTCTCATCAACACTAAGCCATTTGGGCGCCGTCCGGAACGCTCGAGTCCAATTGTGCCCAAGATCCTCTAGTTTGGGAACTTGCCGCGCCACGCAGAAGGCGGCTCATCTTGTGCATGGCTGCGATGGGTTAGTGTTAGCATCTCGGTTGACGGATGGTAGATGAGGGCATCCACATGGCGTCGCCGCTCGGACTCCTTGGCGAAGAATCCCGGCCAAAGCTAAAGAAGCAGGGGTCTGGTCTCCGCTCTCCCCACATTCTGCCCTCGGGCGGCCTTTATGGCGCCTCACAGCATGAGTCGTGCTTTCGATCGGGATCCAAGCCACACAAGCTCGGAAAGAAAAGGACGTTGACATCAGAGTAGCTTACCGCAGTGGGGTCACCTACCTCGCTTTATTTCTTTGGAGATATTGTCTACTGAGTAGAGTAGCTCACAGGCTGCCTTGTCGACGCGATTCTCGCGGTGCTCTCGGAGCCATCCAGGAATGGATGTCAAGGTGACTCTCCAACGGCTGGCTATTTTGGTGTCGCAAACATCTACTGGAAAAGGAAAAGTCCATCCGCACAGACCAGCTCCCCAACCAGATCGCTGTTGACCGCCCGGCAAAAAGATAACTAAACATGGCCAATAGGAACGCAGCTTGGCAGCAGAAGGTGCGCAGCGGGCCGTGAGCGCGGGGGTGTGGTGTTCGGGGCACCAGCGGTGTCCGAAGAAGCGGGACAGCCATCAACCCAGGATCAACCAATAAGACTCCCAAACCATTTCCAAAAAGCTGTCAAGAGCTGCGAAAACAGTGCCATTGTCATGGCACACCATCTTCTCGCTTACAGATGTTGCTGTCAAACCGTTTCTCTCGCATTCTGGTTCACAAAAAGATTGTTGAGCAAGTTTCCAGCCAAGTGGTCAGGGTTCGGCCGGAAGAAGTTGGTTCCGAGGGTCATTACATCATCGGCATTCTAGATGCCCAAACATCCAATCCAGTTTCAATTTCGACCACACAAAAACAGGACCATGATGCAACTTGTGAATAAAAGCAAAAACGGAAGGGTTTCCCGGTCGATTATGCTCGCCGTGGCGCCGCGCTCGCGGGCTGATTCAGGCTTGCCAACGCGCCCTGAAATCATGACTCCAACCAGCTGGACACATCCCACCCGTCCTCCACCAGAAACGCAACGGCGGTGCGAAACTCGGGGACGACGAAGATCACACACTTGAACATCATATAACCGGCTCGGCCATGTATTTTTCGTATCTGGCGCTCAGAACTCATCGCATCGTTAAACCTTCGTGACATACATGTTCGTCTGCTTTCCTCGTCCCACGGAAATGTTAAACACATTGTCCACGGTTCGGGCGCTTTGAGCCGTCATCATGCCTCGCTTGACCCCCACCTAGGATTTCTCTGTGCAGCGTTGGGTTGCGTGTCTCAAGAAGCGAGTTTCGCCACCAAACTTTGGCCGTTCATCCCGAATTTTGCCTGTCGGCAACGGGCCTTTGGGTGGCTTGTTCTACCTGGATCTGCCTGCTGACAGCCCAGCCCACTGCATCGCCAATACCGCCGCCCTTCCGCCTGGTCAACGGCCGCGGCAGCCTTCCGTAACCCGCCTTTCTCCAAGCGAGACACGACATTGGGATGCTTGTTGCGATGATAGCCGCTGCCACCATCGGCGGAGGGTGTGCCGAGCACAACGCCGATGTCTTGGATCTTTTTTCGCAGTGTTTACAGCTACCTACATACTCCGTGCATCCAATCCTTATCGAGCACACAAAGACCTGCTTTAACTATGGCCATCTCCTGTCAGGTGATGTCGACCGTTTCGTTTGACAATGACAATACCCCAGTCGAATGAGCACCGCGGAATTGCCGATAACCCACAAAGAAAGCTGCCGTATCACGTAATGGTCTGGACTGAAGGCGAGGGGCCGATCCCAACGGGGAACGGGCTTTTTTTTTGACACTTTCCTTTCCAACAACCCGATCTACAGGGTCCTACCGTGCAGCGGCGTTAGCCAGGGGAGGGAGGGGGGGGGATACCTCCCTAGCACGGGGCGATGGCAGGTACGAAGGTTGGCATGACGCCTGGCATGTAGGTACCTGAAGTATGCAGGTAGGTCTGTGTCTCTGCATCAGGGCTGCGAGACAGGCACCGGAAGGCATCTGTGCAACGCTAAAGAAGCCGTGAATCCCACCGAGCCCCGACACAACAGCAGCGCCGATCACAGCCCGCCGTTCCACTGGTCTATTGGTGACGCGGCGGCGGGATGAGAGGTTGCGTTGACAGTGTGTGCATGCCCATGTCGGCTCTCAACGGCCAGGATGTGGTGGGGGGTACAGGACAACTGGATCCGCATCCCGCGACAGAGCAGAACACATATGT